TTTTTCTGACAGTGTATGCAAAACTGGATCCACTGTTGACCTCACTCTGTTTGAAGCTGGTCAGCAGGTTCCACGTATGAAAGAGTAAAACAAACATAGCTGCTTAATGCTGTCACCTGAGCCTGGCAAAAATCCATTCTGCACTATGAAGGTGGTGACACTGTATGTGGGTGCATGGCCCTATGAAGAGTTTTAGAAATGCCAATTGGTTCAAAAACTGAACTCACTATAGGGAGTTTCGGGGGCATGCCTTCCAAACCGCCCACCTCTCGGCTTAGCTAGCTAGTTAGTTTCCTCAAGTGAAACTAACTAGTCGGTGTTGCATCAGATTTGGTTCCCCCTCAAATTACATTCGTCATCACAACTTTGGTGACCTCAGTGGTGGGTATCGTAGTGTGGTGTTGTGGACAAATAAGGCAGCATAATTTAGCACAGTTCCAAAACAAGTCAAATAAACAAACAAACACAGGGAAATGAAGGTTGCTAGGTATAGTATTGCATGCCGAAACTGTCCATACCTTCAGGGTGAAACACAGCCACACCTAAAAACGAACAACTGTGAACATCATTTGCACAAACTTTGCATAAAGATCCACAGACTTTAATTTGAGTCATGGAATGACTTTTAGTGGACAGTCTCTCTTAGACTTTAGCTCATAGCTGATTAGTCCCATACTGAAAGTCCTCTACTGGTTTGTAGCACTTTAAGCTGCATGTCAAATACACGAAAGATGCTATATAAATATATACAGCTCTGTACAAAGGTTTTAGGAACTTGAGAAAACTATATTGAAATAGCTGTTTATTTGCTCAGAAAAAGTTAGAACTAAAATTAGAAAAAAAATATAATTAATGTAAATACAAAAAGTAGTATTTTTAGGTATGTCATGTTTTAGCTTAACCATTTCTAAATCTGTCCTCGAGGAAGCCCAATATTACTTGAAGCCATTATCCAATACCTGGTTTAGCTCAATCAGTACTTACTTTACTGCATAAATGTCTGTTTACATTTATTCTAATGTTACAAGCAAAAACACAGTTATTGTGGAGATTAATGTTTTTAAACAGTTTGCTTAGGTGCCCAAGACTTTTGTACAGTACTGAAATTGTATGAATGAAGTTATTTTGAGAAGGGTTTTATATTTTTACCTTTATTCACAATTTAAAATAAAAGCCAAGACATCACAACTATAAACACCTATGGAATTGTAAAAATTAGCCTTTGTATTAAAATATCAGTAGGCCTTAGCATTTTCTGACACAGTTTTAACATTGGTCTTTAGATAATCTCACGGATCTTTCCTCCGTATGGCCTATTTACTGGTAAACTTCTTCAACTGGTATCTCAACTCGTCTATCAAGTGCAGCCCTGTCGACCATGAGTTGCAATCAGTGTTTCTTCCTTATGTTCTCAAGGATTTCTTGCTGCTGTGACCCTCAGGTTGCTCATCAGGAGTTTGTGTCTGGGTTTCTTTAGAGCTGTTCAGTGCCAATGTTTGTTGTCACAAACAAGACTGAATTAAACTGAACTGATAGACGGGTGGATGAAGACTGTCTTGTTTTTCAGCCAGTCGACACGTGTATAGCTGTGCACGAGTAACCAGGCTACTAATCTGTGAGCTGTGGACTGAGCAGCCCTGTAAGCAGGAATGTGAGAAGATTAATCAGTAGTGGGAATAGCTCTAAATGACCGGGTGTTAGTGAATTACTCAATGCATAACAGGAGGCAAATCCATTCTTGATGCTTTTTAATACAAATGTCTCTTTAATATCAGCTCTCATCTCCACAAACTGCCTTTATCAGTGTTTACTCATACTCATTATTTAGCTTACAATAATGCTAATGATCATTACATAATCATGAACTGCATAATAACCGACAACAAATGCTATTTTAGACTCAAGCAGAGACACTATTTCACATGTACACATTCACATCACAATCTCTTTTTTCACATAGCACTTTTCATTTGATATGCAGCTCAAAAACTATTCAGAAGCAGCTGTAAAAGAAGCTGGCAGTCTGAATGAAGCTAGAGCAGTCTAATGTGCTCTGTCTGTAATGCGAAGCAAGTCAAGGCGAAAGAAAACAAATGCATCTTCTAAGCATCTTGTTGGGACTGACTTGTGTAGCATATTTTACCTGCCAAAAGGCAATCTTAATATTATCTGTATGCAATTTGAAAGTCAAAACAGAGTCAACAGCAGCACCCAATTTCCTTTCTTCAGGCATGGCAAGTTAAGATGGGTATTAATAAGTAATGTAAGTTATACACTCATATGTACTAATAAATGATAAAGAAATGATATGTCTATGTATACATAGAATGAGAAGCAAAAATGTTAGGACATTCAAAGTGAATGGGTTATTTTTGTTATATGTTTATCAAATGTGAATTTTAGATCAAAAGATGACAATAAGACTAAAGCACAGATTATTAGCTGTTATTTTTGGGCAATGTTTTCCACAAATTTTAGCTGAGCATAAGTATTGGGGGAAAAGAATAACAGGTGCCTCTGATTGCTCAGGTGTTCCAAATTCCTTTAATTGCGATTGTGAATGCATATGGTGGATTGTAGTCGTTGGAGTTTGCATTAGGGGTCTTGTTTTGATGTAAAAGATACAAAACAAACATTTGACTATGATGGTGTTTGACATCATAATCTAGAATCGATGGAAAAACAAGCAGTTTTGAACATGAGATTAAAGCAAATACTAATCAGAACCATTTAAAAACACCTGGGTATTCTAAACACAACATTATGGAGTATTTTGAAAAAGAAAGAAACTACTGAAGGTGTAAGCAATTTGCAGTGATCAGGAAGACCACAGCAGCTGATGACAGGAACACTGTTAGAGCTGTGAAAAAAAACACAAAACTAACATCCAGAGAAATAAAAGACTGATAGGGTCTATATTTATCATTTGCAGAAGATTTTAAGAGAAGTAATGCAGAAGCAAGTACACTACAAGATGCAAACCTCCCATCAACTTTGAGAAGAGCTAGAGTGGAATTTGCACAGAAGTACAAAGATGAGTCATAAGAATTCTGGAGCAAAGTTTGGAAGGGAAAAGTGTGGCAAAAGAGAGGGACTGCAAATTATTCAAAGTACACCATTTCTTCTGTGAAGCATGGAGGTGGTAGTTTCATAGCTTGGGTGTGCCTGGTTGCTTTCGGAACTGACCTTCGGTCTTCACTGATAATGTAACTGATGATGGTATCAGCAGAATGAATTCTGAAGTGTACATAAACATCTCGTCTTCCCACGTTCAAGCAAATGCCTCCAAACTTTTTGGGTGGAAGTTCATAATGCAGCCAGACAATGACCTGAACTACTGCAAAGAAAAGGTGAAACAAGACGTGCCAGTTTTTGATCATTTAGTTTTATGTCATCATTTATATTAAAGAAATATTTTGGCAAATGTATATAATTTTCCACTCATCCCAGATGTAGATAATCAGCCAAGACATGTTTGCTGTCCAAATCTGGCTTCTTTTGTTTAGCACTGGAGCTACAAGCCTGATGTTGCTAGCAAACACTAGACATCAATAGTCAACCAGTGTTTTTCTGCACATTGTATGCAATACATTCACAAAACATACTGCATCCAGGTTTTCATTGGGGTGGTGCAGACTGGTTTAAGACAGTGTATGACTTACTGTGAACTGTAAAAATGAACAGAACTTCACCATGTAGCTGAATGTAACAGGCAGCGACTTTAGACAAGTAATTTTAAACATTCTTATAAACACTCACAGCAATGTTATAATGGATCCTTTAAGATCCAGCTGCGAATTAATCAAACAAGCTGCAGTTTCACCATCGTCAGACGCACAGCTCAGCTCTAGTTTCACAGGCTCCCACTATGCCATCACTGTCTGATGACGAGATGTGGTCCGTCATCTGAGCAAATCAGAGACACAAGTAAACAATGACAGCGCACAGCCGCAGCAGAGGAGCATTCCAAACTAAGTTATGTAGATTTGAGGCATTCATTGCATATAATACTAACTTTATCCTACTTTATTTTGCTTTAAATGTATTTTGTCCCAATGCTTATTCTCAGCTGAATTTGGAGGAATAAACTGAACAAAAGACATTTTTTTTCCCTGAAGGGTTTGTACGGAAAACACTACTCAAAAATAAAATCCAACATTCTGTGCTTTAGTCTCATGCTCACCTTTTGATCTGGAATACAAACATGATGACAACAAACAATTACTTTGATTTAATAAACTGCATTTGTTTTATTGTCTAATTGTAGAGAAACTTTTCAAATGCCTTTACAATGACAGTAAATGGAACCAGGAGTTACGATGTCTACAACACAAATATAGTAATTGTTTTTGCTTTCCAAAACAACCAGTGAACCTACATGTGTCTTCTGAATATTAAAGTGCAATGTTGATGTTGATAAAATAATGGTAACTCTTAAAAGATGTTTTCTTTACAATCTTTATTATTTTCCCTTACAACTTGCATGGACCCCTTTCGTCATGAATGGAATTTTAAAAAATTGCTTTCTGCCCAAAACCCGGACAACGCATTTGTAACCATTTCATGTAATAATTATGAGGTACTATTTTGCCTTACAGCGGCCTGCATGTGCTTCTCCTCCGTTAAAGTAAAAAAAAAAGTTTTAGGTCAAAAACATTTGACATAATGACTCTCTATGAGGTTCCTATCACTGTCTCAACAATTCTGACTCTTATTAGTTTCTCTAGAACACAGCAGTTTGTGTCAAACCACTCCGAATGATTTTACATCTTAACTATTTAATTATGCAGAAATATTGAATTGGTGCAATTCTCCTTTAACAGCACTGTAAAAAGGAGGCTTTAACACCTGCATTAACACACTAAATTGCACACTAAATAGCACAGATGAATCACTAGCACTATTTGAAAAATGACATGAGACACAGTTCTTAATATTGACTAAAGTTAGTAATGAGCATTTTTCTCATCATTGTGTTGAGGACAGGCAAAGCTCAAAAGTTTTACTTGAATAGTTTTTCGTAACTTTATTCATAGTTTATGAGCAAAGCATTCATTATTACAGAACATTGGTAATCTTTGAAAAGAATGGAAAAGACTCTTCCTTTAAGAAGTATAGCAAAACTGCATTACAATACACAAAGTAAACTGTAGAATGATTTAGAATCATTCCATAGTACTGTACATACATGAGCATATCCTAAAATGGTCTGGGAGATTGGGACAGATTCATCTCTGATGTTGTAGGATATGATTTATACACTATACATCATTACATTCACTCAAATACAGCTGTTTGTGGGTGACAGTAAATTGGCAAATATATATTAATTGCTTAGATATTTCACGTGTGTGTTTAGGATGTAAAACCAGAATGGAATAGGTCACTTAAATGTTACACTGATAACGCTGAAGAAAATGGAATTAACAATATTTCAGACCTTTCAAAGAACACGACTTTCTTATTAAGAAAAACACATCTTCCATTCAAGGAAAAGAGAAAGTTTCATATAGAAATGCCAGTACTTTTCTAAAGGACTGGTATAGAGCCAGACACTCACAGTAATGTTAGCAGAATTAATATACTGTCCCAGTAATTTACATTTGCAGCAAAATATTACAAACATGATACTCAAAAATAGTAGCCCAGATTGTAAAACAATAAAAAAAGAAAAGTTTATCACAGTTTAGTTTACATACCAGCTGAATAAGAAAAACTAAATTCAGAAAAAAGTAGTGTCCAGTCTCATGTTATAACAAAAGAAATATAAAAAAAAAAAGTCTTACAGTCTGAAAAAAAAGTGAATGTCCTAGTTGGTATGAAAAAGATGCATATCTTCTTAAAAAAGGGAATGGTTGGCATTAAGTAACACAACACTGAATTTGAAAGCGGCCACTGTATTCACAACTTTGAAGCAGAGCCAGTAAGCTAATAGAACTAACTTTTCTGACTCCATTTTCCTCATTTAATAGCAAATCACGCACACAATCTCTTTTCTTCGGGAGTACACAGGCAGCCAGGTCCCACAGAATGAGTTTTACACACTATTGCTCTACTGACCTACTACCATAGAAAAAAAAATCAACTAGCAGCGAAAGAAAAGAGGTAAAACAACCACAAAAAAGATCGTAAGACTTCACATAAAATGTTAGATGAGTGTAAAAATATCCCACAACACTGGAAATCATTAAATCCACAGTGCCAACAGAGTTTGGTCTGCTGTACCACTCTATAGATTGAGGTCCAACCTCACTCTTTCACATTTGCTAGCATTAGTTGTAAAGATAGCAGAACGGAGTATTGCTCACCACAATAAAAGGCGCCAGACATGGCACTTCAGGGTCAAGTACTTTTCCACCAAATCTGGTGGAGCCTAGCTTCTAAATGTTAGTGCAGCAGCATATGATATATTCTTCTAACTGCTCATCCAAGAGGCTGGCTCACTATTGTTTTATGTTGTTTTGTTGACATTAGTATACATACATATTTTTTTGTTTTGCCCAAAAGCTTTCTGGACCAGGCAGGCGTGTTGAACATTTGGAGCTTAAAATCGTAAACACTGTGAAGAAACGCATGGCGCACTATTCAACACATCAGGCCTGATGCAGAGTAAAGGTAAGTGGCGTTCATTTTGGTCCATGCAGCACCATTACAGTAGCAAAGCATCCCCTTTCTAGTGAACACAGAAGCCAGATCATTGGTCTCCACTTCGCTCCTCTCATCTGAAGAGCAGCTGTTCCCTCTTTTCCCTGTCCCCAGTGTAATAATTCAAATGCCCAGCTTCTTCTTGAGCTCAAAGTACGCGTCGAACCTGGCCATGGCGTAGTCCTGGCGTGGAGACAGAAAGTCAACATATCAGGATAGTGCATGGATATGATTTGCAGTTCTGCCATCATGTTATCCTGACCTCATATGTCTGCATTTTTTATTCAGCAAAAGAAAACAATGCTAACAAGAAAACTGTTACCTTGATCAAGCAAATATTTGTGGAAGTGTCACACACTGCATAATTCTACTGTCATGTTACCCTGAACTGGCAAATATTTGGTTTTAGTTGTCAGGCAGCACAAATAGTGCAGTGTCCATGTGTACACTTAGTCTTGCACCATTAATAAAAGCTGTGCTCCCTTCCTAATGCAGTCCATATGCACTGCGCAAAAACCTCTAGCTGTACTGTCTAAAGGCAGCCCCATGTAGACATACTTAACATAAACATAACCATATGGCAGAAGCTCACCAGGTAGCCAAACTCGATGGTGGATATTCTTGCCTGGATCATGGACCACAGGCCCCAGAAGAAGTGCGAGGCAAGGGCAAACCTGAGAGAAAAGAGAAGTTTATTTTAAACGTTGTGGAGGACACGTGGATTCCGAGAAACAAATGCCTGTTTTAAGAGTTGCGCGTCACTCTTGGATATATTCCAAGCAAATTATTTTTCAATCTCCGGCAGTCTCTGTACAGTGAGCTAGAGGCCCAGAGAGGGTAGCTCATTACTGTTCTGATTCATAGTGCCCTGAGCTAACCACTCCTCTCCGTTTAGAGTCAATACGCTCAGAAGAGCAAAGAGAATGTTCAGCCGACCATGTTAGACCTTCTGCTTTGAACTGCTTAACTCATTAAAAGAGCAATAAATAGGAAATTTTAATAAAAATGTGGTGAAATATTAAAACCAAGTGTTGAGTGTACGGTGTAGAAAGTAGTCTTTGGACTACGAGATATGCAAACATGGTGGTTACTTCCTCATCCTGTGTCGTAAGAGGCCATGCGCCTGTGCCATGTGACCAACAGTGAGCTGGTAATATGACTTAAGAACGATACATGCTACTTAGCGTTAGTTTAGAATGTCAGTAACTGAAGGCTTAAAATTTGGGCAAACTGAATAAAGTGTGCACATTTACTGAGTGATAATGTCTAACAAACTACTTGGCAACATAAACCAAAAAAGCATCGTCACCTGTTAACTTCCACCAACATGTCCTCTCTGAGTTTCAGCTGGTCTTCCTCACTCAAGTTGGCCAGTCCCGGGTCGTATTCTGACAGGTAGCTTTTAAAGAAATGCATCTGAAGGGAATAAAATTCAAAGAAGTCAGTGCCAGTATAGTCAGTGTCATGACATTCTGTGGAACCATTCCACAGTTCCAAGTCCACACTCTGTGTCTATACTTGCAACGACTAAAGTCCACCCTCCAACATTTCATACCTGCTGAGCTTTGGTAGGGTAATTATTTGTGTTGGTTTTGAAAAATGGAGACGTGTCGCAGTTGTAGTCGTACATCCATTCACAGAAGAAGTTTCCGATGTCAAATCCTCTGCAAGACAAAGACAGGTTCCTTTAAATGGCATTGAGTACACAATGTCCAGTGCACACTCCTGCACATTTTATCTTCTATTACAGGTTTCTGCTTATGAAGGACACAGTAAGCAAAATGCATATATTGTGCTCTTCGCACAATGTCCTCAACCAGTGTCTTTTTTTTAGTTGCAAATGGAACAACCCAGCTGCCTCAAAAAAAGACAAGTAGAGACACAGCCTGACAAACTGCTTAATCAGCTGGTAGAGGCCCTAAGCTCAGAAGGTCTTTGAGGCGGGTTTCACAGCTGCTGTGGAAACCAGACAAAAGACACATCAGACACATCTTGAGGCCACAAGAGCTGCTCACTCCTGGTCGACTGGTACAGTGAAACTAGGCTTTGACTGTTACCGTGCAGAATTTCGCAGACCAGGCACACAGCTTGGACAGAAAAAATTAAAGAAGAAGCATACACATGGTTGGCCTTCTTAAGGCTCTGACCAAAACGTCCCTATTTGCTGGACCCCTTTCTGTGGTTAAAGAACAAAATCAGTACCCTAGTGGTGCCCTCACAAGCCACAGAGCGTCACATTTTTGAGCTTGGGTGTCCATGGATGGTGGGTGAAATCCGATCTATCTTGTGTTGGAACACGTGTGGGAATGTTAAGAGCCTTGACAAAAGTGTTTTGACTGTCCAATGGGATGGTTGCCAGAGGCTTCAACGTCTGGAAGTCGCTTCCAAGAATTTGGGCACCCCAAGCATTCCGAACTTATCAGACGCACTTCTCTGGGATGATACCGAGGGAAAGAGAGAAAGGCAGTACCTCTGAATCGAAAGCAAGTGTTCAAGATTCAAAAGCTCAAAGCTGATGAAACACCACTGTGTACTTCAAACGAAGCACGCTATCCCAATGCGCTGTCTCTAAAACTAGGCCATGCGAAGTCAAGCAAATGAAGTTGGGGAATTTAAAAAGTATGCCTTTGCACTTAAGAGGACAAAGCAGACTGTGCTGAGGTCGTGGTTTGACTTGCTTTTGAAGTGCCTGGCACAAACCCACCAACACTATCAGCTGTGTCCTTGCAAGTCTCTGAGGACAGCCAAGCTGCAGGAAACTATGTGGAGAAACCAGGGTCCTTTTTTCATAGTCAGTGTTGTAAGATCACATCCCCCAAGACTCAGTTCTCAGAAAATAATCTGTGACTATAATTACATGCCTTTGATTTACAGAGAATGTTACCCTATCCCATGTTACTCTATCTCTCCCCTTAGATTGATGACAGACTGAGCAAATGTACATTCAGCACTATGAGACTTACATACCTGTAGTTGTAGCTGCTGTACTCAAAGTCAATCAGCATGAGCTTCTGCTTGTCCATGTTCTCCCGGCCACTCAGGAGAAGTATGTTTCCTGTGTACAGACAAAATAAAACAATTAATAAAACCAGGATCTGGTTCAGCCAAGAATCAAATGTACCCTTCTCCAAATGTAGTTAATCAGTTAAGACATGTTTAGTGTCTGAAGTTTGCCTTTTTCGTTCAGCACTGAAGCTACGAGGCTAATGTAGCTAGCAAGGAAGTTTACAAACCCACCAATTAGCATTGCGCAAACTGCATGTCTAAATCAATGCACATTTGATTCAGACCACATCAAGTTGTTAACTTATCTCAAATAGACTAGAATGCTTATGTGGTTTCTAACACTGTATGACATTGTTAATCTATAAAAATGGATAAATGCTCAGATAAAGGCTTTAAGATGTCTCCTACTGTTTTTGCATAAGGTAATGGGTCAGTATAAGCTTCCATTTGTTGTTAGCTACATTAGCCTCTTAGTGCAAAGAAGCAAACTTCAGGCACCAAAGACGTCTTGGCTGAAGGACTCTTTTTGGTTTAAGGGAAAGATTGTGTACATTTGATTTTTGGCTGAACCACTGCTTTAAAACTATATTAATCTTAAGACTGGGTAAGTAACACTGGAGTATGTTTTTGCTCTACCTTCTTGTAAGTCATTGTGGCAGAAAACAACAGGAGACTGAGTGGATTCCAGTAGACACCTACACACACAATCAATTATTTAGCTTCTTATGCTTAACATGTTGCTGTCTTTCAATACCATGGTGACAGATTTGACTTTTTATCAAGTTTCTTGATCTCAGCCAACGGCAGTTTTCTTTAAATGGACACATGCATTTAAGGAATGTACAGAAGGAACTGTGGCTGAGGTGACTATATGTTAGAACGCCTCTGGGACACGGGCTGTATGAAATGTGTAGGTTTTACTGTGGAATGTGTGTATTTTTGTTGTTTGCTTTACCTGAGGCTCTCCATCTCCTGAGGCAGGTTGTAGCTCATTAGTCGGGTGAACTTACGCAGGTGTGTCTCTCTGGTGAAGGTCAGACTTTGCACCTGACGCATGTATCTGTGTAAGAGGGGGGCACAATGAATGACCTTGAGATACAGTAGATCACTGGGCCATAAATATTCAACAGGACTTCAAGTCTTCCATCACCGTGAAAATTCCCAGCCCTGTTCACCATTTCAGATCTTTACATATCTGGCCCTGGTATTCTGTGTATGGTTCTGTGGATTGTGCTAAACTGTTACAGGTGGGTTAGGAGTTGGAATACAACAAAAAAACTGATTTGACTGGGTGTCCTCAAAGTTTGAATTAGCAAGCTCTGACATGAGAAATGAAACCCAACCCCACATATCATATCAAGTAAGTGGACACTCAGTAAATGTCCAAGTCATTTAATAAGTGTATAGTGTAGAAAACCTTTACTAACAGTGTTTCAATCTTTGGCTCTTCCCTTTCTAGATCTTACATAAAAAAATGTTACCTCTCTGTCAGACAAAGTAAAACAAAACGACTTGAGTCTAGAGCAAACGCTGGCTAATATTTACCTACAGCTGCCTCCCTCAGGAGATGCTGTAGGTTACGGGACTTTCCAGTACAACACCACAGCCTGAACTATTGAAACCAGGGTTGCAGGGTCACTCACTTTTCCATGGTGCCAAACAGCCATTTGGGCTCCTTGTTAAAAGGCATCCTCATTCTGTGGAATTTAGCAATCTTCTCAGCAATCTCAGCACATATACTGGGTATTCTCAGTTCTTCAGTGGCAAGCTTTCTGCTCTGTGGACACAGAAAGAGCAGAGTTGAGAGAGTTAAAATTACTGTTTGATAACTATCTGATGAATCATCCAGTTAAACTAGTAGTTAGCGCTACATAATCACTAGTGCCACCCACTTGCAAGCTGAAACCACCTAAAACCGTTTGTTTGTTGACATACCTTTTCCTTTCCTTTTGTCTTTCCAGAAGTTGTGTGTATGAATTAACAAATGGTATATCATTAGTGTCTAGCATCTGCGAACAGACATTTGGGCTAGGTGTATTTACATTAACGATTCCAATTTCTATAGCATAATAGCTATTTTTTTCAGATGCTTTTATATGCATCAGAGAGGGTTTAATGCTTATGTTATCCATTTTTTTCAAATTTCTGAACTGACCTGATTACATAATCCTGGCTATGTGTAATCCAATACTACCCAACTTTGCAAATTCATGCAAGACATCTAAACACCAATGTAGAGCTAACTTTATTTATACTGAATTTCTGCTGATTCCTAGTATCATTACCTGTGAATATCATGCTTAACACAAGAAATCACTGCGTAATCACTGTGTACAACTGTGACTCAGAATAAAACTATAATGAAATAACAGGGGTGACACCTTATTTTGAGAGTCTACAGTACATGCTCTGTAGATGTTCACTTGGTCTATATCTATGTCTATAACATTCAATCAAATATTTATCAAATGCAACTGGACAATAAGTCAAAGGTTATAGATTCTGTGAAATCTAAACCTAAATACAAACCAAAACTAACTTCAATCCAAAATCTAAACCTGATCCTTAACCTAGCCTTATATGTAATGTTGCTAATAATCACCATTTCACCATATAGTTTGTTAACTATTAAAGCATCTGTCAATAATCTATACAGTCATTTGAACACCCTCTGTCAAATTACATGTTCTGTTTTTAATTTAAAGAACTTAATATAAAATATAATATGAAAAAAACACAAAATGTGGCCTGTGCAAAATGTATAGCACATTTAAAGCTTTATTTTTTCTAATATGCTAAACTCGGCAAATAAATTGTGCACTAAAATTTGCAGAAGAATGTGATATTTCAGTTTGCTCCCTGTAGAGGATGTGTTAACTTATTTCCACTCAACTCAAACAAATCAACAAAACCTGTAATATGACATAGGGTGTTCAAATACTGGTCAAATATTCAATTTGACCAGGGTCACCCAAACTTTCGCATACAACTAAGGCAGAGTGACCAATGCAGGCACTTAAGAGTATAAACTGAAATACTGAATAACAATTACAACTTTATTATATAATTCTAATAAAACTACATAACTCTAATAATTAGACTCTATTCTTAGCCTTTGAAAAAAAGAACTGTTACTGGTTCAAAATTCCTTCTCAAATTAATTAAACACCACATGAATAGGATGGCATGCACAATCACACATGCATGCACATGCAGACCAAAATAAAATGGTGACAGTTGCACCCTTTGGTTCCCATGCAAATATGACTGAAACACTGTCACCATGAGCCAGTCATGCATGCTGGCTTTCAAACACGAACACTCACATGTTTTCCTATCATAATGAGGACATTTGGTCCTCACAATGCCTAAATACAAACCCACTCATCCTCATAAACACAGACACAGGCAATTCCTGCTGGCTGATCAATGATCATGCCTTTATACTGTAAGACTCACTGGCACAAACTGTTCCAGTCTCCCCTGGGGGAAGATGCCATAGAGCTTAGGGCCCAGCTGCCTCTCGGCCAGAATGGCAAACATCACGCTCTCCAGGATCATAGCTTCAGCTCCCTGCAGACACACAAACACACACACATGATTTAACATTCAATCTCTCATCAAACAAAAGGTACAGCAGCTCTCCAGTCTTCTCACTCAGCCTTCCAAATCGCACCACTAAGAACGGCTTCAGTAATTGGTGAATTGGAAAGTCACATGACTCACATTGGACTATTCCTGGAGGTCTGTATGAATAGGACAGTGGGTGTTTGTTAGTTGAGGTCATTAACACTGGTCATCCTTAGGAAGGAGGGTTAGTAGGACAGATCGATGAACTCATCCACCTTCTGAGACACAGGCTAAGGTTTACATGCTCAGGCTTATGGTTACATCTCAATGGATCCACTGTTCACTCAATGTAGCAAATGTAACAGGTTAGAATAAAAAAAAAAATGAATGAATAAAAGCTGCTAAAACTTTTTAGTCTAAAATGTAATATACTGAAATTATATTCAAATCTATTCCAATTTAGAATATATTGGCCACATCATTTTAATATATTCCATTTTCTTACAGGTCCTTCCAGGGCAGCCTTCTGAAATGAATTCATTTTCCAATGATTTTAATGAAATGGCAGCCGGGGCTGATGGTCACATGTGAATTCAACAGCAGCACTGGAGCAAGTCGAGCTCAGTGAGAAAACGACAGCTCTAAGAAACAAGTGAACGATTGTGAGGAGAGGAGCTGAGCTTGCCAAACCGCTCCAGTCTTTAATTGTGCCTGCTTAACTAAGGATGACATCAGGCTTTTTCAAAAAGGCCTCGGAGTTGTATTTGAGTGCCAAATATGCTGAATTCCCTCATAGATTGTAACTATAACTAGATAAATTGTATATTATAGACAAATACAAAAGTGCAACATATCACCAGTAAGCATAATGAAAAATTTGGGGGGGATTTTTTTTTTAAAAACTTGAAAAACGTTAAAAAAAAAATCAATCTCATGATAAAGCTAGCTTTCTTCACCAGTGACACTGTATGTACATACAGACATAATCAATATGGTGGCCTTGTGACATGTGTCTGATGAATGAAAACAGCATTGAACCGATGTCGCGTTTTGCCGTCACTGCAGTGAGAAGCCACAGCCTGTGTTATGTAATGTATTATATTAGTGCTGATGTGGGAGTTCTCACATGAAAATCTCCTCAGCTCTTAATCTCAATAATAGTAATCATCCTGGCATACATTTTGTGCATGTTGCTCGCAGAGACAGTGTCAGGAATTCTCAGTTCAATGGCTTTGAAAGGAGAGCACTACGGAAAAAGTCAGCCAAAGTTTTGGCACCCCTGGTCAAATTACATTCGGTTGATTTTGAAGTGAAAATAACTACACGTCTTCAGTGCACGTCACAGAGAACACACTTCTGCACATGTTAACACATGTAACTTTTGAACAGGGCACATTTAATGTTTCTTATCTTCCCAAATATGTTAAATTGAGTGAATAAACATTAATTGTGCGTTTAAATGTGCAGAAGTGTGTTCTCTGTACTTTTTTAACTTACATCAAAAAAACATAATTTGACTGAGGGTGTTCCAAGTTTTGCATTAGACTGTACAATAAAGGCTGACAAGTACTTTTCACAGCAAAAGTAAAGAACTTCTTTCTTACTGAATCTAATATGAAACCGGAGTGCATTAACATTTAAAAAAATAAAAAACATACTGCCCCCCCCCCTCTAAATATACACAGTGACTGCAGAAAGGCCGCTTTCTGGTTTTATGCGGAGGCTGTGTAACGTAAAAGTAGAACTAATGGGTCTAATAAAAGAATCCCTACTTCCTTTTGCCCTGTTTGACTGGATTCATGTGATATTTTGCACCATGGCCCCCAGTTGCGCAATCCCACAGTCAACAAGAGAAGGCCAGCAAATGTGTGGAACCACATCCTGTTCTCTCCAGCAAAGCAAAACAGGAACATGAGGAGCAGAATGCAGCTCCAGCGTGGAAGGAAGCGGCACTTCCTCTAAACAAAGGGCCACTTTGGAAACAACCTTTCATTTTGAAATATGAGGAGTAACGAATTGCGGAAAACAATTTGGAAGTGTCAAGATTCAAAATCCGTGGGCCAACATTAATGATAAACTGTGCAGTCTCAGTCAGCAGCATGTCTGCTTCCTCTACTGTCTGCCATTCAACACTCCACTCAGGGAACACGTCCTGCTGAGGACTTTGGGAGGTGAATACATGCCTCAGAAGAGAGAGGAAGATCTCTCACCACAAGATCTCTGATGATTTTTTTCAGGAAATCTGGAATACTGCTCACCTCACCTTAGTTTAAGGGCCAGTATAAACGTCACTTCCTCATTCTCATAACTGGTTACAGTTGTTACTGAAAAATACATCTTAAGATTAATAACTAAATAATAAGCCTGCAGTTTAAGGTGTTACATGTACTTATGTTGTTTAACTCCTTGCAAATGCAAACTTCTTTTCCTCACTCTTGTATGAGAAAGTTTGGGCACGCCTGGTCAAATTACACATTTCGTTGATGTTGTAAGTGAAAGTAAGTTAACACATCCTCTACTAAAACTGTGCACTAAAACTGGCAGAAAAAATGCCATATTTGGCGTGTTCTCAGTAAAGAACGTCAATTTATTTTCAATTAGAAAATCAACAAAATGTTATTTTAATGGGAGTGTTCAATTTTTTGCATGCAGCTGTCACTATATAAATTACTAGTTTCATAGTAATTATTGTATGTTTTCAGATTAATAACAAAAGGGCTTTGAGAATAACTCCTGAAAGATATGGAGCTAAGATCTCCTTAATGCATAATTAAACATCTTTTAAATGTCTATACAGTCTAATATGCACAAAAACAGTCTGAATTGCAGGGCAGTTATGCATGAAAATATTCTAAACATTCTAGTTTGCCAGACTTTGTGTAGGTGTGCCGTCTTATCTAGATGTTGACTGTACACAGGCTGCATTCCTTGTGTTAACTAAGGAACACATGCTTCTGTAACTGAATAGACTTCTGAAGTGAAGGTGAAGGGCAAATTTTAAAGGTTTTCTGATCATATTTTTGAACACACATGCTTAAGAAAAGGCAAATCACTGAGTACCCAGCTTAAGAGATTCCACACCTGCATCTGCTCCTGACCGGTTCTCACCTGCTCCAACTCCTGACCGCTCCTCACCTGCTCCAACTCCGTCCTGGCACCTCCTGTTCATTAGCACCTGCACCTGTTCTCTATTCAAGGCCTCATTAACACATTCATAAATACTCCAGTTTCCCTCCGTATTTTGTGAAGACTTGCTAGTTTATCCAAGTGTTCACATGTGGGAAGTCACTACTTGTACTTAAGGAACATTCAGATGGATTTGTACTTTTTATTTCTAAACAAGTAGAGTTGTAAGCAAAATAATCTACTTTTTACTCATTTTAGTCATTTAGTTCCTCGTTCCTTTACTTATTAGTTACTTGTTTTTCAAATTTCTATGTATTTATAACCTTGGCCTGCCTCTTCTGGTGTAATGACAGTGTAATTACTTTTAATAAATTCTGCCTGTGCTTTTAAACAGTTGGACTATGAAAACTGCAAAAGTCCAAATAAACTAACTTGGCTCATGCATTCTACTATTATGACTCACATACATCTTGCACATTTTTTCAAACAGAACTAAGTTTAATAGAGCTTAGTCCTTTAATCCCGAAATCTCACCTGGTATCTCAGTCTGCAATGGTATATACATTGTTATAGATGACTTAGCATGATCCGGTATTTTCTGGGAATAATACACGACCCATACAGTCGTTATTATATAATATTATAAACCTGATCTCTGATCAAAGCATAGCCTGTCCAAGCACATGGTCATAGCTGCACGTAGTCATGAGAGATAATCCTTTCTATAAGCTCTGGAATATTCAACAATTATAACAATTACAACTTCAATGGCAGAGGCAATTCTACTAACTTTAAGAGGAACTGGGGGAACCTTATACAATCAAAAAAGGATGGTTCTTCAAGGGTTCTTTAGTAAAGGCGATGGTTCACTTTAGCACCACAAAGCGTTCATCTTTTGTTACGATGTCAAGCTTGTAATAATAGAAAAACCCTTTTTGGTGCTATATAGAGCCATAAGTAATATATTCTCCATCAATCTGAAGAACAATTTCACCATGCCATTTAAGCATGAAATGGTTCTATATAGAACTCATGGTTCGAAAGAGAACCATTGCCTTTACTAAAAAGCCCTTTAAAAAGTGTGGTGTCTAAGCTTATTGTTCAGTTAACTATTATGAATTGTTTGCTAAGTACTATGAAACTAATAAGAGAATTATGAAAGGAAGTCACGTGTGAACCCTTAGGGTTTAAGGGATAAAGTTCACACTGTCCTTCAAATGTTTTTTAAATTGTTTTTGTTCAAGCTGGAATAATTTGGCATCCATAATTTTATTGGCCTTTTTATGGGCGGAGACATCCAGCCCTTTGGCAAAGTCTACATCAGAAGTACACAACACGTACACGTTTCATTTATATATTCTAAAGCCACTAGTTTATTTCAAATGCTAGGACAGGGCCCAATGCTTTTTGTTTATTAGTCTCTTTATCCTCTGAAATTACTTGGCCCAAGACCCATTTCTTACGCTGTTCTGATAACCTGAAATGCATGACATGTTTGACTGCTGAGGTGCTGTCACAATTTGAAATGTTTTTATAGCCTAGCCTCTGAATGTGTTCTAGCCTGGCCATTTCCCAAGTTGGTAAAAAGTCACTCGATCCTAACTGCTGTATTAGGCAAAGAAACAGAGCCCATTCTCGAAGGCATTACGTTGTGGAATGCTCACAGAATGCACATTTTACAGAACTGTCTCACTGTAGAAACACATGAGATGTCAACTGCACCAACAGTAGAAGGTCTGTGTTTCTAATTATGTAGACGAAGCACATGGTCTACATCTGTTGAAGTATGTGAAAGTTACAAGGACAGAGTTCAGATACTGATGTGCACAATCTACTGATTTAATGCAATAAGTGTGAGTTTCATTATTGTCTTTGATTTCATTGTTAAATGTATAAATGTAAATCTATAATGTGAGTCTATAAACTCACTTTATACTACAGGTAAAAAATATTTCCCAGTCAAGTATATTTAATTAAGCATTTTAAATTGATGACTTACCAAAAATTTCTATTGCATTACAGAATCAAGTGAGGTTATTATTATCTTGATATGAGTTCTTATCTTCAGGAGAACAAAAAACCCCAGCTTCCTGTGCGCTCTCATTGGTTGGCTGACTAAAGCATACGATAGGCATTCTGCCAACTCACTCTACAGGTCAAAAGAAAAGTATGAATAGTTTAAACATTGTTCGCCCACCTTGACATAAACATGCTGGAAGAGCCAGGCAGGAAATGTTACATTTTTCTGCCCACACAATGATTTATCATTTCAAAAAAAACAAAAAAACAATGAGGTTCATAGCACTACAAAACAAATTTGTTAACAAACCAAAAAATGTAACCTTTTAAAAGAAGTGTAATGCCCACCACTTTGCAATAGCTGTTTATCAATTGTCCTATCCCCACACTAGCACAGAGAAATGGTACAAAACGTCACAAACACCTCGTAAAGTGACAATGACTGTACCAGCACTAATCCGGAGTGGCCAGCTTCTGATGAAAGCATGGCCCTATCCATGGCGTGACTCACCGTCATGACTCATACCAAGAGAGATAATTCCATAAGGTCAGGAACATGGCAGTAATAAAAAAAACTAATATTGCTATTAATAAATAAAAGCTAGTAGGGGCCAGTCACTGTAATAACATTAATACTCACTACTTTAACTATCTGCTTCTGGTAGAAGTATCTCTTCAAACTCCTTAAACTGCAAGCTTACCTTTCAGTTATTAATACGAAAATGTATTATTTAGTAAGGACAATGAATTGTAATGTGTGAGATTGTAATTTGGGTAACACTACCTTTTATCAGGGAGTTAGAGATTAAATTGTTCACAGCTAACCTTATGTTACTGGTTCTGCTAATCCAGTTTTCCCCCCATCATAGTTTCTTAACTTGTACATAGTTGGATTAAATATTAGAAGTTAAAAATACTGAAATATCATCATCATAACAAATCAAATCTCCTAAGTGGTCACTTTCCAAGAGGGACAAAAAAATCTTAACTTTCAATGTAAATTAATGTGACAATATTTCATTCTATGTAACTATATCTGTTGGCCCATTTGTCAATATTCACATAACATAAAAAGCAGCTGGCATTTTCAAATGGTGTTAAAAATGAAGTTACAAGGTTTTGCCTTAAAATGTAAAAAATAACTTGCAAGCAGTTGGATTTAATATTAGAAGAAATGAATAATATTGAAATATTGCAGTTGTTGTAACAAATCCAGTCTCCAAATTTTTAAATGTTCAGAAGGGGAGAAAAGTTAACTTCTAATGTAAGACAATGTGACAATATTTCATTCAAAGTAATTTTAAACTACTTACGTTGGCCCATTTGTTTATATTCGCACAATATAAAGAGCAGCAGCCATATTCAAATGGTGCTTACAAAAAGCAGTTACATGGTTTTGACATGAGAGCGACAATATATATTTGCCTTAAAATACAAAATATTCCGCAAACATGAAAGCACAGAAAGCGCAGCACCAATTAGAAAACATGATGTGAAAGTGCAGTGCCAATAATTTTGCTGTCACGAGGCAAGGTGCACACCCTGACACAGAAATGGCAGAACAGGACGAGTGACATAACATGTTGTAAAACATCCATATTTCATTGCCATGGATCACTGGCTATGAGGTTTGGTTCCCTGGGCAACACCTGCTGCCTCAGTCGCTGGCTTAATCAATCTCTCTCTATCTCCCGCTCTCTGTCTCTCGCTCTCTGACTAAGCAATGGTCATGTGACTTCAGGGCAGGGCGGCAGCTGTGGGGTTTTTCCACTGCTTCGTGCCCCAAGCAGATCAGCCCACTCAATCAGCAGCATGTAGACAGCAAGACCCTGTGTAGGGCAAAGATCTACCGCGTTGTAGCGACTGTGTAATTACGCGTGGAGCTCATGCAGTGTGAGTAGTACATGACAGAAAAGTAGCCCTTGTTAAACACATGCAGACTAGAACACATGCAAAGTAGGCAGCTGATGTCCAAGGAGGGCAGACAGGCGAGCTGTCTGACGTCCGGCGGCAGACAGCGGGGTTAAGCTTCTAATAGGATCCTTCACTATGTGCATTTGATGCTAGTAATGCGATTCAGCTGCATCAGGGGAGGAGAAGAGCTTTTAGGTGTTTAGGTCACTAATTCCAGGTCATCACTCCTCAAAGAAAGGACACATTACTGTGAGGCATTAAAGGAAATGTTGATATACTGCTACTAGTGGGAAATCATGTTTTATGTACTTTCATAAGCCTTGGGCAGTGCTTTTATTTTTCTGTACCTGCCCAGGGAAAGCAGCTGAAAATTAGCCAAACATTTACAGAAATGTTTCTTATCGTCCCTTGTTCCTATAAGTCTAGACTGAATAAAGTAATGTATTAGGGGTGATATTGATATGGGAACAATACAGGTATGATCAGATAGATTTAATGATTTGATGTATTTACTGTACCCCAAAAGAGCCGAACATTTAGGTGACACTGAGCAGCTATGCCAAATTATCTGCATTTTATTCATTTTTCTGTATTTGTAACCTTAAAAATAAATGCTGCATTTCTCTGTACTCCTAATCCAGGCAGATCTCGTCCAATTTCTCCATTCTATAAATGCTCAGCATCTGTATTTGCATTGGCAGATATGTACAGAAGTTTAACACCATATACAAAAGTCTGAACACCAGCAGTCAAATTATATCTTTTGCTACTTTTCTAAGTGAAAGTAAGTCGACACATCCTCTACAGGAAACACACTTTTCTGGATTTTGGCATGCAACTTCTATTTATTTACTGAGTTTAACATATTGGAATACAATTAATACATAAACTATAAAATGTGCCATGACTTTTTCACAGGCCATATTTGGGCCCCTCCAATGAAAAAACCATATATTATCCCACTCTTTTTTGGATTATCAATTTTTTTGTTTTGTTTTGTTTTTTTTATACAACCTTTTACATTAAAAGCCAAATTTAGCTTTATTTACATATTAGTGACCCCTTTAATTCAAATACAGAGCATCAACCAACACCACGCTTATAAATATGATTTTTACAAACAATTTCAGATATACTATTTTCATTGATTTTTTTTCCTACCTATGTTAATATTAACAGTATAAACAGTAATTGTGCACAAAAATGTTAAGTTTGTTCTCTGTAGAGACATATTGATGTATTTTCACTTCAAAAAAATCTACAAAACATGTCACTTGATCGGGCGCCCAAACTTCCGCATACAACTGTATATAAATAACACTGGATATCAGCATCAGCCCACAATTCCCATATGGATTCATCCCAATAAATTAAAATTATTAAAGTATCACAAGTATTATTTGAAGTATTTCTGCTTTTCTCAATGAAGCTTTTGATTCAGTTGATTTAGAGCTCCTCTCTGCAGTGGCAACGAGCTAAAATGGCAGTCCAGAACATGTTTATGGAAGAACATGACCTTTAAGGTTTAAGAAATCACAGTGAGGGCAATTCAAAACACAAAACATCAGACGACCCAAATGATCTTCATCTACCGGCCATGTGCTGGAAATATAAACAGAGCACCAAAACAGCAAAGGGACTGTCTGATTGCTTAACATTGCAAGTGCAGCACTATAATCATAACATGGTCATGCATTGTGGTTGATGTTTGGCTCTGAATGGTACAGGTAAATGCGGTACAGAAGAAAACGAATAAATCAGCTATGAAGTAATAGAAAGGCTAAGCAGTGAGGCATGAAAGTGACTCATATGTGTTTAATTTTCCTATTCATTACTCAGTAACCACGTGTCTCATGAGGAGGGATGATTAACAGAATAATGTGTTCCTAAAAGATGCTTAGAGGTCAAGGGTAACTCTCAATATACACGCAAATGTCATACAAATCCCAAAGTTCCCAAAAAAGAAAAAACAAAAAACCTTTTCCATTTGTTACTTACTTGAAAGTGATTTTCTTTGTTTGACTGTCTGGATTCCCCTTTATTACAGGACATCTAGCAATGAGAGAAAAAGCAAAAAACTAACCATGAGCACAAAGTGTTTGTTTTCTTTTTTCCCCTTTTTTAAGAGCCATTTGATCTTCACAAGGAAGCAGCAACAGACGACGAAAAAGTCCCCTCCATTTAAAGAAAAAAAACAGTTATAACTCAGTACATTCTATTAGTACCGTGTTGGAAGGATAGTGGAGTATAACTTTCAACAAAACCCACAATGCTTTAACTTTATAATCAAGCAAAAGTAGAGAATATAGAAGCTCAGGACAGACTCAGTAGCTAGGAATTTATGGCTGGCTGTTCGAGATGCATGGGTCTCCCAGTCTTTTTGTTTGTTTGTTTTTTTTCCCTTATCTTAAGGCTAAGATAGATCTCTGAGAGTTGAGCATTTATTAAGCAGGTTTATAACTGCAATTATCAAAACCACATTCCGGCTGACTGAATCCTAGACTGTTCTCAAATACCGTTCAGAACAAGAATCCATTAGCTACCATTTTAGTAGGAATGAATTTATCAGTCTAAGTGGTTTGGTAACCACAGTGCAGAACACTAACTCTTTCAATGCAAAAGCAATTACTGACACATCAATAAAAAGCCTATTGTACTACAGGTCACTGTGGGCCGCTTTGAATTTGTGGAGATATATCTTCAGGTAAACTCTCAGATACACTCAATTTTAAGCTTGATTTTTTTACACAAACGATTTAACCAGTGACCTCAGAGGACTAGAATGTGGAACGAGTACCACCTTATCAGAGAAGATATCAGAGAGGATATTGCGCACTATGAGTTTTACAACAGTCGTTTCTTTTTATAGTACCTAGTATCTGTCTTAAGATCATTGATAAGTCTCAAAGAAAAGGGAAAGCTGACTGCACACTAAACTGCACTGATTCTATATTTAAACCGAATTTAAGCTCATCTAAACTGTTTAGAGAACGTGTGTAGAGAAAGCAGACAGAGGCAGAGGATGTTTCAGACAGAGAGCAATGCGCACAATAAGGGTCAATGTCATAAGGTTTAAGCTTTTGACATGATGTGCGAGAACTTGGTTGAAGACAATGCTGTGGCTTCAGGGGATCTAATACTGTACCGTGACTGGTATGGTGGGATCACCTGGAAACAAGAGTGCTCAAGGCACGCTCCTTTGGCAAGCCTACGGCAAAGAAGACACGCATGTACAGCCATGGAGGTACATCACCCAACAAATACGGCAGTCCTCATTCAGACACCAGCATGCAGACGAACAGACGTCACACATGCTCTCACTCTTACACGTACACATAACACACACACACAGACCCGCTCCCCTTTTTCATTGAGAAATACAAAAAAGTCCTGTGGCATCAACTTTCAGCCATAGATTCTTGGAGGTGGACCTTAATGACAAGTAACATTCATGGCCTACAGTTGCAGACAATTGGACATTTGGAGAGTGACATCTATAACATGTGGAAATGCCACAGTGCCCTAATAAATGACAAAGCATTTTCAGTTAATCATAGAATATAAGTTACTGCCATGTTTTGAACATTTGGCCCAAATTCACCCATGGGATATACTCTGCCCACAGACTTCTATCAGCTTACCCATTAATGATTAACTGACTTGAAAGTAGGACTGTGAATGGAGTGAGAAGAGAGCAGGGTGAGTGTGGTCCAACAGCTATCAAAGGGGTTAATCTGCCCTTATCCTCCATCCACATTACTGATACATTGACCTGTGTGTCCTCAGCCACTTTATCGATGGACCGTGGCCACAGGCAAGTAGGGCAAGTGGGCGTTTCGAGCATTTCCATTTGTTTTAAGCTAAGGGAGGGGGGAGAGACCTGGGTCGTGTCGACACGTGTTGAGGCAGTCTAAGGCATGGCCCACCATTACCTCACCGCACAGCTACAGCAGCTACAGTGAAACTCAAAGCAGATGGCAATGCTCATGGTAGACTGGTGTGGATGGCGAAGCCCACCTGCAGAATGGCTCCGTACAGGCGCAGCAGCACGTTCCTCGGCTCGTCCCCGACACTCTGCTGCTCCTCCGGGAGAGCGCAGAGAAACAGCTTGTTACTGAGACCCCCCCTGCGGTTCAAAAGTGTGGGGAAAGAAAAAAAAGGCACAAATCAACCATTAAATTCATATTTTATGCATACAGCGCTCATGTACGAGCCCACTAGCCTACATTGTTCACAGTGCTGTGTGTACGACATTCTCCCACCAGCAGCTGTGCTTCTTTTCAGTTAAGTTTAAGAAACTAGCACAGCACCTACAGCAGCACATACAGTGCCCTACAAAATGGAGTTAAGAGCTCGTCATGGATGCTGACCCAGGAATGAACCCCTAATGATTTAATCGGAGCCTCTTAGTCAGAATAGCGCGCAGAGCAGACTTGCGGACAGTGAACACGCCTGCAAACAGCAGCCTACCTGATGATAGTGATCTGAAAATCATCTTCTTCAACGGTCTTCCAGGCTCCGTGCAGAAACTCTCTGCACCACAGATACGCCTTGTGCTTCGTCTGCTGGTCGGGCTCGTCCGGGCGAATGTCTTCGCACTCGGGCTCCGTGTCCGGCTGTACTTGGAGCGCGTTTTCTGTCACCAGTAAACCCAGCGACATTGAGGGGGATGAGGAGACCCCATTGATGAATTTAGTCTTCATGTTTGCCTAGTGAGGACTAGAAACCAGTTTCATAGGACGCTGGGACTCGACTTGAGATGCCTGTGTAACGGCTGACGGTGAGTAGCGGGGAGGAAAGAACAGATACTGAAAACCAGCAACAGCAGCAGTTTGAGCTGACTGAACTAGTGCGCCTCCTTTCTGCTCGCCCTGCCTGTCTGCGTGCGGATGGATACCCTGCGTATGGCGTTTGTTGTCGTGCGCGATTGGCTCAAGCAAAGAGGTCAGCCGCCCCATGGTGGAGCCACGCCCACCCAACAAACCACGCCCATTCTTCAAGCCACACCCATTCTCATCTCTGATTTGTCGACGCAGACACAGCCCTGTAACGATGGTGTGTCTGTGTGCCGCAGCCACAGCATCAACAACAAAACGCTGTCGGGATTTTTCACATATTTTTACGATGACTCCGGCGAAAAGGTCGACGTTTGACACGTAGGAAGTGTAAGGCAAAGTATAACACGATGTGTTTGTGGGAAGACATTTCCTGTCAAGCTGGACAAAGATTTGGTCCCAGAAATCACGAGAAAAAGTAAAAAAAAAAAGCTCTCTAAAGGGGAGTGCTTTATATATGATGTTGATAGCGGTAAAATAGTTATAATCGCAAAGTAATATGTGTTCTTTGGGTACCACGTGCCTCTTAGACTATTATTTAGTCTTAGATAAACATTTTTGGCCACAATCCCTGTTGAAAAAAATCATAGAAACCATTACATTTTTTTCTTTTGGTTCCTGGTGGTGTCCAGTAGTCACTAATGGTATTTAGTGTTTTCCTGAGGGGTTGATATTACAGGGTACAGGATCCTAATAGTGGTTGACAGGTGTTCTGAGACTGATTCCAGATGTATTTGATGGTTTCCTAATGGGATCTGAAGGTGTCCTACAGGAAAATAGCAAACGATCAGATTTTAATCCCAATATGGTTCTAATGGTCTTTTTTTCAGAAGGGAACTCTGAGTCTCTCAGGCAGGTGTAACCATTTCGTGTAATAGCTTGGGTATGATGTAGCTTTTAAAAGCATTAAATTCCTGATGTCTGAACAAAACCTTGTGTCTCGAAAATGGTAACTTTACAGGAGAAGGAAAAAAACATACTTTACTTTTATTGTAAATCAATAGAACCTGATTTTTTTCCAAGTAATTTTGGGCCATTTCTTTTAGTCCATTCATCATGAATTTTACATACAATGTAAAGGGCACCAGGCATTTTCAAATTATGTCAAAAACTGAAAAATGACAAAAATGGAGATACAAAGTTTTGTTCCTACAGCTGTAAAATGCTTCAGATGTCTGATTCCTATCACCACCACTGTGAACAATTCTGACTTAATAGGTTTCTCTAAAATGGCACATTCCACATCAAACCACCCTGAATGACTTTGTTTACATCTTAAAGATTTAATTATGCAGAACATTTGACAAATTGATGGAATTCCCCTTTACGGGGGGGAGAGAAAGGTTTCCAAATTTTACCTGTGACACATTTCACACCAAAACAAAACAGGGATGCTCATTTGCAAATATGTAGAGTCTTGGACCACACGTATTGTCAGAATAACAGAATAACAGAATTATTTCGTGGTCTTTTATCACCCCTGGTGTCTCAGGTGCTTCTAACATGAAACAAACTTTATATCATTATGGTATGAGCAGGTATTTATATAAGTGAAATGACTGACTCTATTATTTAACTATGCACTACTGAACTATTACAGTGTGCACGACGTGCAACTGCTGAGAAACAGCCTACTACAGTGACTATGACTGTTTTACCGTGTTAAGTGAGTCATTAACCCTGCCATGTGAGCAGTGAGGACGTGTGGCCTACATTCTGATGTACCATTTGGGTCATGAGTTTAGAGAGGAACAACTAAACCCAGAAAGCTTAGTGTTGTGCTTTCAGCCCAGCGTTTTGATAGACCTTCACCAGAACATGTAGATCAGTCTGTCACGTAAAACCTCTGGGTGAGTCTTTACTGACACCAGTAAAATGATCCTCCACACCCCTCCCCAAAACATGAGGTCAATGTAACTACAATAAAAATATTAAAACTGTGTTGAGTACAATACTATGATTTTTAGTATTCCTATAATTTAACTGTAACTGCCTAATAAAATCTGTTGAGCCTTGACCCAGAGGAGACCTTGAAGGCCACATGAATAAGTTAACTGCAAGCGAATGGAAAATCACCAGTTAGAATGACTGTTTATGTAGGTAAACCACATCATACATCAATGAATGACTATCAGTCCTTCTTTTCAAGTACTACACTGCTTCTTCCTGTACTCAGGAGGATTAGAGGTTCCTAAGGTTTCACATAATCCACAATGGCATGAATAATCTACAATGGCATGAATTTGTCATGCTAAGTTTGTCATGCTAAGTTAAACTACTATGAAAAAGTCTTGTATTGTTCTGTAGCGCTCATTAATGACAGCGGTCAGCTTGCACTGAATCTAACAAACCTCCCTGATGGTATTACAGTATAACTCCTCTGTAACATAATGCTTATTTGCACTGCTCTGCATTTTTTTTTTACAAATGTTCATGTAATTCTGTAATATTCTGTACATAATAGTTACTAAATGTTTATTTAGACATGCATATGTATTAGATATGCACACATCTCTTTAGCTCCTTTTACATACTCTTTAATGTTCTTTCAATTCTTTATCTATTCAATTTTTATGTCTCTTAGTTAAATATTTGTCAACAATCTGTGTGTTTGGTCTGTTCCATATACATGTGTGCACTCACCAAGACAAATTCCTTGCATGTACAACATACTTGGCAAAATAAAGTGATTCTGATTCTTCACCTGAAACACAAATCCTGAGGACACGTGTAGACAGCAGAATATCTTGAAAATGACTTTTATATTGTTTTCAAGTACTCAAAACAGTTAAATAAAAACAAGTCCCAGAATATACAGAGTGAGCAAGCCCCCCCCCTCCCCCAAAATGCATGTATACGTCCCACATTGATACTTTCATGAAGTTCTACATAGGAAGTCTAAGAAGAATAACATCTTGGGAGGATTTTTGTTATCATTATGAAAATCAGAATCTGGCAACCTGTCTTAGCTCATAGACAGTAATGTGTACCAGACAGGAAGAAAAAATATACAAATAAAGAGAAAATGTCAGCTGCCTACTCATATGGTGAGCAATTAATTACAAAGCTAAAATCACTCTAAATAGTTGCCTCATTGGCAAAGCACAAAATGCCAAAGCCAAAAGGTCAAAATGCTATAATGAATTTTAAGATTTGGGCCAGATTACCAGTGGAAGAAAAATTAATATGCTTCAATTTCTATCAGTTTTTGTCCTTTAGCACATTTTCCTATGGGATTTCCAAGATGTTCACACACTGTTTAAGGTGTCTTATTTTTTAATGGACCAGCACCAGGCCACAACAATGAGCACCATGACCTTGGATGGCCAAAATATCAGATACATGATACAATTTGAACACAAAAAAAAAAATTCAAGTGGAGAGAATTTTATGTTTAGTTTTTGCAGCCCCTCTGTACATTTTTTTTCCACTATTCCCTTTAGACATGATGAGTGAAACACATGATCCTTCTGAAAACTGCTATCTGAACTCAAAAAACTGATGCCTAGCATCTGAGGTGGACTCATGCATTGTGTTTCTGAAAGTGGATGAGCAGATCCCAGCCCTTTTTGCCCCTCAGTAGGCTGAGATGTTGAGGAAATAGTTCTACCAAAATTCTTATAATGCCAGTCATGAATGAAAGCTTGCAGGGCAAGTTAGCAATGTGCAAACAAGATCACGCTAACTGCTGGCTTTCGGGGCCCTGCTAGCTTTTATCTGACATTACTGTTTTGGTTAAACTATTCCTATGAGATAAAACAGCAAAGCTGGACAAAACGCTGACAAACATCTGCACATTAAACAGACTTGGATAGAATTCATACATATCTGTACACTTTCTACAATATTTATATTTGCAAGGAATAAACAATAAAGAAGTGCCATCACTAAAATGTAGAGAAAGATATCTTGTGTCGATTTTAATTGTACATTTGCCATTTTTTCGCCCCATTTAAATTACATAATTCAAATGAATACATGATTGGTAAGAACGAGGGTTATTTACACAGCTTATGCATTGAGTCTAAGTGACTGGTCCTCTCTTCTTCTAGAGGAGATGTCGATGTCTATGGAATCTTTGCCCACAATGAGGCGTAGGCGTTTCGCTGGTGGAAGTGGGATGAAATCATCCTCGTTGTCAAAGTAGTCCTCCTCCTCATCCTCAGAAGTGAGTGAGTCCTCCTCAATGTTCTGCCCCACCTGGGCTCCCACTTCGTGCTCAAGCACCTCCCCAGCCTCCCTCTTGACGATCCCAGTGAAGGTAACGTCATCAGGATAGGTCCGTCGCAGACCCGTGCCGTCCTCCTCACGCTTTAGCTGGATCTTCAGCTTGGTGGAGCTGCTGTGAGGGCCATGGCCAAAGCCATTGTTCAACTTGGCCACGTATGAGCCAGTGCGCTCCTTTTCACGTTCCTTGCTGAACTTGATGCTGATCTTTGAGGAGCTGGACTTGGGGTGCGAGGGCTTGGCGTCCCGGGGGTCCGCCTTATTGCTGCTGCTGCTGTCCCGTCGCCGCCGCAGGGTCAACTTGGGGATGCCTGTGTTGTTCTCCAGGATCAGCTGGGCATCGTAGCGCGTAATGCGCCGCTTCTTCTTGCCTTTGCCGCGCCGTAGTGGCTTACCATTTTTGGTTGAGCCATTGTAGTGCTGGTGGTGGCCCGGAAGGCCGAGTGGCACCTTTCCACAGTCGGCCACGTCAGCAGCCCGGGCTGCATGTTGTAGATCTGGCACGCCCTCCTGGAGAAAGTCATCCCCATAGGAGCCCCCCACCTCCTCTTGTTTTATTGTCCTCCTCCTCCTGGGGCATGTCCCTTTCCTTGGACAGCTAGCTTCGAGGCTAGGGGTGTTCATCTGGTGCCCGACTGTCACTGGAACAGGGTCTCCAGGCTCCATCTTGAGGGCCAAGCCACCGGCTAGCTTAGCTGGGCTGTTTGACTTTAGCCCTCGCCTGCTGCCAGCAGCAGCCTCCTGAGCACCAAGAGAGGTCCTGGTGGACCTACGAGTTCTGTAAGGGCAAGGCACACTGTCCTTGCATGCTGAAGCACCCTTTGGGGAGTTCTGACTGTTTTCGTGAACTGCCGCACGAGTTACACTACCCCTACAGCTGGAGAGCTGAGTGGGCCCTCGCCTGTCTGCCTCTCTTCTGGAGGACTGCTTGAGACCCAAGCTCCCAGCACTTACTCGACTGGGGGCTTTCAGTTCTGCTGCTCGACACCATCTCCTTCCCTTAGACAAAGGCTGAGTGGGCTTTGATTTAAGTCTCTTTGGTAAACTGGAGTTGTTTGTTTGACTTCGTTTAGAGGATGAGGTAGAGGTAGGAGTGCTTGACAGAATTTGCCTTGTAGAAGCTCTGGCTTTGCCATGCTTTTTGAGACAGGGCTGAGACGTCCTCTTCCGTAATGCTGGGTGAACATAAGGAGGAAAAAAGATTAATCCACTAATTCAATTACATATCACAAGGTCCTCTTTCTCCAAACCAAAATAAAAACACATTAAGACCATTAAAGCCTTGTTTTCACATGCTCTTACATGTTTGTCCACTTGGTGGTTCCTGAGACTCTGCTTCTGTGGAGGCAACGGACTGACTGTCCGAGTTCCTGCTGCCCTCCCCCAGCTTTTTCAGTCTGTTGAGACGCTTGTCAGTCTCCCTCAGGCCATACTTGCTATTGATCACTGGCACCTCCACAGGCAGCCCTGCTTTTGACTTAAAAGCACCAGTGCCACGCCTGAAATTATATCAAAATAAGCACTGTAAGCAGAGTAGCACATCTGCAAATACCTACCACACATTCTCCCATCTTCTTTATTTAAATAAACCTTCATTTCTTGTTTAAAAATTGCAGTTTATGAAGTTGCCATGAATATAAAATACGGAAAGGATGTGGTACCTTTCACAAGTATAGCATTCACAAAACTCGTTGTTTTCTCCAAAGAAGCCATCTCCATAGTAACAGGAGATCTCTTCCCCTGGTTCAATGTCCCGTAGGACCTTCACACATGCAGTGTCTCGACCTGTTGATACAAACTGTAACAAACATTTCCACCAGCTATTTTAGTTTTTGCACATGTAGCTAGTTAATCTTCACATGAAGCAATGATCCTTTTCTATTCAGGCTTAATGTGTACCAACCTTGCAATTTGGCCGACAATCTGTAACAGAAAAAAGAAAAAAAAATGAAATGAAAATGAAACTCCGTTCCATTCATTCAGCAATTAGATTTTTAGAATGGTTGAGTTGTGGAAGTCTTTTGGGTGAGAGTGTAGGGACTGAGGGTGTGTGAAGAATGGGGATGGAGGCTAAGGACCTATGAAAAACAATGGAGTTGACAATATCTAAACAGTGTAGTTGTATTTTGTGTAATGTAAGACGTTAACAGTGTGAAGTTGTAATCATGCTCCAGACCTGCCATCTTTCTTCTTTCTTTAAGCCAGTGTTTTCCCTGTTCTGCAGCTTGTTCTTCTATGTTTCTATTAGTTTATGTCCTTGATGTACCTGCTCTTCTAGCCTCTCTCCTTTATCTCCATTGTCTTGTTGCTGACTTTGCTGACTTTGCTGCTTTTGCCTCTCTTCCACGGTCCTTTCTTTCTTGCTTCCCTGTCTAGTAAAGCAAACCCTATACTGTCGCTGACAATTATGTACCAGACCTGCTAGTGTTCGAGTTAACAAAATTGTGTTTTTACAAAACATACAAGCAATTTAACCTCCATGGCTAACAAAAAGAACAAATGTGCTTTAAAGGTGGGTGATTTGGTTCTTATTCTTTCTTGAGGTATTAGGACAAATTGTACCACGTACCATGATTAATAAAGGCAGCAGGTCCCAGCCAGAGCTGAGCACAGTTCTTACGTGTAGAGTACATGACACTGAAGTCATTTTCTCCATGTCGTAACAACATCTTTTCTTCACTTGCAGACAGCTCAGCAATGCAGCCAACAAGGTGTTCAATTTTATCATTCCTTTTCCTAAACAAAAAAACAATAATGAATACTTGCTATAATCTTACAAGAAAATCAAAGCTTTATTGACTGGATAACTTTAATGATTAGTTTACCAATCTTTTGTTGCTACAATTTTGGCTCCATTTTGCTCTGATGAATAGCGATTGCATGGAAGAATCTCAAACCCACTGTCTGTAGCAAACATACGCAAGTAAACAAATACCTGCAGGAAAAAGATTTAAACGTATGATTGAGTGTGCCTAATGAAAGACAACTTAATGTATATACCATAAGTCCTGGAGTACCCCTGTCCCGAACATTTTGTGTTTTTCTGCTCTAATCTCACACACTTTAGCTCGGGAAGGACTTATAAATTATTTGAATCAGGTGTGTTATGAGCAGAGAAAACCCAGGGTTGGGACAGCTGCTGTACACCACAGGAGGCTAGGAAAGTTTATTTTTTATAATAAAATTTACATGTGCTTTGAAGAGCTTCTCCTGGGCCTTGGTCTTGTTGAGAAAGTGATGTCTGCTCCATTCTCCAGAGGTCAAAGCCTGGAAGGCTTTTTCCAGGTTGTCATTTTTCTTGAAGCGTTCAATCACTTCCCTAAGCTCAGCTTGTCGACCCGTGATTGGCCGAAACCTAAAAAGATGAAATCACCCCAAGGTTACAGACACTGACCATCAAATTTCAAGGCTACTCAACACTAATCACTGAATCCACTTAAATAAATACAAACCTGGTGTTCATTTTGTGGGTCTGGAAGCCCAGGTAAGGGTCCAGGATCAGGCTGGTGGACAGGTCATCATATTCACACAGCTCCTTTGCTGTCATCCCAGAAGAGGGCACATGACGCCTCTCTGGCTCTGTGGCTGCCCCACTGAAACCTGAGGGACAATGAAGCAGAACTAAAAACCTTGAAGGAAGCTGAGCTAACCACTGAAAAGTAAGGCAAAAAAAAGCCTGAAGCTGGAGAAATGTAATAAAGTCATTATGCTTACATTTAACCCAGCTCAAAAATATTTTGCTGTTCCTTCTTTTCTGCATGATTTTATTGGAGCACTTACGTCTGCTGCATCTCCTGCCACTAGGGGAGCCCTTGCTCTGGCGCAGATGGGCCCTCTGCGTGTTCTGCAGCCTGGTCTTTCCAACGGGCTGATCACTGGAGAACCTACTGCCATGTCTCCTGCCATTCAGCACCATGTTCTTGGTTTCTCCCATCTACTTCATACCAGCTAGCTCCCTGGTAAAGGCGCATTTAGCTTCTATGTGCTTATGAGAAACCATGCGATGTGGAGGGAAGCAGTGCAACTCGTTTTCGTCTCCCGCTTGCATGGGCAACTTAAACACACACTGCAGACTGTAAACTCACTTGTTGATCCAGAGGCTACTTCCACCTGTTAAAAGAACATATGAGTAATTCAGTGCAAATAACTATTATAGAATAATACTACTAAAACATGTTGAAATGTAAATAGTGTGCAGTGTTGGAATGACTGGAACGATGGGGAATGTTAGGTTGTGTGCTGATTTACAGTGAAGAGTTGAGGTGTATTGTTGAAACGGAAAAAACAACTATGAAACACACTGCCTTTAAAAACTAAGAGGAACGGGGCCTTTGACCCCGTGCCTGGGCAGCGACCATAAAAGAAGAGCAAACTGATGTATCTAATCAACAGAAAACCAGACAGAGTACAAACAGTACTTAGGCTTGATGTGCTGGTTGAGATGCAATGTATTACTGAGCGCAGGCTGCCACCCATCGGTTGCTAAGGGAAATGAAATCAGCTGCCCGAAACGCAATTTAAAGCTACATTTTCAAAACACTTGTTTTTGGGAATTACTGCATACTTGTTGATAATGTTTGATAATATATGTTACTATCATAATTGATATAAAACAACCGAATATCGCTCTCTGCATGTACTAGCTAACTAACCAGTGGCAGCAGCGACCTAAACGTTATGGGATCTATAACGTTAACCTAGCTATCTACGTTAACTCTATTGTCCATTTAAATAGAGTACACCACGGCAGAGCCAAACCAACCTGATCTAACGCGAAACTAGATTCAATACTTACTGGACAGTATGATAAACTAGCACATTAAGCGAAAGCCAACATGAACTTTGTTTGTTGCTAGCAAGGCTAGCTAATTTGTTTAAGCTAAAATTTAGCACAGAGGTGGCTAAGTTGGTTAGCTATCACGGAGTTAGCCCGTTAGCTCCAGAGCTTCGCCGGAGAGTGGAGTGCTAGCTGCTAGCCTGAGCTCCAGAATAAGAAAACACTTGGCAACTGACACTGATAACTCGGCTAGCTCAGATAGCACATAGCTAGCGCGCCCAGAAGACAATGAAATTACCTAGCAGAACACAGTAATGCCCACTGACAAAAGAAACCGCTGCAGGTTAATTCTTCAAACATGGTTTGCCAAGACAGACCGATATTAAGTCCATCGACTTTCACCACTCGGGCCCGAGAAAGACTAAATGATAAGCTAACACAGCTAGCTGGTCCTAGCTGTTAGCTCGCACGCTAACCGCCCTGTCGGCTAACAAACGCACCCGGAAAGTGTCAAATAGGGAATGAGCTCGCAAACAAGAGTAAACCCATGCTTTAATACTCACTCTGTCCTTTTTCTTACGTTAACACTTATCCGTCACCGGCGCACGAAGCGAGCGAAACGGCTCTCTAAATATGCCATATAGCAAAACAAAAAAATTGCCAGATAATTTACATTAAAATTCAAGATGGCGACAGGGGCTAGAGTGGAAAGATAGGACACAGAACCTCCTCCGAAAGAACTAGACCCTGAAAATACAGTCGCCGTTCGCTGGTGCTTTCTAGTCTGAAGTTAAGTCTTGTGCAGATCCAAAAAGAGTCCAATTAACGCGACCACAGAGGCGCAGACGGACTGTTTTATCAAAGACTACAGTGTCCTGCCAAACTCGGATGTGTACAAAGAGGAGCGCTGTTATTTCCCTTTAAATCTCCACTCGTGTGACTGCGCAGCTCACCGGCGTGCATAGCAACAACATCCTCTCACACCGAGCCAAACCAGACAGAAAATCCCATAGATTTACATTCACTGCGATACTTAAAGAAAGTTGACGGTTTCTAAATGTGGATTTTGATATTATAAAGCTGCAGGTCATATAAAATAGTGTGTTATATGGTAAAATGGGACACGCATGTAATAGACCCGAATTAATAAAGCCATTCTTTCATTCAGTTTCCACGCAACAATTGTTTTTTTTAAATTATTCAGATATAATTTACAAAGCACCATTATACTTCAGCTAAAACATATAAACTAACTAGAGTTTAATGGTGTCCCCCATTACCTTATGGCCCAGAACACTGGAACACCACACAGAGGGACAGTAACTGTGCTGAGGAGTTATTACACATTTTAACTAGGCTACGTGTCCTGCCATCTATTCAAATGATAGGCCACACTCTTAAAAAAGATGATTCTTCAATGGTTCTTTAGAAAAAGCAATGGTTCTATTTATAACCATGAGTTCCATATAGAAACTTTTGCGTGGTTAAATGGTTCTTTGCGTGGTGAAATTGTTCCTCAGATTAATGGAGAATGTGTTGCATATAGTTCTATATAGGACCTTTTTGAAAATGGTTCTATTTAGCGCCAAAAGGGCTCTTCTATTGTTAAAGCTTGACATCGTAACAATAGCAGAACCCTTTTGAAGAAGGCTCTGTATAGAACCATATGCAACATTTTCAATCCATCTGAAAAAACATTTGAGCATGCGAATGGTTCTTTAACTGTTTGTGGTTCAAAATAGATCCAATAGAGTCTTAACTAAAGAATCTTTTCTAAGAGTGTATATTATTCAAATGAAGAATACAAGAAACAGCTAAACAAACGAATCAAAAAGCTTTGGTATTGTTCCCTACACTGCTCTGAAAATCATTTATATATGTGCTAGAATTAAATGTAATAGCAAGGTGGTCAATTAATGTCTCAGTGGATACAAAAAGGAAATCATTTCTGAATATAATTATTTTCAGAATGGTTAGCAATCTGCACAGCAGACAGCTTAGCTCAGCAGAATTTAGATTATTAAAATCAAGCTGATGGATGCCCCTGTACCACAAAATAAAAATGCCTATTACATCACTGCTAATAGGCACTTTTATTTTGGCTGCTAAGACAGATGGTAAATAAGTTATTTAGCGGGATATACTTTGACACTACGCTTTCATCAACTTTTACAAGTTAATAAAGGTATTCTGTACAAGTCACAGTAAGTCCTTAAATAGCACGCTGCAGAAAAATGAACCAGGTGCCAGAATTCAGATACCAAATACATAAATAAAAGTTATTCTGGGGGTTTATAGTAATTCAAGCCTAAAGAAATGGTGCTTTAGTGAAATAGTGGCCTGTCTCTTCAGTGTTTTAGCATCCCTGAGTCAACTTGACTAATTTTCAAGGCCATGAACTGAACTAGGCGTGTAAGTCAGGGAAACTGCAAAACCGTGCGGTGGCTACATGACTTGAATTGTTCATGCAGTAGCTTATTTATAAGAAGTGTAAGTCAAATAGCTTCAAATGTGACTCCTTTGCTAGTTTCCTGTTACAGATGGTTCTGTCCTTCAGCCTTTGTGGCTGTATGCACCTTGAATGTTTTTAAACCCTGGTTTTACTGGCTTTCCAGGAAAAAAGCTGGTGTCCTTCAAGCTGAGCACCTGAGCTTCACTGAAAATGCCTTCGACAAGCTCAGAGTAGTTATAGTAATTGCAAGATTATTACTCCTATCTTTCTAGAGTACTCGAGGTGGACAGTGCTTATCAGAGCTGAAATAGTGCAAATGGTGGAACAGCATTATTCTTTGTGTCATTTCATGCAACCACATTGGAGCATTGTTCAGGTCAATATGCCATGCTTTGTGCTACTCTGTAGAGCCACCATGGTGTGACATCGATCATGCCAGCAGTTTTGGTGAACAACATGAACATATTTTGAAAGGACTTTTTTGTGTACTTTACATGGTGGGCTTGAAGTTTACTTTGATTCTACTCCAGAGATAAAAGATTTATTACTGGAATGATTCATTTAAATGTGTCTGTTTCTGTTTCTAAATCAGGTCGTCAATATGATGTTTGAATGTATTGATTATTGTATGTCTAATTACAGAAAATGCAGATTCCCTCTTGACACTGCAGGCCCCATACAACCCACTACCCATTTCTATGGCATTTGTCAGCAGACATTGAATGGAAGATTTATAAAAAAACACAAGGCTTTTTGACCTGTTTTCTTGTTCAGGGACACAGCATGAATAGGGCAAAAAGGAATTACAGAAACTCTTGGGTTCACTGTTCACAATGTAAATTCAAAATATGACAGAATGTGAAATTAAGTAGTTTTAGACTGTTTTATGCTTAATTTGTACCCCTACTAAGGTTGCATTCTATAACTTAAAACATTGATAAGTGTTTTTCTTTATGCATACCATAAAGATGCAGAAAAATATGCAAGGAAGCAGAATTTATTATCATAATGTTTTTTAGTGGGTTTCCTAAGAAAACAATATGTTCCCTACAACGCTCAACTTGTACAAAACGCAGCACAGATCTTAAAAATGAGACAGCGAGCTCATGTCTGGTCTGTTTTGAAAGAACTTCTCTAGCTGCCTGTATCCTTTAGGATAGATTTTAAAGATTATTTAATAGTTTTTAAAGCTTTAAATGGCCTAGCAACTGTGTACCTCACTGAACATCTCAGTGTTTGTTCAAACACATGATCTTAGATCTGCAGATTCTGGTCATCTGCAAATACTTTCCATAAATTACAGAAAAATGTGGAAAGGCTTCTTTTGGTAACTGTGATTTTAAACTGTGGAACTTGATATCTTCCTTTTGGTATCAAGATCCCTGTCTGGCCTGCGATAGACTGGCAACCTGTCCAGGATGTTTCCCGGATAAGCGGCGGAAATAATTTGTGTGTGTGTGTGTGTGTGTGTGTGTGTGTGTATGTGTGTGTGTTGTATTAAGATCCCCAGTACACACTACACTAGAAAACATGTTTTTAATTTATCTTATATCTAAAAAATAATGCAAATTTAATTGCATTTGTATTTTTTACTTTATCTTTTGTGCTGTTTTGCATTATTTAATTTATATTTTAGAACTTTTTATCTGTTTTTAAACTTAATATTTCACTTTCAGCTCCTTTATGTATGAAAGGTACTCTACAAATAAAATCATTAATATTAGTATTACTATTATTATCATCACTAGTAGTAGTATTCAATCTGGTGTTGGTGAAATATGAAAAAGGCCTTGCTGTTCTACAGTTTTATTGTTCTTATAGTGCTTGAATTGGTGTGGTCCCTGACTAAGAAGTGAGCTGTAGAATTTAAATACAAGCTTTTATTTCACCATATGTGCCTGTGTGTACTGTTGAAAACATTTTTATTACACTTTGTAATCATGGCCAACTACAAATTACCATCACGTTGCCTCACATACTTATATATTGTGTGATAGGCCTATACTTTTCAGTTATACTATAATTAAATTGCCATTTGAAGAATTTATATCCCACATTCTTAGACTTCTTCTTATATTTCTTCTTCAGGCTGCCTCTGCTTTTCTTTTTACTGCACAGAGCACAATTCATACACATAAACCATATATTAGGTAAACATGGTCTGAACTTCCTTTTACAGAAATATATACAGATTTGTAAAAATAAACTAATAAATGAGTACAGTAAACAACATAATTTTGTTCAATAGACTGATATAATCTAAGCCAGGGCTGCCTAACGTGTGGCTCGCAGGCCAAAGTTTGCCAGTGAGGACATTTGATTTGGCCCCTAAGAAAGTTAAAAGTTTCATTTACCCCACACCCTCACCCAATGAAACACCAAAGGTATTTATACACTGTATATAACTTATTAAACTATTACTATATATTAACTATGCATTCTTATTTTCCTTTTAAAATTGTATTTTTGAAGTTGAATTCAGCCATCTTTATTTGTATGCTGTTTAATCTCTTTGGACCTTAGTCCACCACAAACATTGTATTTGGCCCCTCACAACAAAACGTTTGGGAAACCCTGCTTTAAAGGAACTTAAAACACTCAATATCCTCCTGAGACACAGAAAAATTAAGGTTTGAGAATTTCGGTCATTTTGGGATAAAATAAGTCTATTGTCTGAAAAAAAAAACTTGTCACAGTGATTTTTTTTTCAAAAAAACTTTTTATATATTTTTTAGGTAATGTCCCTTATAGTGGACAACAGGATATTGCATAGTAATTATGTTGATGTCATACTTCTTGCTTCTTATACTGCATCAGACCAAAACCCTGCTGCAACATCAGCAACAACTTCAAAAACCTTGTCATCAGTCTTCAAAATCCTTATGATCAATGCACTGCTCAAAGTGATTCCAGGGCACCCGGTCAGTACGGCTTAGGGTGTCATTTAGCAGCAAACTGTTCCATGGTAGGGAGGAGTCTTAGCTATAAATGGAGAGGGAAGATAATTAATTTATTTTTAAATGTTTTATTTTTTAAATGTACAATTGTGTAAAAGGAGATTTACTAATAAATTAGGAAATTAAATAAAGCTCAGATCCCGATCTTAAATGCCTGCAAACACTTATTCTAGTTGTCCATTTCCATAGCGGTAAGAGGAAAACTTAAAATACTGGTGGTACAAAAAAAATAGATACAGTAATATCACAGTAATGTATTTAACTGCTCAGCTTACATGTTGTTGCCTCCAACCCTAACTGGATCAAGGTGGGTGTGATCACCCTTTAATTTTCCCTGCCTCAGAGAATTTCCTGTCACCTGTGATTCCGTAATTCTCATGTAAAAACAGATTTAGTAAGTTCCAACATCCACCACAGAGGACTTCAAAAAGGATACTGTTAGAGGGTTACATTTTTATGCAGGCCAGGATGTCCTCTACATGGCGCACCGGGTTTCAGCTTATATGGTTTTTGAAATATCCTTTGTGGACTCATGTCTCCCACAGAGGACAAAAAAAATAATTACCAGGTCTCACAAGGACATGTAAATATTAATTATTACATTTAATATTTTTTTCTAAAATAAAACAATGATTGGGCTTATTGGGAACACAGATGTGCTTAAAAAGTACAAATGGTCTTTTAAGCCTAATCCATTTACCGAGTGCTTCAGACTTTTCATCTTTTCTGTTTTTTATATCATTAATTATATCATTTTTAAATAAATTATATAAAATGTGCTTAAATTTGTTAATAGAGAGATTTCACTATAAGCCATGCCACTCAATTTATAAATAAAAACTTAAAGGTCCTTCTGAAAAATATGTTTGTTTAGATTTAGGTGGGTTCTTTTAGGGGGTTTTCCCCTCTCCCCATCTTTTTACTAGGGGCAAATCCAAAACATTTTTAAAGAGCCTGTTATGAAAAAAAAAATTTCCTCCCTTTTTTGAAATAACAGATTTTTATGTAAACATTAACAAAGTTGCGAAACATACTCTTCACTCCCCAGTCCTTATGATCTCCTAATCATTTTTGAATACTTTTTGTGATTAATTCATGTTATGAAAGCCTACATATTTACATTAATCTGCCTGTTCAGCCCCGCCTATTGACGCTGAAGTTATAAGGAGTATTTCAGCCTGGACTGCTTTTTGAATGAATACAGATCAGCCAATCAGAACTAAGTTTATTGTCCTAGATCAATCTTAAAGGCACAGGAACAAAAACAGCCTCTTTATTTCTAAGGGGGTCATAAGACGTTAGAAATGGTCATGTCAAATTGAATTAGGATTGTTTTAGTATCAAACCACAAAAACGTCATAAGTGGACACAGACGGAAAAAAAAATACGAAGAAAATACAGGAGATGGACCCTTTAAACCAGTCCATAAGCCATTCAGACTGGAGACATGACATATTTTACAGGGAAAACCTGGCACGTCACATTAAATTTGGTGGGTCTGGGATTAAATTCTAGTACCATAACTGTTTATTCCCCGACGAACAATAGGGTCCTAAAAACGGGAAAAAGCAAGACAAACAGTCATCGTACATGGCAGAGCTGCTGCTGAGTCTGCTACTGCTTTCTTTATCTCAAAAAGCCGGAGCATGTTGATGATGTCATGTAGCTACAAAGAATAACAAGAGCTCCTCTCACAGGGACGCTGATACAGCGTTAGCCACAAGTTTAGCATAACTATCAGTGTCAGTTTCGAACAGATAAAGGCTTCGTTGTGGTTGAATTCAGCACAGGACTACAGTTTAAAGGCAATTGCGCCGTTTAACGACCTCGCCGAAGATGATCATGCACTGCTGAAGTGTGTCTCTGTTGTTTAGTCAACGTTGGACACGAACGCTAATGCTACACTGCTAGCGTTGGCTTGTTTTTATCTACATGGCTAGCTAGTTAGGGCTGCTAGCCAGAACTCCATTTACATACATTAAGCGTTATTCGCACTGTCAGCGTCAAGATAACATTTAAAAAGTTACCCGGTCTTACCCCTGAGTGCATAATGTAATGTTTCGAGGAGATACCACAGTGCTAAGGTAAGGACCTTTAACCGGATAGCAACTGTTAACATGTTTAAATGCTAGCTAACCAGTTAGCTGTCACATAGACCGAGACGAGTGCTTTAGATAGCTTTGTCCTATTAAATTGAAGGAAAACTAGTTTTATGTTATGAAATGTTCAAGATAGGTACGTAAAATGATGCGGCTTGTCATTAAACGTTATGGAAAATTATGTTCTTGTGCATTAAAAAGTCTTTCTTTGGTAGTTGGAGTCTGAAATATACATTGTGCTCTGTTTCATCTTAGGAGCGGTCAGGTGGGAATGTCTCAGTGAAGGAGTGCAACAGAGGAATGAGCTCTGTAGAGCTTTAGAAGTTCACTGTTAGTGATCATGCCTCCAAGGAAGAGACCTCTTGTCCCTGTCAGTGCAAGAAGGCGTCTGAAGCCAGATGAAGATTACTTTCCCTTCAATTTGCTGCCAGTGGAATGTCAGCTCCATGTGCTTTCGTTCCTTAGTGAGGTGGATAAGTGTAACTCCGCGCTCGTGTGTTCTAGCTGGAGCCGCTTGGTGCGCTCTGGAAAGCTCTGGAGAGTGGCAGACTATTCACGCCGTGGGGTGTTCCATCTCGGACAGGAAGGACTGCTGGTGTCCAACAGGGAATTCGAGCGCTGGAAGGCATGGGTTCACCATTACACTCACCACCTCATATCTCGTGGGGCCAGTCTGCTTACCCTCAAAGCAAGCTTTGATTTGGGGGACCAGTGCAATAAGTGGGGAGAGCTCCTGTCGCACCTGCTGGAGAATGTCCACTGCAGGGATCTGAGTCATTTAGACTTGAACTGGACATTCACCCTGCTGGAGCCGTTGGACCTCCGAGTCCACTCCAGCTCTAGCTCTCACCAGGACAACATCACCAAAATGGACCAGGTCAATAACTTTCAGATACTTTTAGCCAGACTAGCCCAGAGCTGTCCCAGAATCACCAAGATGCGCCTGCACTTTGACTGGTCAGAGACATCCGTAGCTTTGATAACTCAGTTCCAGCACCTCCGCATCTTAGAACTTAAATACTTTTGGGTATTTAAAGGCGTAAGCCCAAGCACCTTGCAGACACTGACTAAATCACTGCCTAACCTCAAGTCCCTTACTCTCCATGTTCTCGTGCCTCTTCGTAATTTGGGCATTTCATACACTCTTGAATCCCTATCCTTGGAGTTCCTTGATGTTTCCCCCAGCCGAGGTCTGGTCTTCTCTTGCCTGAAACTGCCTGCGCTACGAGAACTGCGGGCCAAAAAGATTGTGCGGGGGATAACTCTAGATCGCCGGACCAGGCTCCGAATCCAGAGCAGGTGGCCCTGCCTGTATCAGGTCTTGCGGGAGGGGACGCCCAAGCTACAAGCCCTCAACAATGAACGACTCCTTCCCAACTGGAAGGAGCAGAGTTATGGAGAGCTTACTTCCATTCTCCAGCAGTCCTGCTACTGCCTCCAGCATCTAGACAGTTGGCTCTGGTGAAAAGACTATAGTTTGCAGTCAGAATCTTGCACAGTTAATGAAATTATGGTGCACACTTGCAGAAGTCAGGATGGTAAAATTTATTCCTTACACAGATAATAATAAAACAAGTACCATTTAGGACCAAAAATGTGTTCTGACTGACAGCAAAGTAAACCACTTGAAAAATTAAAAAAGAAAAGTGCCAGGGCTTTAGATGAGGCTAAAGGCGAAGTTTAGATTATAGACCAAATACTCTTGGGGGGAAAAAAAAAACACAAGATGTAGACTAGCTCTGTGTTTTGTCTATCAGTGTAAAATGACTAAGGTTCATCCCTTTATAAGAAATAAGGTGATCCTGTATAACTTGTGGAAAACAGTGTGGGCTAGGTGTTAGAGCTGAAGGTCGACATACTGCTCTCACAGTGAACAAGATCACCAATCATGAAGCCTCAGACAGTGGGTATTTGCCTATTTGGGCAGCTTGATAGCCCAGTTGACTCCAGAAATATATGCTTACTTACCACAAGGGGGAAGCAGCGTGTGGTGCAGATGCTGTGTAGTGGTGTGTGTGAATCAGGTTTAAACATTTCATTAACTTGATATTTCTTTCACCTCCTGAAGCAAAAAATAGTTTTTGTGGGGCACTTTTGTTTTGATTTTTATTCTAACTTTTTCCCCCATTCTAAATTTTGCTGCAGGCTAACCAGTGTGGTTAACTATGAAACAACCCTGATGAAGAAACCAATAGGATTATGCTTTAACATTTCAAACACTCTTTACACATTCATTTTTTAAGCATTGCTTCGATCAGTTATTAGTCCTAATCTTTTTACTTGAATTTATGTTGAGGAATGATACTTTAATTTGAGCATTAAATGGTACATTTGTTTATCCAAATTATATCAGTTAAATTGGCAATGTATAATAGTAAGGCCTGTTTATATACACAGGGAGTAATCAGTCTCTTATAATTTAATTGTAATTTAATAGAGGTTGTGTAATTGAGATTTTATGATCAGGAAAGTAGCTAAAAACTTTCCTATTCCTTTAAAAAGACTTTTTGGGGATTTATCCAGTCAAATTGACAACACCAGACCAAGGATTATGCTTATATTGATATTAATATTTCCAGAGATTATATGATATGAAGTGGTTCTTTTAAGGAGCTTTGATATGAACCCTGTTACAGAGTTATATCTTTGACTGAATCAGACTATAAGATTATTTAGTTACCCAGACTTGCTTTGATTTGGTTTTTATAAAGAGTTGAGGCAAATATAGACTACAGATCCAAAGACTAATGGACCAAGTCATGTGTGCTTTTGTGGCTTAAAAAATATGGCTTTATGTGTTGCAGTTTTTTTTTTCTATCATCTCTTTCCCATGTATTGAACATTCTCACATAAACAGAACCAGTCTTGTATGTGTAGTACTTCATACTTATCCATAGAGGTCCCCTCATCCACAGTTTTGTATTACTGACAGAATTGATGTCTTATCCTGTTAATTTACTTTTTGGCCCTTGCACTGATTTTTAATGGCTAGAGGAAACCAAGTGATGCAGTGATTATTAAATATTTCCTGGAATCATTAATGACTGCCAGAATAAATACATTTTGACTGGACATCAGAATGCCATTGACTGTGTGAATGTCTACTGAAAATAGTTAGGACGCTTAGGACAGCACTTTCAAATGCTTATGGCTGGCATGATACATGAACACATGTAACCTGCTCTATCTCTACATTTTTATTTAGTTTAATAAAAATGTATTAAATTTAATCAAATTAAATTAGAAAACGCACACGTGTTATGGTGCAAAAGTCTTAGTACCTAGGCAAATTGTTTAAAACCATTTATCTAGACAAAAACTGTGTTTTTGCTTCTACTAACACCATATACATTTGGAACAAATGAAAACAAGTAGTTTCATGTTTATTTCCAGATTTCTCCTCAATGCCGTGAACATGGATTTGTTCAATTCCATCACCAGCACACCTTATTTAATTTAATGAAGTGTTGATTAGCCAAGCAAGTACAATAATTAATACTGTGCTTCCTTGAGGAGAGGTTTGGAAATGGTTAGATGAATTTACATACATAAAATCACCACTTTTTAATATTCTATTTATTCTAACACACCTTTTAATTCTGCCTAAAACTTTAGCACAGTCCAGTATGGACCAAATGAATATATAATTCACAACTAAAGAAAAATAATAAACATATGACATTTAATATTAATAACTAATGTTAATTCAGTTTATAAAAGTAGAATGATTATATGCTGCATATGTTAAAATCTCAAACACAGAATAATATAAAGGCTAAAATGTTTAAAATCTGTTCCTAATACAGACATAGATAAAGAAGCTGATGCCAATGTATGAAACAAAAATTAATGCCCCTACAATAAACAGTCTTCAGCAGCTAGCTAGTGCTCAGCATAAGTGGAATTTCTTCAAGAGTGTCAGAAAATCATCCCATGTAGCTCCTCGTGAAGCTGCACGCAAACCTGTATTAAGGTTAAGGTGATCACTGAGTATCTAATATCATTTTCTTGATTCATTAAACACTTTTTAGTCACCACATAACTCCTTAAACATTATGAAATAGTTTTGATATCACTCCTCTGCTTCCAAAATGTGGAAAACGAAAACAAAAAATAAAGGAAACCTTTTTATGAACAGGTGAGTCCAAACCTTTGTCTGGTACTGGTCACCAGATGACTGATGACCACTGAAACATTTACTAAAGTTATCAGTTGGCACTTTCTTTACTCAATCTCACCCAAAACCATGATTACACAAAGCCAGGAGTTAACATTTTGAAAGCTTTGTTAAACAATGCAAGAGCAATGTAATAAGCATAAAACATGGTCCTTGATAGCTATAGATGAAAATAATAACAATCATCTTTTGCTATTTTCCTCTATGTCTCTCCATGTTTGTCTGTTGAGAAAGTAAAATGGTCAGTCCACATTCTTGACTGTTAAAAGTAATCATGATACTGTTTAGATAGTTTAGATTAGCGGTCTGTTTCCCATTAGTTAAACAAGTTTTCATGCTTTTCTTATAAGGTCTGAAATTGAAGATATCTTGCTGAGATTTGTAACAGAAATCAGGCATTTCAGCAGATAGTCTGTTATTTGTATGCATAATGAAACATTTATTGTGTAATTCTGCATTTATTACTTTGTGCAGGAATCCAAGCAAGGATTTACAAGAAAGACCAGGAAACATTTTCCCCAAGTGAGCAAAGTACAGTGCCAAGTTAAACTTTGTTCTTGGACCATAAAGATAGAAATATCTTCAGGTAATTGTTCCAACATAAGTTTTACATGTTATCACAGGCCTTGTTTCTGTAACTTCACAGTTTTTCTGTTCTCGTCTTTTTTTGTGGTCATCTGTGACAGTTTGCCTTGGTGTCCCTGACATTGTTTTTTAGGGGAATTGAATATTCTCCATTGCTTTGTACAATACCAAGTTAATTTAACCACAAATCATGATTACACAAAAACACAGCTGCCCATGTTTTATTTGTTGTTGCCACAGCCTGGATTTCTTTTCTCTTTTCTCTTCTTTCTTGATGTTGAGAACATGCAGTACAGGGAGGGGAAAAGGAGCTAAAATCTCCTCCCCTACCACTCTCCTCACTGAAACACATGCTACCAATTGTACTTGCATGTGTAGTAAATCAGCAGTGGTGGAACACCAGGATTATGAGCTTTCTCTGGTGTAAAACCTGAGTTTGAGAAGAGCACAGGGTTCATGGCTGCCAGCATGGTCTCAAACAGCTGGATCTCTCATCTCTCAGACTTGAACTTTATCTAGCAGGGCACAGGAAGGAGTCCAGAGGGGCTACATGTGGAGACTTCTCTCGTTTCGCATGGTAGTGGATGTGCACAGTAAGGGTGGCTCCCCAAACCATGCATCTCTTCTTCTCACCAGCATCTGTTAGAAGCTTGATCATGTTTGGAGGGTAAAGCTTCCCCCTGTGAGATTCTCCTTGCCTTGGACCAGTGGGCTAAGGTGAGAGCAATGGATTAGATGCAAACCAACTTGTTCACTTGATCATCCTTGCTAGTTAATGTGTAATCCCATGGAAGGTGGTGCTTTCATGCCTTCAGCCGTGCACATTTCCTGGATTTACGAGAAGGTTCAGAGTCTAATAAAGGGCTGCAGGTTCCTTACTTAGCTTGCAGTCATTCTTCAGGGTTTCTCACAGAGGACAGCCATGGCTAAGGGAGTGTACATCTCAAAGGGCCTGGCTATTGCCACTGCGGTGGTCACAGTTTCTGCTGTCTGTGGCATTGTCTTGATGGTCGTCATGTACCAGCTGCAGATAGAAAAAGAACCACCACAGCGTCCACCAACAGTTGCTCCTACTACACCATTTCCAACGGGACCTCCACCAAGTCTGAGACTTCCTGACAGTCTGGTTCCGGAGAGCTATGAGATCTTCCTTCAGCCGTACCTCTATGTGGAGCTGCCCAATGCCACGGACCAAACTCCTTTTTTCAAAGGAAACTCAACAGTGAGGTTCCAGTGTGTGAAAAACACCAAGAGTATCTTTCTTCATGTCCTGCAGCTCAATGTAACCAAAGTTGTCGTGACTCATTCTTTCACGGGAAAGAATATAGGAGTCGAGGGAACCACACTGCACGAGAACGAGTCAAACTTTTTTGAGATCCGGCTGAAGGATGTGTTGATAGGAAATGGGAGCTATTATGATCTTTTCACCGAATTTGAAGGGGAACTCTTGGATGATTTGGCTGGTCTTTACATGAGCCAATACTCTAAGAATATAAGTGACGACAAAGAGAAAAGGTAAGGGTATTTTGTCAATTTTAAGTCCTTGCACTTCTTTGAGTTCCCACATACCGTGAGTGCTTGTGTGCCTATTAGAAACAACTCACGTGATTAATTTGAATTATTGTTGAAGAAGCTGAAAAATCTTCATTTGTGAATCTTGCACCATTTGAAGCCCAAGAGATGTGCTGGTTGTTCTCCTAATGTCATGTTATCCCTGCAAAGCTTACAGCTTTTGCCATCCACAGCCTGGTAGATTAAACATCTCCCTGTGAATGAAGTGCAAGATCATTTCTCAGAAACTTAATTCATTGCAATGAATTCTTGCAGTTGCATGTACGTCTCCTTTAAGACAATCTTGTGCGAATAGAGCTCTGAAACTCACAAATTCCCTCCAAATATCGGATTACTGAAGGCCATCTCTTGTCTGGAGCAGTATTTGTGTTCTCTACCGGAAAGTGTTTATTGTAAAAAGAGCCCCCAGCCCAGCCCCTTGCCACTTTAATAACTTGTCTTTTTCACCTTTCCCCATGGACGTTTTTTTTTTCGGCTGTGCTGTTTGCAGTACGTCTAAACAGCGCAACATTTATTCTGGATAGCATGTGATTGTATGATGACTGATATGTAATTATTCTCTGGAATGTCTGGATTTCCTGTCTATGTTTTTTGTGCATCTGTGTGTTTACTGTTTTATGTAAATACCTTTCCCAACAGATTCCTCGTCGCAAGCCAGATGCAGCCCACAGACGCGAGGAAAGTATTTCCTTGCTTTGATGAGCCAGCTATGAAAGCAGTGTTCAATGTCACCATTATCCACAGGAGTGACACCGAAGCTCAGTCAAATTCCAGGATGGGTAAAGCAGTTGTTCATGGGCCTTTACTCATTCACACAGCTGTCTTTGTAGTGATAGTCGAAATAATGTAGTGTAGGCAGCTGTAATGCCTGCAACCCTGTTAATGTAGAACAGTTCAAACAATTTACATGGTCAGTCTTGCTCTGATAAATTCAAACTTTGATTTGATGTATGATTATAGTTTGATTATAAAGCAAGCAAGATGAACACAACCTTTACATCTAATAACAACAAGCTGTCAACAGACAGCATTTGAAATATTTATGTTTTCTATTTAACAGAGAAGAAGATTTTTGTGGATATTGATGGAGAGCAATGGGTAGCTACTAAATTTGTCCCGACCCCACGCATGTCGACATATCTCCTGGCTTTCACAGTAAATGGATTTAAAAGTGAAGACATTGACTATGGTCACACGAAAATAAAGGTCTGTTATTTTACATTATTATTATTATTATTATTATTATTATTATTATTAGACTGTAAAACGTGCAAAAGGGCATTGATTTGGAGTGTTTTTTTGCTTTGGATTGTTCCATTTTAAGGCATTTATTTGAGTTGAATAAAGCCAGTTCTTTATTATTTGTTACTACATGAAGTAGTTTTCTTAGGTTAAACTGACAAACCATTTAAACAGTGTATTCTTCTTCTTCTTCTTCTTTTATTATTATTATTGTTATGTTATTATTATTATTATTATTATTATTATTGTTTGTTGTTGTTGTTGTTGTTGTTGGGTTTATTTAAATTTCTATCAGAGAATTAAACATAGAAGTATATGGATCATTTTGCCAAATTGGTTCGAAGTCAGAGTTGAAAACACATTTCGGACTTTCAACTGACTTGCACTTTGGACTAAAATCTTGTTGCCTCGAGTGACTCAATACCTTAATTATGATTGTTTTATTAAAACAAGTGATTGAACATTCCATTTTGTCACTAATAAAACAATCTTCTACTGAAACAGTACCAAATGTTTCAGTAGTGACTGTTTCGGACATGACAATTTTAGCAACTTTTGAGCAGAACTCAAAAAGGCCAGTATTTGACTAGCAAACACAGCTTTGAACATCAATCATCATAATAATCAAAAATTATGTACATTTTTTTTTATTATTTAAATGCAACAAATACTAAAACTTGGTGTTACGGTAGTGACATGAAAGCGTTGGAGAGCATTTTCTGAAGTTTTTTTTTTAATGATTTATAACTTAAAACTAAACTAAAATCATTTAAATCAATCTAAATCATTCAACTTTAAAATAAATAAAAAGGAAGCAAAAAATAAATATATATTTCAATGATTATTTTCACAAGTTGAAATTTAGGGGTTAGGGTTTGGGACAGACACCTCCCGATTGAAAGTACCCTATAAACGATGATTTAGCTTATTACAATCTCTGTTGAACCACAGTTTGAATTAATTAGGTAGAATGGTTCATATGTGTACAAACCGGATTCCAAAAAAGTTGGGACACTAAACAAATTGTGAATAAAAACTGAATGCAATGATGTGGAGGTGCCAACATCTAATATTTTATTCAGAATAGAACACAAATCACAGATCAAAAGTTTAAACTGAGAGAATGTATCATTTTAAGGGAAAAATATGTTGTTTCAAAATTTCATGGCATCAACAAATCCCAAAAAAGTTGGGACAAGGCCATTTTTACCACTGTGTGGCATCCCCCCTTCTTCTTACAACACTCAACAGACGTCTGGGGACAGAGGAGACCAGTTTCTCAAGTTTAGAAATAGGAATGCTCTCCCATTCATGTCTAATACAGGCCTCTAACTGTTCAATCGTCTTGGGCCTTCTTTGTCGCACCTTCCTCTTTATGATGCGCCAAATGTTCTCTATAGGTGAAAGATCTGGACTGCAGGCTGGCCATTTCAGTACCCGGATCCTTCTCCTACGTAGCCATGATGTTGTGATTGCTGCAGAATGTGGTCTGGCATTATCTTGTTGAAAAATGCAGGGTCTTCCCTGAAAGAGATGACGTCTAGATGGGAGCATATGTTGTTCTAGAACCTGAACATAGTTCTCTGCATTAATGGTGCCTTTCCAGACATGCAAGCTGCCCATGCCACAAGCACTCATGCAACCCCATACCATCAGTGATGCAGGCTTCTGAACGGAGCGTTGATAACAACTTGGGTTATCCTTGTCCTCTCTGGTCCGGATGACATGGCGTCCCAGTGTTCCATAAAGAACTTCAAATCGTGACTCATCTGACCACAGAACAGTCTTCCATTTTGCCACACTCCATTTTAAAAGACCCCTGGCCCAGTGCAAACGTCTGAGCTTGTGGAGCTTGCTTAGAAATGGCTTCCTCTTTGCACTGTAGAGTTTCAGCTGGCAACGGCGGATGGCACGGTGGATTGTGTTCACTGACAATGCTTTCTGGAAGTATTCCTGAGCCCATTCTGTTATTTCCTTGACAGTGGCATTCCTGTTTGAGGTGCAGTGACGTTTAAGGGCCCGGAGATCACAAGCATCCAGTAGAGTTTTACGGCCTTGACCCTTACGCACAGCGATTGTTCCAGATTCTTTGAATCTTTTGATGATGTTATGCACGGTTGATGATGATAACTTAAAAGTCTTTGCTATTTTACGCCGGGTAACACCATTCTGGTATTGCTGCACTATCTTTCTGCGCAACAATGGTGGAATTGGTGATCCTCTTACCATCTTGGCTTCAGAGAGACACTGACACTCTGAGAAGCTCTTTTTATACCCAATCATGTTGTCAATTGACCTAATTAGTGTTAATTGGTCTTCCAGCTGTTCGTTATATGCTCAATTTCCTTTTTCCAGCCACTTATTGCTACTTGTCCCAACTTTTTTGGGATTTGTTGATGCCATGAAATTTTGAAACAACATATTTTTCCCTTAAAATGATACATTCTCTCAGTTTAAACTTTTGATCTGTGATTTGTGTTCTATTCTGAATAAAATATTAGATGTTGGCACCTCCACATCATTGCATTCAGTTTTTATTCACAATTTGTTTAGTGTCCCAACTTTTTTGGAATCCGGTTTGTATGTACAGGAAGTGTTGCCATCATTACAATGTTGCTTGAAAGCCTTGTTTATCCAGAACTATTCTGCCTTTGGTAACTGAAGTTTTCGGAGCAAGTGTTGTTCTGTACCACTGTTTGTTACTGTGGAAATTTCATTAGCGCTTGCATGTCAGTCTTGATTCTGAATCCTTATAAACAGCACATTTGCACATTAATGTACTGGCATTAATAAATGGTTTTATTCAGATCACATTATGATGATTTAGGTACAGTTCAAGCTAGCTTTAGATCAGTTAAAATTAAGATCTCTGGGTTTCAAATATTCATTTTCTTACTACTGTGTGTTCTAAGACATTTGCCCGACCTGAGGCTGTGGATGCTGGACACGCAAAGTATGCTTCGGAAATCACCCCAAAGATTCTGAAGTTCTATGAGGACAGGTTCAATTTAAGTTATCCATTATTCAAACTAGGTGGGTCAAAAAGAAAATGTTCATGTGATGATATTTTAAAAATGATATCTTTGAGTGACTTTTTATTAGAAAAAAACTAAATCATATCCTGTATGTTTATATACACAGATCAGATCGCACTTCCAGACTTTGGCGCAGGTGCTATGGAAAACTGGGGTCTGATAATGTATCGTGAGACTGCCCTACTGTATGATGAACATGCGTCATCTACCTCCAATAAAGAATGGATTGCCACTGTGATAGCTCACGAACTGGCTCATCAGGTACAACTGGTCATGCTTTATTCATGTCTAATTTAATCTGGTTTAATTTGAAAAAATCTCAGAAGGGCTAAGATAATAAGATAAAGTCATAAATCCATTTGATTCATGAGTTCTGCCTCTATGTGTACAGTAGCACATGATTATGACTTTATAACATTGCAAACACAGTGCTGAGTTTTGAATTTGGCCTCCAGTGGAATGATCCATTCATAATCCTCTGTGCTGTGTTTCCAGTGGTTTGGAAACCTGGTCACAATGAAATGGTGGAATAACTTGTGGCTGAATGAGGGATTTGCAACATACATGTCATACCTTGGAGTGGACCATGTTGAGCCCGACTGGAATATAGTAGGTCAAAAATAAAATTATTTGAATTGAGAATCTTTGTAAATTGTAATTCACCGTGAAAGGCCATATATTGCACTACAAATGGCAACTGGGCCTCTCTCACATAACACAGTTTTGTGCTTAGCCAGCTAACTTTAGGCTTTGTTTGATTAAAACCTAGATGTTCTGTCTCACCACATACTGCTCATGTACTGATTGTGAAGTGTGCAGTATGTGACTACCAAGAATTATCTAGATGGCGTACTGCTCTGGCCAAATATTCCAGCATGTAGCCCGTACGGAGTCAACTCTTGGAATCAACATCATTAATTCCCATCACTTGGAATCAGAATCGGAGTTGACCCCAAAATTTCTAGAATCGTACAGCCCCATTTTATGTAGAATGGTTTCTTTTTGACTCACGATTGGCTCTTTGTTATAAATGTCACGCATTTATATACACACATACATAAATTTATCCTAGCTTGAGCATCCAAACCTGGGTTTAACCGAGGACGTTATTAACCACTCACACAAAATGAGTTTGTTAGGTTTTGTGAATTTAGAATTTAGTCAGGAATATTATCTAAGCTGATCATGCTTCATGATACAGCCCCCTGAGTTTGTTCAGGTTCAGATGTCCTTTTCCAGTTATGTCTTTTGGGTACCTCTCTTCAATTCAGCTAATGGTGGGTGAAATGAATTTACTGCAATATGTTACTTTACAATACATTTCCCTGAATTAGGTATCGCATGTGTTGGCGGTACATCTATAACTCTACAAGCTTAATTAAATCATTAAACGTAGATATTTACTCCAATTGTAGAGAGACTGTAAATAATAGCTGGTGTGTCACATTGTCAAATTAAAACTACAACAAACCGCTGATTGGATGTTAGCTCTTTATGCCGTTATCTTAATTTTTTTTTTTCCGCAATACTATTTTGCTGTTGCAATGTGCTCCAGCTAAATACTGATACTCACTCTTCAACTGTCTTAATATTACATTTCCTCCAAATTGCCCATCCCTAATTTCAGCTCTCACCCACAGCCTGAAATCTAAGAGCTTACATGTGTGGCTTTATCCTGTTATTTCCAGAGAGATCTTATTGTTCTGAAAGAAATCCAGCCTGCCATGGAGGTGGATTCTCTAAACTCGTCACACCCTCTCAGCTCCACAGAGGCTGAAGTCCAGACCCCCTCTGATATCGCCAATCTCTTCGACGGTATCAGTTACAGCAAGGTTGGCTTGATGTTTCCCCACAGCCCATCCATTTGATAATGTTCATATTTATTGATGTTAATTACAGTTTATATATATGTAATGAAACTGTTTAATAGTGTTATGAAAGAAAGGCAAAGATCATTTCTCTGTTTCTTGATGAGAAATTTATCCTGTTCTCGTCACAGGGTGCAGCTGTGCTAAGAATGCTGTCTGCTTACATTGGAGAGTCAAATTTTTTTGCCGGTCTTAAGGTGAGTAGAGGCATGCTGATAGCAAGTGTAGTTTACTTTTACAGCTGGACAATACTGGACAATTTTTTTTAGGTTTTTAAAATAAATATTGTGATACTTCAAAGACAAAATAGGAAAACCATAGGTATTCAAAGGGAGTTTGTACACCCCCTTCACTGCTGTAACACATATATTCCACTCTTCTGTCAAGGTTTTCCGCTAGATTTTGGAACATAGCTGCTGGATTAGGTCCATTCAGCAACAAGACCGTTAGTGAGGTCAGTTACTGTTGTTGGGGAATAAGACCTCGGTCACAGTCAGTGTTCCAATTGATCCTAAAGGAGTTAGATGAGCCGCGACCCAGAAGAATAAGCGGTTTAGATGATGGATGGATGGATGGAGTTAGATGAGGTTAAGGTCAGGTCTTTGTGCAAGCCAGTCAGGTTCACACTAAACTCAGCAAATCGTTTCTTTATGGAGCTTGCTGTGAACACGGGGACTTTGCCATGATGAAATAGGCAGTAGTGAACCAGGACTGTTAGAGTTAGGCCCGCAATTCAGTCCATGAGTATCAAAACTCTGTCAAAACAAAAGGTAAAAAACACCTCTAAGATAATGCTAACGTCTGCCAGCGGCCGTATGGGATTCTAGTAGTTTGTTAGCATTAAACTAACAGTGATTTCCACAAACAATTTTGGCACTTCTAGATTAAACAGGAAATGTCCTTCCTTAAAATGTTGCCACAAAGTTGAAAGGACAAAATTCTTTAGAATGTCATTTTGTGATGTCCCTCACCAAGGGAACTAAAGGACCCCAGACCAATATTCCTCCTCCATAAAACTTTACAGTTTGAACTATGCATTAGGGCAGGCAGCAATCTTCTGACATCCACCAAACACAGATTTATCTGACAGACTGCCCAGATTGGTGAAGCGTGAGTCAACAGTCCAGAAAACATGTTTACACTCCTTCAGAGTCCAATGATGGCATGTTTTACACCATTCCAGCCAACACTTGGCATTGCACATGGTGATCTTAAGCTGTGCTACTTGCGTGATTCCAAAAAACAGTTTCTGTGCTGACAGAACTCAGTTTAGTAATTAACTTTTATTAAAATTACTATGTTCATGTGAATGCCTTGACTCATCAAAACGATACACTGTGCAGTCCTACTATTTACACGTATATGTGACTATATATACAGTTATATGTGACGGAAATGAATAGCTCAAATATTATTGTTGTTAATTGCTGCTATTTTTCACTTTCGCTACTGCCTGTGCTTGCATTTGAGATGTATTCATATTCATATTCTGTCACATAATTATGCGTATGCTTATTATCATGCTTATTATGCTTATTATGTTTTAGAGGTATCTCCAGATGTACAAGTACACAAATGCTGAGTATGCAGACCTATGGAAATGCATGGAAGAGGTAAATGTGCATGTGGCTGTTTGATAAATACAAAATGCAAAAAGAGGGATTTAGGGTGATAAAAGGCACAGCATACTGATTTGTAACATTGCAGTGTGCGTGCTATCATGACTAATCATACACTAATGCACTGATCATACTCTAACCAGGCTTCCATTTACAATGACATACAAAGCATCATGAAGGGATGGACAGAGCAAGTGGGTTACCCAGTCATCACCATAAACACTACCTCTGGAGACATCTCTCAGGAGCGGTTCGTTTTAAATCAAACAGGGGGCTACGGGTGAGTTCCATGCCATAAAGGGCACTCTTTCTTGTACCTAGATCTGACATTCAAAGTGCAGTCCTGAAACTTTATGGGATGACTCCAAATGACCGACCAGATGAAATTCAATGCTGGTTTCACTGCAGGACATGGGGAGTTCAAAACAGAGGCTCTGTGGGCCACTTTAATTTCCTCCTTTGGTGTTGTTTATAGACATAGGCATGTCCTTGTTGTGGATTGTGGTTTTCAGCTCAGTTCATTGGTTTATCAAGTGACAGATGGCTCAAGAATGTCCTATTCTTCTGTGTTCCCTATAGGCTTATATGGGAGGTTCCAATTAAATATATGAAATCTGATCTCACAGTAGGGGATGAGTTATTTAAAGAAAAAGGACCAGGTAAGATGCAGTTCATAAACTCCCAGTTTAATAAAATAATGGAAATTGATTAACTGAATCTTTTGCAAAGGTATGAGTGCCATTTGTTTTCTCTATAGTCAGAAAGCCTGATTATTTGCTTAAACCTGGTATATGGCTCCTGGTCAACATCAACTGCACTGGTTATTATCGTGTGAACTATGATGAAGACAACTGGAATAAGCTTATTGATCAGCTGGAGACCAATCATCATGTGAGTATTTGTTAAACACTTTTATAATATTGGTTGAAATTAGATGTCTTTAAGAAAGTGGTCAGTCAAAAAGAAAGTTCATTTCTGTCCCATTCGACAATATGACTTTGAATGTCTTTTTTTCTTAGGTTATCCCACTCATCAATCGGGGCCAGCTAATTGATGATGCATTTAACCTTGCGAGGTATGTTTATGTATTCCTTTTCTCTAATACTATATGTTTGACAAGGATGCTTCATTTTTTTTAACAATCACACATTCTAAAGTTAGGAGAACTATACCATATACTACTATTATGTGCTTTTTAAAGGGCCAAATACGTCAACGTCACTCTGCCACTGAAAACCACCAAGTATCTTATCAATGAGACAGAATACTTTCCATGGGAGTCGGCTCTGAACAACCTACAATTTTTCATCCTTATGTTTGACCGCTCTGAGGTCTACGGTCCCATGCAGGTGAGTCAAATTAACACGAAGAACTGGTGAAATATGTGACGTGTAATCAACAGAGGTGCTTATTATTCCTTTTACTCTAATTTTCTGCATGCAGAAATACCTACAGAAGCAAGTCAGTCCGCTGTACAATTACTTTCAAGAGTACACTGAGAACGCAACCATTCCAGAGAAACTCACTGATCAGTAAGCTCCTATTTGGTTTGTCTGTTATCCATTAATGTGTTAGGTGCATTGTGTTTAGTCTTACTGTTCATCTTTCTCCAGGTATAATCAGATAAATGCTATATCAGTGGCATGCAGCAATGATGTTCCCAAGTGCACAAAAATGGCAACTAAGCTTTTCCAGGAGTGGAAAAATGGCACCAACCGGTGAGTTGATATTTTTGTGTTTATATACTTAAAACAGTTTTAATTCATTTTTACATGACCATCTTCCAACCTCTTCTTATCCCTTAGAGTTAAACATGCTGTATTTGTTCCTGTGCCTTTAAGACTGATATATGATAAATTACCTCTTTACTCAATCAAAACGCATTCTGGGCTGAAACACTCCTTATAACTTGTGTGAATAGACAGTGCTAAACTGTCGAGTCTACCTAATAAGCAACATAAGCAGCAGCTGTTATAACAATAATTTAGACACCTTGTAGTGTCTAAATTATTGTTGTTAGCTCCTCATTGTTACCCCACCTCCAAAAAAAAATCCCACTTAGGGCCCCCAAAGGATCCTGTTGACAGATATTAGCGCTACTGTTTTTGGCAACCGTGAAACAACACTAACCACAAAAATGGAGCTTGACTTGGCACAGTTCTCTTACTCTCAATTTCAAAACAGGAGTTCTGTAATCTGAAACAGTTTTTGTAATGTGCTAATTGGAAGGAGAGTGAAAATGAAATATCTGAAGATATTTCTCACAGGGCAGTGCAATTTCTGTCCACTTGAGTGGCATTTGCAAAGTTGAATGAGCCGACTTAACTAGCCCACTTTACTGCTGTTTGTTTGGATCTTTTTAATTCTTATTTTAATGCTAAAGTGAACATCCAAGCTATGATGGTTTGATCTAGGCTATTTGAAGTAATTTGAAGAAATTACACAAGACACTTTATCCTGTACGAATAGGCCAGTTGAATTCCTTACCAATTACATCGAGGACCTCCTATGGTAAAACCTAATGCAGCTCAAATAGGGCATTAGTTTCACTACTTACCATATGAGGACTGTATAGACTGGGGAGTGAAGGGTATGGTTTGAAACTTTAACAATGTTCACATACAATATCACACCATTTTGAACCCTTTAATGTGCTATCAACATGACTGTGGCAACATGATTCTTTATACTACTCCTTCTTACCAACTGACTTGTCTTTTCCAACACAGGATTCCACCGAACTTGAAGTCCACCGTCTACTGCAGTGCCATAGCATCTGGAGATGAAGACGACTGGGATTTTGCGTGGAAACAGTACGAAGCAGCCACGATTGCCACAGACAAAGATAAACTGAGATATGCACTCTCCTGCACCAGGAAAATATGGCTCTTGAACAGGTAGAAGCACTGTCGATTTCTCTGGTCCATCTTAGTAAGCAGGGGCTACCATTCATTCATCTCTTATAATTCAAATTCTTCCCCACCCAGATACCTTGAGTACACTCTAGACCCTACAAAGATAAGGAAGATGGATGTTGTCTCTACCATAAACCACATTGCCAGAAATGTAGCCGGACAAGCCCCTGCCTGGGATTTCATCCGGGCCCACTGGACCCAGATAAGCCAAGAGTAAGTTGAGGGGTCATTCTGTTCATGAACTACACTGCTAAATGACACATGCATATGTAATCATTCAAACAAATGAAAACAATGAAGTCAAAGGCCCCAGGATTTCGTCTATTTGTCATCTGTTTGCGAGTTAAGCAGTGAAGTCATGGGTTATATAAGAGGGACCAAAGATCAGGAGCAATTCAGGGATTGAAGGTTGAGTTCAGTGGTTAATGATGAGCCCTTAATGGTTGTATGTAGTTTGTCCCTTGGTTGCTAAGCAATATAATTCTACATTCTCAGTACAATTGACTAACTCTCATTTCCTTCAACAGCTACGGAGGTGGGCTCATGTCTGTTGGCAGCTTGATTGATCAAGTGACGGAGAGGTTCTCCTCAGAATTTGAGCTCCAACAGGTGAACTTCTCATGAACCTCAACTGGCAGCCAGCTCATGAACCTCCATTTAGTGTCTAAATTCATTTAGACATATAACTTTATAGGCCCACACTTCAGTTCCTCACTCTCATAACTACATAACTTACTTATTAGTTTCAATAGCAGTCACTGAATATTTCACTGAATAATTGAAGATTAACAACCAGTGATCAAATTATAAAAAGGTGCATGGTGGGTTCAAACAGTGGGGGTCAGGCAAAGGAGACTTGGTTAAGTATTGTAGCTGTAGCAGGAAAAAGCTTTCATACCATGATTAAAATGCCCATTTGTTAATATACATCAGTGCAAGTGTAATGCTTTAAGGCTACCTACATAGAGACTTCATAATGTGTTTGAGCAGTAAATAATGTATGTAGAAAACAATACTTGAGTATTTATGCACAGCTTATTCCACTAATCGTAAGATGATACAAGATATTTTATGAAGTAAAAAACATTGTATTGACATAAGGGCATTTATTTGTTAAGTTGGAGAGAAATTTTTCCTTAGTAGAAATTTGCAATCAAAATATTTAACCCTTAAGTTTGTGGCTGTCAGAAAGCATAGAACTGATATATGGTGTTCTTAACAAAGTGTTGCATTACTTGGGAAATCTGTTTCATAAGAGAGTTATGAATGTAACAAATGTCGGTCACGTTAGTTTATGGCCCCTTATTGTTAATGTATTTACTTCATAAAACGTCATGAGCTACTAATGGTATAAACAGTACTACTGCTTTATAAATATGTTATTCAGTGCTTAGGCATATGTCATGAAGTCCTTAGGCAGGTAGCCTTCAAATAAATTATTAACCGACAAACTTCTGTCTGTAATTCTACAAATATTACATTTTTGACTTTTTTAATAATTCACTTAATGGATGCTTCCACCAATTTTTCTAAATGTCCACATATATCAGTCATTGAGATGTAAACATTGTCATTCTTTGTGGTTTGATGTGAAATTGTTAATTGTAGAGAAACATACCGACTTTTATTTACTATCCAAAACAACCAGTGAGCCTGCACGTCTCTTCTGAGCGTTTATATGTAATGTTTATAATGTTGAAAAAATAAGTTTTCTTTGGGGACCATTTTGCCTTACAATGCACTGCATGTAAAAATACGTTTTAGGCCAAAATCTTATCCCAAAACCATTGTCAAACAATGTCTCAGGCATCAGACAGCGTGTATGTAATCATTTAAAGTAATAACTTTCTGTGAGGTAGCTTTTAGAGGCTTTCAATGGTTAAGATTTGTGATCTTTGAACAATTCAGAGTCTGTAGTTTTCCCTAGAATTAAGCATTTCACATCAAACCACTCTGAACAATTTTGTTTACATCTTAACCACTTCATTATGCATAATTTTTGAAAAATATGTGGAAGTCCCCTTTAACAACATTAATCCAACAAGGAGGATGGAGTTGTAAAAAGGGGATGTTTGTTGTCTTTTCTCACAGGGGGCATGCCCCCTGCATCCCCCCTCTAGTGGAGCCCTGTTTATGAGTGAATAATAAACCAGCAGAGAGGTTGAATGGAGGACAGTGAGAGCTTGTGACAGTAAGAGGTTCAGCTGGTTGCCATTAGGTCTCTTATACTGTAATGACGTTGTTTTCCGGCCCAGAGCATATGAGCTCATCCACACATCTCTCATTGTCTCTGTCCAGCTGAAGCAGTTCCAAAGAGACTACGATGAAGATGGCATGGGGCCGGCCACGCGAGCTTTGGAGCAGGCTATTGAGAGGACTGAGGCCAACATTCAGTGGGTGACGGAGAACAAACAGACTGTGTTGAACTGGTTCCTCAGAGAGTCCCAGGATCACTGAGTGTTTGCAGATCTGCATAACCCTGAGCACGCACAGCAGAGCCAGCACAATGAAAAACAGATGTAGAGCCATGGCATAGTGATGGAGACAACATCCTGTGTTTCGCAATGTTTTTTTTTGGTTTTCCCTCAACCACCAAAGACTCAGTTTCATAAGGAAATCTCATTATGTTGAATGCAAGAGAAAGACTACGTGCCTTTTTTTAATGAGTGCAATATAATGGAAAATTCATTTCCCTAAATGTCATATAATTATTTAAACAAATACATATTTCAGCCTTTGTCAGGATATAAAATTTAAGCTAACAGTAAAATGTATTCCCCTTATGGTGCATCTATGAATTTAGGCTTAATTTATCGCTTATATCAGAACTTAGTACATATTTATCACTAAAACCCAGCCTTGTTTACATAGATGAAATGCCACTTATTCAGGCATATTAAGCACTTTTTTCTTTTTAAAATGCAGTATATTAATAGCTGTGTATTTTGTAAATATAGAAATTGATATAATTGAGACAAAAAATATATTTCATGTATAAAATCTATTTTTTATTTTTTAAGTAAAAGAAAATAACTTTTGTGAATCATTTTCCATTGTCATGAGTCTCTCTTTATAATAAATGCATTATTAATTATTAAATTGCATCATCATGTTTAAATCGTGCCTTAGTGCAATAAGAAACTTGAAATAAGACTTCATTTGAGAGTAGATGTGTTATTAAAAAAAGAGATAAGGAGACATTGATTGTTCCCCTGAAGCTTCTGCTCATAACTAGCTTATGACTTCAAACACCATAAAGCTGAACTAATTATTAAAGTGATAACATTTTACGCACAGTCCAATTATAAAGCCCAGCACACAGACGCAAAACCTCAGTTACGAATAAAAACGTTTTATTACTGAACATATCAAAAGTTAAGGTAATTCCATATTCATAAAAAAGTGTACTTCTTAAGTGTACGTCTTAAAGTATGCAAATTCATAAGTAAAGTGTACATTATTGGTGAAATAGTTTTCCACCCTTCATGTATTCTGTGTGCTGATCAGTCATCCTGAAAAAAAGAATACAGCGCAATGTGAGATCATAGATGCTGAAGTGGCACTTAACTTAGTTCACTTTGCATTTGCAAAAGCAAAGCAAACTCGAACATCCATGTATTAAACTATCATATGAAAAAGTTTGTGCACCCCTTGTCAAATGAAATGTTTCGTTGATTTGAGAAAAGTGAACAGAGAACACACTTCTGTGTAGTTTAATGCACAATTACTGTTTATATGCTGAATTCAAGATATTGGAAAAAAAAACATAAAATCTTCACAAAGGTTAAGGCACATCTGTCATGTTTTACTTAGTTATTCTTTCTCTTTCTTTTTTTAATATGTTAAATTCAGCAAATAAAAAGAAATTGTACTCTAAATTAAGCAAGAGCATGCCATTTTTAAGTGTGTTCTCTGTAAAAGATGTTATGTAGAAATGTTAACTAATTTTCACTTAGAAAATCCATAAAACATGTAGCATGACCAACGACGCTCAAACACTTACGAACAACTGAATCAAAGGGCATATTAAGGATGCTGGTAATATACTGCTTTTGTTTGGTGGCTCCAATATTTCTGTATGTTCACACAACAAGTGTTGTAAAATGCACAAAAAGATCAGGATGTGTTCTACATTTATTGTACAGTGCCACTGCTAATAGCACAGACAGAGGCAGCCCAGACAAAACAATATCATAAACAGGACATCATCATCCTACCCATTCTTCGTCCTCGGCTCCTTCACCGTGTGCGGCTGGCTTTGCTATACTCTGTGTATCTGCTTTGTTGGCCATTATTTTGTCTGTCCACGATGCTCCAGTCTGCTCATCTCCTGCAAAATTGCACTTTGTCACTGAGCCGCCATCCAACTTGGCAAAGGAGGCTATAGAAACACAAAAAAGAGAAGTCAAGTTGCGTGTAGAGTGCTCAATTCAGTTCCAACCTTTTTATATCTAGAGATGTAAAAATGCACCAGTGTATTTTAATGCATCAATATGAAGGTGGCAGTTCAACTGTACTTGGAATGTTTCAATCAATAATAAGCTATTTTAATATTATGCAATACTGTACGCCCTTATTTTTTGCTAAAATAAAAATATCAGACAACTTTCCAAATAAAAAAAAGCTTGTTGAATTATTTTGTATTACTTATATTCAACCTGTGTAAATAATGCAAATTTATCCCCTCTATGGGATTTCCAATGTTATGCAGTGTTTTAAACTACTTGTGGCAATTGTTGCTAAAACACTGACATTTGAAGCCTGTAAGACAGGCATATGGTGTTCTTTACCTTCTATATTGTTGTTTTCAGTATGGCTGCATGATTACTTGCATTATCATCATCATCATGCTATGATGCACCATGAACACACCATTAAGGGCTGTGATGACAGAACAGTTCAAAATACTAGTGCACTAGAGCAGCATGTGATGTGATTAGATTGGCAGGGATGTAGCGTTAGGAGCTGTGTCTAGTTTTACAGCAGTGTTGTGCTTTCCTGAGAAGGTTTGGAACCCCAACCTCCCACAGGCATGCATTGTCACTCCCAGTGCTGTGTGTAAAATGTGCGGAGCAGTAATAGCTATTGTGATGATAAACCTCCATCACCATAAGAGCTTTTTAAAAAAACATTACATACACATTTATTCATTTGTAGGCCTACAGAGAAAACAAAAATATACACATTGCTGTGCAAAAGTCTTTTGAAAAAATGACTTATCCGGGTAGTAAGAATGTGTTTTGTGTAAGAATGTTTTTGTTTTTTAAAGAAGGTATCAATATCTTGGTTAGAAGAACACAGTTACAAGAACACTATAAAGCTACTGATTTCACAGTGAACTCCAGTCATTTCATTGGTTTGTTAAATTCCATCAGTAGCATGTGATTTAATTTTATAAAGTAGCTATAGCGGGTATGGGATGGTGATTGTAAATACTGTAAAAGTGATAAATACTGGGCTACCTAAAGGAGAGCTTTGGAAACAGTTAAGCTAAAACATTCACACACACAAAATTACAATGTGTTGATTATTAGTTCATTTGTAGTCATTCTAATGTTAGTGTTTCTTGAACAAATAAACGATGAATGGCCTTGCGTATAATTTCATATCAAGAGGACTTTTGCACTGGTCTGTATATAATAAATAATGTAGAGGAAATGATGTTCAAGGAATGCTGACTGTTTTTCTAACAGCCTTAAAGTGCACAAAAATGTGCTTGCAGTTCTGAAGTAAGCAGCTGTTAATGTTTCATTAACTTATTTTACACTTTGCACAGTAATGAATGGGGCTTTTGTAATGCTATATATTTTTTATATTTTCTTAACACACTATTTAAAAAAGTGTTCATCACTTCTCAAATCACCTTTGCAATATCCAGCAGCTTTTTCAAGCATCTGTGTATACGCATGCTACATTTGGGTAAGAGTGAATCTCCTGTAAAGAGAACTAGCGGTATTCCTTTCTCCATTTGATTTTGATATAATACTGAGGGATTGGGACTATTGGGACTAGGGAAAACATCAAAATATGCAAGGCAGGGGGTACTAAAGCACTATTTGGACTCGATTAGATTTACATGAGGTAGGCTAATGTTTTTTTTTGCCTGCCTGAATGTGCCACGCTCACACCCACATCAGTAAAGATTCTGGTGCCTTTTACCTTCTGTAAAAAAAACACAGAAATATCTTCGACATATCTTCAGATATGTCTGTGAAAATGCTATCATATCCCTGTGGAAATAAGAGTTTCTTAAGTATGGAGGCATTTAAAGAAGTGATTTCAAGCTGTAAAATGTACTGTACTACCTCAGGTGTATAACTCAGAACATTATAATGTAAAAATTACAGAAAAAACATTAGATATTATGTGGTGATATTGACTGCTGGCTGTGAATACTTGAGCTACTGACAATACTAATGACACAGTGCATTCCCTTAAGACAGCTGGGTAGCTGGCTAGGGTAAATGGAAAAACAGCTAAATTAAATGCTTTTACATGTATTCCACTCGTTTCTGGAGTTAAGGCAAGTAAATCAAGAATGTTATTCAAGTAGCCACTACCCTTCCTGTCATTCATACCAAGATTTCTTATGCCGTGCAAATTGGTCATAAACATTACAGACATCCTGACCTAAATTGGCATGACCACACCTCCCCACAGAACACTAATTCTGTCCACATAGTGCTTTACACGCTCATTGCAACTCAGGAAGGGTTTGTTAGGCAGCCAACTCCACATCACCTATTTACAGCCTTGCGGAAGTGAGTTTAGACTCACAGATAAAAGGACCATCTCCTCTGGTCTTCAGACGGACGTCTTGGCCCATCTCCAGCTCTATCTTCTCCATTTCAGCCTCTAGGATCCAGAAGGCGAAGGCTTGGTTGGGGCAGTGCTTCTCCGTCATCCTAACAAGCTCCTTCTTGTTTACTATGTCCTTCAGCTGGTCTTCAGTAAGACGATCAGACTCGCCTTTGGCCTCCAATTCTGTATAGTTAATATATGGACATATACAAGCTTGTCAAGCTGTTTCCATCATCATTAATCTGGCCAAGCAACACACTTTGTTATTCAGGAGAACAGGATACTATGTAATTTTCAGAGCAGTACAGGTTAGTCAACATTCCAGCCATCACAAATTCAGCAGCAACATCTGGATCAAATGCAATTTTCTCTGCAAAAAGTAAACAGCTCACAGAAAAGGTCTGCCCTTCAGTCACTGTCTGCTGAGTTCAAATCTATGTGTGAGGTTAAAGCCTATGATTTGCTAAAAGGAAATATGAACTGTATTTTTAATCAACTTCTCTCTTCTGTTCAAAAGGGGAAGACCAAAATGAAAACAGAGAAACTGAATGACTGCACAGGCGAGGTAGAAAAACATACTTTCTGAGATAACCTTGAGGAGAAACGTATCATCACTGTCAAAAACAAAACAAAACAAAAAAAGTATCTCTATTTTTTGGTCTTTTTAGTTTTCTATAGCTCAGCAGCTGTCCTTTACACTGTGTGAACATTTCACAATGATCGGACAAACAGAATGCTCCAAAACTGCTTTGAATAAAGTCTCTTTACCCTAACTTACAATAAAAGCAAGTTAAAGTAAACTTGCAAGTAAAGTTACCATTTTGGAGATGCTGCTGCTCTCTCTTATAGTAAAGAAATAGATGATGATGGACAAACCTGTCTATGTGTATTTTTTGCCACATAGTGTTTTTATACATTATTTTCAATTTTTTTCAAGAGTCTTTCTATTTTATATTTTTGTACTGAACTACTTTGGACTGTTCAGTTAAGTCAATTTTATTATTTGGCCATTTACTATTTGATTACTCGGCTGACTTTTGAAATAATTGGTAGATTACTATATAATATATATTATAATCAAAAGCGACAGCCCTTCAGTACTGTTGCCTACCTTCTTGTACGGGGCACTCATTCAGTCAGTATATGATAGTATATCATACTAGAAGTTGTGATAGCTTCAATTTGTCTGTTTTTACATAATCAGTATTGTAATTATTGTAAATTTCAGTTTTAGAAAATTCACAAAAACAAAATAAATCAATGCACCTCAGAGGTATGACAAAACTATAAAATATGGCTTTGACAGACCAGTTGTGACTAGATTAGATTTTTTATCACCGTTTAGAGGGTTTATATGCACCACTCTACCAAATTAGTTTAACCTGCAACCTCACAAGAAAAAAAACTATCTAAGAAAATAATTAAGTATTCACACTTCAGATATTTGGATTTGGGATTAGGATTATTTTATGATCCATTTAAACCCAAGGCATTCATTGAGATAGTAATGAGCTAAATATATACAAAATCATCATTAATAGAGTACTTCCTGAAGCCTAACCCCTAAACTTGTGAAAATCATATTTAAAATGTTTGCCTTATTAAAGATCATCATAAGTTTAACTTCTAAAAGAAACACAACTTTATTTAAGAATTGCTGTCTCACGTTTTTAGGTCACTCCCGAAACACAGGGTTTTAGTCCATAGGCGGAGCCTTATTTTAGCCACACCCCTACATTTTAGAGCAGGAAGTGAGACTGCATCCCTGTCCCTCATGACCACATGGTGAGCAGTTACATCCCATTGTTTTGAAGTAAATGTGTCCTGAAGTCTGAAAATCAGTGTGGAACATTAAGAATCGTCACTACTGAAACACACATCTTCTGCAAGTTCTTCATGTTCTTCTCAAAGTTGTGTCTGCCTGTCATGCACTGGCTAGCATTAATGAGTTCTGCTCACCATTGGCTAAAATTGTCACCGCCAAAACATTTGGTAAAATTTCGGTTGTTCAATGTTCAAGGATTTAAGACAGTTAAGTGCAAGTTAGTTAAAAGTCTAAAATGTGTTTTCAACTCTGACTTTGAACCAGTTTGGTAGAATTGTCCATATACCCACAAAACCAGAGGCAACCACAGTAACATTCTTACAGTATGAATATGAAGCTGTGAAATGCCCAAGACCCACCAGCCATCCAGGCTTCCATTCCTCACTGCCTGGAACAACAACAACTCAGCCAGTTTGCACTGTTTTCCATGCAGTTTGTCCAATAATAAACAAGAAAATCTTTATTATATGCCATATTGCTGCTCTGCTTTAAGTTGTATAAAATTATATTTGGCATATAATAATCTAGTAGTCTGACAACGGCAGAGAGGTCAGCGACAGAAACCAGCTTTGGCAGACACAGTGACGTTCAATCTCTCATAAACTTATCCTCAGTTATCACACATGACACTGAAAATAAACCAATTCCTTGTAATCCACTTAAGCAATTCAAGTACTTACTGTAAGATGACATAAGATAACCCGTGTTGACCTTCTTGGTTTCACTGAAATTCGGCTCTATCTCATTTCCCTTGGCATCATACTTCCTGCAGTGGATTCGACTGGGCTTGATGTACAAAACATTATAACGCTCCTACAATCCAGGCACATGGAAGAAAAGTGCATTCATAAACACTAAAATAAATGGTAACATAAAATATGATCATTCATCTTTGTTAAATAGTATTAAGAAAAGTTTTTAAAGTTTGATATATAAAGTCGTATCCTCATAATAAACTGTGCTGCATTCATATATACCTATAGCAAGTTATATAGTTCAATATAGAAAAATAAAGATGTGTTTTACTGAACATAGAATTGAATCTGAAAAAAACTCTTTAAAGGGCCCATTATCATGGAAAAAAAGAGTTTGGTGTGTAACGTTCAACCCCCAGTCCCTATAGTCCTTATCTGAAAACTAAGCCTGTTTTGAATTTATTATTTTTATGACGTCAGAAAAACCAATGCATCCACATACATCTGCCCATTTAGCATGCAGCTGCTTATTAGCTCCGCCCACTCAGGCTGAGGTTATATAAGGAGTGTTTCAGTGTGGATTGCTTTTTGAGTGAGTCACAATTCAGAGCAGCCAATCAGAACAAAGGAGATTTACCTACGTTTACATATTAAAGGCAGAGTAACAACATGAGCCTGTTTAATTCTAATGGATAAAGAGAGGTTGAAAAATGGTCATGTAAAAATGAACTACGACTGTTTTGACAAACCCAAACAAATATCATAAGCGGTATAAAATCCAACAGAAATGCAGAACACGGGCCGTTTTAGACTTGCTTATTTAACTCAGTACATATGTAGAAATGAAGCTGTCAAATGGTGAACATCAGCTCAGCTCTTCTTTACCTTTTCATTGTTGATGTCTGTGATTGCATGACGAGACACATCCACAAAAGTCCCCTCCAGAATCACCCCAGCGCCTCTGAAATACAGCAGACACATTCACACGGGGTCATTTAGAGCAGAAAAAAAGGCTATTCTGTCCGAAATGGTGCACAGAAGGGTTTTTAATGGATTAGCCTTTCAAGTTCTTCATTTCTCTCTTTCACTGTGTAATGAAATTCAGCTCGACATCGTCAGAGCAGCGCTTAAACATCTACCTCTGATAGAGAGACGGATCCCAGGCAGAAGAGAGCTTTTCATTATGGACGGGTTTATTCTGTAGCGCTGTGTTGTCGTAGATCCGACTCATTTTGGGATGAGGATTTGATTTCCTCGACAAGTGTTTATGGTCACTTCCTCATTTTGTGGGATCAGGAAATGCGATTATGTGCGATCTGACCATCAAGCACGCGCTCGAGTCAGAGGGTGAAATGATTTGGAAATCAGCGAAACTGGGCAGCTCCGCGTTCAGCTGTCTGACACTCTTTTAGAAAGGTGTGTCATCGACTATGCTGTTCATTTACATTAGATAAGAGCATGACTGATCTAAATTGTAATAAATTATAGAGTAGCACATATTTTTAAATAATTTAGTATTTTCGCAATTACTCATCTCACCTTACCCGTCAGCAGGGTTAGGAAGTAACGGAAAAGTACTGGGAATACACATTCAAAGAAACTAAGTAGGCCAGTCTGTATGTAGTACAAGCTACATTTTGTAAACATTATTAACTATTTTAGCATTGAGCAAACATGCATGTAGCATACATGCTCTTTAGATGAATTCTGAAGAGAAACTAACGGCTTCTTTATAAACACTGAGGTTTCTGCTAAAGCCTGAGTAGACTGATAAATCAATATGATCAGTTATTAATCTCAGTGTTACTGAGCTCTACTAAAGCCTGAGTAGACTGATAAATCAATATGATCAGTTATTAATCTCAGTGTACTGAGCTCTGCTAAGCCTGAGTAGACTGATTAAATCAATATGATCAGTTATTAATCTCAGTGTTACTGAGCTCTGCTAAAGCCTGAGTAGACTGATAAATCAATATGATCAGTTATTAATCTCAGTGTTACTGAGCTCTGCTAAAGCCTGAGTAGACTGATAAATCAATATGATGGTCAGTTATTTATTTTAGCCATTTACCTTTGAGGAATGATTAAACTAATAGTAGTGGACATGTTTGTGAGTGATAAGCTCAGCATCAGTGTTGCACTGGACTCCTGCTCAGAGGATTGTGGGAGCAGCCATGGACTAAAGCAGGCAGTGAGAGAGAAAAAAGGAATTACATGAAGAAACAGCTGACCAGTAACAGCAAGGAACAATATGAACAAAGGTTAAAAAAAGTTTTTTCCATGTGCCTAATCAAAATGTATTGTACATGTATTCTGAATATGTTACTTTATTATGTATTGTAAGGGAACAAGTTAATACATTTAGGACAGTGTATTCGTTATTCAGCCATCACTATTTTTTGCCCAACCCTACCTGTCAGCAAGTAAAAACTGCATAGAACTGTGCAGCTCTTTGGATTACTCCCTGAAATGATATTAAAAATGCAAAAATATACATTATGCCCAAAAGTATCCAGACACTTCTTTTAATTCAGTTATTTTAAAGTGGAATTCCACTGATTTTCCAAACAGATATGTAATTAATTTATTAAAATATAAACAAAAAAGTCAAGAGTGGTTTTATGTGAAGTGCACCATTCTTGATAAACTTATTTAGTCCTCGTGATAGGAACCAGACGTCCTAAGTGTTTAATGCCTCTAATCCTGAACTCTAAACTCTACCTCACAGAAAGTTATACAAAATGGGTGCAAATGTGTGTCTGGTGCATAAGACATTGTTTTACGTAATTTTCAACAAATACTTTTTTTCAACTTTTCCAATATTAAAAAAAAATTAAGATAAAAAATGTGAGTCTCTAAGTTTCTCTAAAATTCCAAAGCACTATTCCAAAAGACTCACTGAATGACTTTGATTACATCTCAACAACTGAATTATACAGAAATTTTGAAAACTTGGTGGAATTTCGCTTTTAGGTGCATCTGTTGCTGACATAGGTGCTCGTCTGTATAATTTACACAGAAAAGTGATGTCAGTAGAATGGGACGCTCTGCAGCAGCCACATACACCATGTCCAGTGCCAAGTGTCACCTAGAGGGTATAAAGCCCCCCAGCTTGGACCTCCATCCAATAACTTTAAGATGAGCTGAAGTGGCGTTTGTGATCCAGAATTAATCATCCAACATCAGCTCCTGATCTCACTAATGCTCTTGTGGATGACTGTGTCTTCAAACTTTTAGACATACAGTGTACAACACCATAGGGTTTAGATATCCTGCTGGCTTGATAACAAAGAGAAATCTAGATTATATGACTCACACCATGTCTACATGTGGTTTAAACTCAAGAAAAAAGTGAGGAGGAAATGACACAACAGCAATGATAACGCTAACAGGTAGAGTCATAAGGAAGTAGTCAATACCTAAAAGACAATGATTTCAAAGCTCATTTTAGATTTTCAAGCCAGTGCAACATATTTAAACTGAAATTTAAAACGCTTTGTGAGGTGCGAGTGCGAACACTGGCCTCATAGAAGAGCATGATTGTGATCCATCTCTTCAACAGGGAAAAGAGCATCTGTCCAGGATTAAAGACTAAAAAGAGCGGACCACAAGGAGACACAGTGGGAACACTTATTTCAGTCTGCTATGCAAGGCTCAAGGCTGAAGTTAGGCTGAGCATTCATCTAGAACATCAATACCAAATACCAGACCAAAGCTCCAGTGGTTTGAATATTAAAAAGGGAATGTCACAGACAGGCCCACTTATTCTCCAAACCTCAACTCCAATGAGAATTTGTTACACAACCTGAGGTTCATAAGCTTAAGTCTCACTAATGGTGACCATTCCATGGCAGTGTGTTATTGTTGACTATATAGTTCAAAAAGCCCAAGGCCATGAATGTACATAAGGCCTGGACGTAACCTATACAAATATTCGGTCATTCAGAGTGCTTTGATGTAAAATGCTCCTTTCTGCAGAAACTTATGAAGTTGTTTTAAGATTTGTTCATATGGTGATAGGAACCAGATGTCTTAAGCATGAAATGGTTACAAACGGTTGGCCTGATAAATTGTTTTACAATAATTTTTAGGTGAATTTTCAGCCTAAAATGCATTTTAATCTATTCATAGCAGAGTCACACACAGGGCATTTTAAGGCAAAACAGACCCCAAAGAAATTTTTTTTTTTCTGATTTATCACTATTTTATCAACACTTCCTTCAAAACACTTCCTTCAAAACCACCAGTGAACTTACACATCCTCAGAAGGCATGTGTAAGTTCACTGGTGGTTTTGGATAGTAAAAGTCAAAGTGAACCATTTCACATCAAACTTTGAATGACTTTGAATGTTTACATCTCAACCAATTCATTATGCAGAAATTTTGAAATATTGGTGGAATTCCCATTGAAATACTGCAATTAGTAAATATCTAATTATAACCAATCAAAAAAGTAGATTTAAATCCTCATTAAGAAGCAAAGTTGGACTAAAGCATTATTTGAGCCCTAATTTGGATGGGTTTTCTTGAGGAGGTGCTGTATTTTGAGTGATTACTGTGGAGAACAATGATTAATCTGTTAATCCAGTAAGAATCTGCAATGTCCGTAGTTTAGAAGTCTCCAGAGCAAATTACCTTCTGTAATTACCTTTTGTGATTCAGTGAATCCTGAGCTCCTTCAGTAACAGTAGTCCTGTTTGAGACATCACAGTAATGTAATAACATAACCGTGTAATGGAAAACGATATCTTTATTTGTTTCTTTTGTCCTTTTTTTGCAAGTTGAAGACAAGTCCAATAGCTAAAATGGAGCTTGATTTGACCCAATTTCTTAATCCTCAAATTTATGACAAAGTCTGAAATTTCCACAAAAACCTGGTGTTATTGTTAAGAAGTGTGGCAACTGTTGCATAATGCTGATGTAACTGTCCACGCAATGATGTTACGATCCGGGCTATTTGGAGTAACTTGGGGAAATTACACTGATCATTTATCCTGTACAAATCAGCCAGTCAAGTCAGTGTGACTGATAAGTAAAACTGCAATGAGAAACATTCAAGGTTTTATATGAAGAAACAAAATAACGGAAATAGGATTATATAACACATGGAGATGCTAGTAATAAGACCAGATTCAGTCACTGGAATGCTGGAAACCGGACCCTTCTTCAGGGAGATCAGACCCACTATCGTGAGCCTTTGGAAGCAGGCAATGTGGGCTGAAGGCTGCATTTATCTTCCTCCAAAGGAAAAAACTCTTCCAGATGTAGAAAAAGTAGAGTAAAAGGGGTTTTATTCTCTTTACATCATGTCATGTGCACCAAAAACATGAAATGTTGGATTTACTTAAAAATGTGTGTACAACTGTGTTAAACAGCTTTTAAGACGTTCAGTTGAGTAACGTATACTCAACTTGATATAGTTATAGTTAACTAATTAAAGTAGAAAAAGAACAAACTTAATAGACTTAAGCTAGATCATTACATAATTTCTGTAAGTTATTACTGTGCTACAAAGAAAAATTCTGCTCAGAAGTAGGTTACAGCCAACAACAATGCAGTTAGGCAGTTAACTGTGGATTGCAAGAAGGATGCATACAACAGAAGAGGGGCCAGAAGGAAAGACAACACGAAGAGGGTGAATAAAACGAGAAAAAACATATGCAAACAGATGATGCCAGCAGCCAAAGGGGAACAGTGAGCTTTACTCAACAAGATTACATTGACCAAAGACACATGAAGTAAATCTGACAACTCACTTGATTTCATTAAAACAAGACAACTCCTTTCACTGACTTGCATGCATTTGTTAAGTAATAGCAACACTGTTAAGTAGTAAAAAAACAGTGATTAAAACCAACAGCAATGATTTTATTGTTTTGAGTGTGCAACACTAGCTTTGCTTAAGGGTGTTTCCCAAGAGGATTTGTGACGCTAATGACACACGGGTTTAGTTACAAGAAGTTACAAGCAAAGCTACAAGATGTGACACATCAAAGATGTAAAAGAGTTGCTCAAAGCTCATAATAAAACACACAGACCTACAGACATACCATGCTGTAAACTGTGTTGTTTATAGATGCCATTCATGTTTACAATTTAAACACCATATCTGTGTACTGATATCACTGAATACCACTGAATTGTATTCTTAGCCTCATGATTTCTTTCACTGATGTTCTCTCACTGCACTATGCAAAAACATCATACAAACATTGGGAATCCCTGTGGTGTCGACCAACCTGGACTGTGAGCCGGACCACTGATCTACAGGCTAATCCAATCAAGCCGGCATTACCTTGGTCACCAAGCAAAATCTCAAAGAAAAGAGTAATACTACCACTATTCAGCACAAGATGGATGCTACTTTTTTACCCTTTCCGCCAGAGAAACAAGCCAAACTCAGGTAAGGTATCAAAGACAGCCAGGTAGCTACTTTTATAACGTTAGGTTAGTCATTTCCGTTGTTTGAGTAATCCACTCTCTCCACTGTAAAGATGATTTAAAGATGGTCACCACAGTTAAGATAAGAAGGCTTTCTGCCTTCCCTGGGTTTCCTAGTCTTTAAACCGGACTTTAAACTTGAGCGGCACCACTGTAGTATGTGAGCAGTCATGTTTATTATGTTTACAGCAGATGCAGAACAGTTTGATTTTTCAATTTGGCTAGAACTTCCCTTTAATACTACCCTGAGTGAATTCACAAAAATGTTGTATTTGTGATGTGTTGTTTCCAAAAGTATGGGAATAAGAAGAAAGTTTAGCAGATCAATATTCAACATTTTCTGTAGCACAGAACTGAAAAGCTGAGCACAGACTTTCCACATCCAGACTAATTTAAAGCACGGAATTTAAAAAGATGTCTTGGCTTTTTTACATGTGGGTGTTGTCCCAGTCTGGTTGGTTAGTTGTGTTCCTATACAGCCCTTTCGAAGCTTGTTTGCCTCAGTGACTTTGACTGCAGATGCATGAACTTGTGGTATGCCCTCCAGGACCTAGATGAAGGATAATTCCAGAGTGTTAGTCTATAACGGGAGAGACAGAGAAAATTATTTTAATTCTGGGTAAATTTGGGTCAGAATGTTCCATTCCTGAAGACTGCAGTTTAGCCTGCTATGTGGTCAACCCCATTTGGTGGCTAAGTAAATGCAACATAAATCAAGTGACAGGGTAATCACTGCACTCACAGCTGTGGCATACTTTCAAGAACTGCCAGCAATGTGGCACTGGATGATATGCTGATATAAATTAGGACACTAGGATAAGACAGCTCACCTTTCCCTTATTGTCTATGAGCTTTCTTGCCATAGCTTGTGTGCTGTGTGGACTTTCATCTGAGCTCGCACCTATAAAAAGCTTATTGTTAGTCCAGGATGTCTTCAGCAGTGCTTCAAATTAAACAGGGCTCAGCAGAGCAAATCAGTACATTCTTTAACTCTCTTACAACCTCAAACGCTATGGGTCATGAGAGTCAATGAAACCAATGATAGACTCACTGTGTGCTGGGCGGTGCTGGAGCTGTATGCTTAACCACACGTTGCGTCTCTGACTCCATTCCCCAGGAGCCTCCACTTCATAGAGGCGCTCCCTTTGTTCCTGGTGGGTCTCTAGGTACTTCTTGCATACTGCACAGAAAAATGTTGAGACTAGTCGTGTCAGAAAGGTTTCTGTAGAGCTGTATACGAATATGACTCTGAGGAGCAGCGGTTAAAACATAGGGGAACATTATTGTAAAAGCTTCTAGGGTTAGAACTTTAATTTTTTTTCAACCAATATAAATCACAGTGCAAGAGTCAGAGGGCAATCTTCAATTATTTAGGTTCCGATCAAAACAGCAATTATGTACAAGTTATTATTTTTCAGGAGATATTTCTGAATAGATTAGATATAAGATAATTCACCTGCATAAGGAAGGGAAAGTCAAAGAAAAATAAGCTAAAACAAGACAGAAGTTTCCAAAACTATATTAAAAGATTTATTAAGAAAATGTAGACCACCAAAAATGTCATCATCAGAGTCACCACCACCACTTAAAGAGCCCTAGTACTCAAAAATGAGACTTGTTTTGCTGAAACAAGCAGGGATGTCCCTGAAAAAGATGTTATATAAATGGCAGCAACGTTGCCCTAATACCAAGACAGACACTGGCCTTTGAACTTTGCATTGGTAATAATCAGGATGGTCCTCTTCCTCTTTGTCCCAGAAAACACAATGTCCATTATTATTAAAGACAATTTGAAAACGTGAACTCGTCAAACAACAGCACATTTTTGCTTTGCCACAGACCATTTCATGAGCTTTAGCCCTTTTTCCTAAGTATTCTCGAGCCCTTGTGGTTATATTCATTATAGAAGCATGTTGGTTTTTATAGCAGTGCCCTCTGAAGGATCAAAAATTAATTCAACATTCAATGTTGGTTCTCGGCCTTCCCCTTATGCACAACAAAGTTTTGGTCTGTAGATAGTAAAACCCCTAAATTCCTTACAAATGTATATTGAGAAACAATGGACCTCATTCACCAAACATTCACACTTACACAATTTTCATGAACATTCTGACATACATGAATGTTTTCTTATTTGGGATTTGTTCTTAGGTAAGAACAGTATCTATGCACACAAGAGTACAAAGGTACGAACGACTCTGCATTTTAAAAACATCATGAACCTGAAATAGACTTCTTCCTAGGAGCTTCTCAAGAACAAGTTTAAGAAAAACTTGTGAATGAGGCCCATTTTTTTTTGTAAACTGCTCACGCAGTGGCGAACATTGTGAAAGCTTCTTTCATACCCAATCATGATACCATCGCCTGTTGACCTATGGAAAGTTCCTAAACAGGTATTTTTGATCATTCCATAAACTTTCCAATATTACACTGCTCCTGTGCTAACTTTTTAGCACTGTGCTAACTTTTTAGCACTGTTGCAGGCATTGAATTTGGAATTAGTGTACATTTACAAAAATCAAGGAAATTGATAGGGGAAAATATTGAATATCTTTTCTTCGCACTGATTTCAATTAAACACATGTAAATTACAATTTATTATTCACTGCTTTCTGTTTTTATTTGTATTTTACTTACTGTTCCAACTTTTCTGGAGTTCTGAACCATCACCATGGCAAAATGATGAGTGGCAAGTAAATGTTTCATCTGAAAAAAACTAAAGTTTGTTAATAGTACGAAATCAGATAATGGGTACCTGGTATTGGACTGGTGCCAGTTCTAACTACAAACCATCACTGCGACTAAAACCTTAATGATTAAACATTTAAATTCTTGTACCCATGTACAGCAACAACTTTAGTGAGAAATCCAAGACATAAAATCAGCCGCATTCATGCCATCAGGCTATCTGAAAGGTCTGCATGAATTCCAGAGTGAAAGTGTGTAAGCGGACAAAACTAATCACATGAACTATGAAAACACACATCTGCATATTGTTATCTCTGTTTAGATAAGTCTTCCTGAAAATGTGTACACATGAACAAGCCTCATCTCCCTTTGTTGCTTTTCACAATTAACCATAAATGGTCAATGTAAATGAATTCATAAATATGTAAGCAGATGGAGGAGTTATGGCTCAGCATAGTAGGGGATATGTGTATAACTTGATCGTGGAAGGCCTAATAATTGACAGAATCTGTGTCCCCACACACTAGAATTCTCAGTACTCACTCATGTAATATGTTTGTATCTTGTTGCAAAAGATAATCAGTACACATGCTAAAAAATATTTGGTACACGGTAGCAACCTTAAGTGTGGAGCGCAAGCTGGGCAACTGTCAGTCAGACTGAACATTAGACCAGGTGTTCTCAGATCTAAAAAGACTGGTGAGATGCCTCAGTTAGTATACATGGCCTCAACCAGGCTACAGCCTAAATAAATATTTCCCCAAACCCAAAGGTTGCATGAATGGATGAATGAGTATATGAATGGATTAATTAATTACATAGCTGATGAGCAAAGCACAGGAAAACCAGGTAGATTCCACCTCTGGAAACTGTTACATATACTGAACATGTAACTGCAAAATGCCTGTGGTTGGAAAGGGGGATACTGGCCTAAAACTAAAAATTAATATGTTATTTGTCATGTGATGTAATATGCTGTCTCTCAGCCTCACTGGTTTAACAAAGTTCTTAATTTTATAATTATTTTTTGTGTTTTTATCCATCAGTAATCTCTCACTACAATGCCCAGCCTGCATTATGCAAATACATCATACAACCATTGGAAATCTTCCTCATGGTGATTAAAAAATCCTGACTGCTAATGTAGCCACTGATGTAGAGGCAAATAAACACATCGTTATATTCAGCTTCCTACCAGTGTCATTAGCCATCTGGCTTCGTTCTGCATTTACCAGCTAACAAGAAGAAGAAAAAATAAAAAAATCAAACAGCCTGCCTTCAAGTATCCCCCAAAGCACTTTAGTTTTTCAATAGTTCCTCCCACCTTTAAGAAGATTTACATCATCAAAAGAGTGATTTCCTAGTCTTTAAATCGGAAATCTTGCAATAGAGACTACTGAGCCACCACTGTAGTAGATGAATAGGCATGTTTACAACAGATGTAAAGATGCCTTCATTTTTAATTTTGGCCACAGTGCCCCTTGAAATAATGACAAAAAATCGATCATTTCGTCCTAATTTATCTTTTGTGTAACCGGGCATCTGGGGGCATCCTATCCGTTTTTGTATCATCTAGAGCTGAGCCCAGTGTTTAAAACTTTGCTTTGTAAAAGGGGCTACTTTGCAGTCCTCTGTTTCTGAGCCAAATCAGACCAAATCTGTGTAGTGCATAATTAGAGGATCTCTTTAGGTTCAGGAAATTTTAACACAAATTGAAATTTTAAGCAAATCTTCTCTTCAGAATGGAAAGGCATATCGAACTTGAAATCAGTTTATTGTTACACCCTTATTTGTAACCAAGTATCTGTTTTTGAGGCTTACCAGTGGTTTGCATCTTGGGGAACTGAGGTTTTGTTGTTTTATTCCTTTTTTTGTGATTGTGTTTGACACATCTATGGGTACATCCTTAACAGTGCTCTAGATGTGTTCCACAGCTGAAATAGCATTTTTACTCATGATTGAAAGTATATTTCAGCGGTCTACCACCAGTGCATTCTTGCTTCTTAAACAATGCTCCAGACAGTTGATTCTGGCACAAGAAATGTTTTGGCTATGTCTCCGATTGATTTATTCAGATTTTTCAGTCTCATGATGGCCTATTTAACTTGCACTGACACTTCTTTGGTTTTCATGTTGACAGACAACAGCAACTGACTCCAGATATAGAAGCCACATCTAGAATGAACATTTCCTTAGCTCTCTTGTGCAGGAACTAACAATGCAGTGCCAGCACTATGTCCAATAAGGGCTGTGATTCCTATATTGTCCATGCAATATGAACATGCACACTTTTGAATTAAATCTGACAGCAACTGTATAAACACTGGTGCATTTCCAATTCAGTGTGCTAGAAAACAGCAAAAACAACAACTGTAACTGTCCAAATACTTACAGATTGAACTGTACTTCAAAGCAAAATGTAACTCATTATTTCTTGGTTTCTAATACAGCTAATTAGGAGTGGGCAATATGACAATGTTTTTGATTATTGTGATAAATTACATCACATTACTTTTCTGAGCACATAGAGGATCATAACAGGTACAAAACACTGAACAATTGAATATTTTGTTACAGAAAGCATAACTAGCCCTGGTTACTTGGAACTGCAGCACAGAGTGTGAAACACTTAATAAAAATCATAGTATTTATAGTTTTTCATAGCATTTTACAGTGTGCAAATTTGATAGCATGCAACATGACAGCAAACTAAAACATGCACTTTTCTGCCAATTTCTTTGCTGAGTTTAACAAAAAAAATGTTACAAAAGATGTGCCATAACACAGACCACATTTTAGGTTTGATTTTTTCCCAATATGTTAAATTCAGCAAATAAACAGTAAATGTACATTAAAATGAGCAGAAGGGTGTTCTCTGCAGAGTTTGTGTTAACTTTTGTTTACTTAGAAAATCAACAAAAATGTAGTTTTACTTTTGCATATGACTGTGTCGTTGTTAAAATGAAGTATTTTTTCGCCTAAGCCGACTTAAGCCGCCCAAGTTAATATTGTGCAAGTGAACCAGTAATTCTCGCAATGACTACAAAAGTCAAACGCAGCACTACAACTATTTGAAAGTTTAGTCCTGTCTTTATTTAATATTTAAACCATTTTATTAAAGGGCCCACATCACGGAAAACCAAAATTTCCTTCCTTTTGTAATGAGTTTGGTGTAATATGTAAACATTGTTAAAGTTTCAAAACGCACTATTCACTCCCCAGTTCATAGAGTACGTTTATGGAAACTAAGCTGCAAAAACAGGCAAATTTTGTGATGTCAGGAAAACCAGCACATTTATATATCCACCTATTCAGCCTACACAAGTTTAGCTCCGCCCATTTACATAGAAGTCATGACAACAGCATCAGCCTGGATTGCTTTTTTTTTAAAGAGGCACAATACAGAACAGCCAATTAAAACAGAGGTCATTTACATGCATCTGTCTCAATGGCACAGTAACAAAGTAAACAGCCTGTTTAAATCTAAGAGGTAAAGTGGTCATAAATGGTCATAAAAATGAACGATGACTGTCTTAGATAAGTAAAATCATCCAACTATCAGAAATGATTCTTTAAAGGAAGAAAAATAAAACAATAAGAATGTAAGATATGATCCCTTTAAAGCAAATCAAATTTGCAAGCATACGTCAAACCTCAAAATGTCCACCAGTGCAGCACACTGAGACGTACTCTGCTCAGTTGTAGAACCCTTTCTGCTGAGCATGACCACACTTTCATATGCACATTTAGAATCAGGCCAGAAGGTGGAAGCCAGCTGTTGTGTCTGCTCTTTCTCCTTCTGCACTGACTAGTGTTGTAGTACCCGAGTCTGGTCTCGAGACTGTAAATTAACAGTCTCGATCTTGTCTCAGTCTTGACATCATTTTGGCTCAGCCTTGTCTCGGCCCCAGGGGATAAGATGGATTTGGAAACTGTTGTCGAGACCAGCTGAGTGCAATGCCTCCGCCTGAGCTAATGGAAAGGGAACCTTCTTCTTTTAGTATTGAATAAAAACAAAACCCTAAAACATGTTTAAAAAATAATCTGTTTGCTCCTGATTGAGAATCTAATTGATCCTTTCCACAAGCGTATGTTGATGATCACTGGCTTCAAAATTCATACATCCCCTGAGGGCAGATTGGAATGTTGTTATTACTATGTTTTCGTCTCACAATAAAAAATGTATGTATGTTGTTTAGTTTATATTCATAAAGAAGGGGCAGAGAATAACCTCATCATTTACTTTCACATGTTACAATGCAAAGTTAGACCAAGACCATAATATAATAATGATATTAATTAAATCATAATTAATATTATTTTAGGGTATACATTTTTCAATGTTCTACTTTACCAAAAAAAAGACAATATTATTTATACATATGTATCATGTACAATGAATGATAATGGACGTACAATGCTTTACAGATTTTAGTTTTTCCCTCTTTCCTCTGTATATTTTTATATTATGAATCTTAATCTGGTCTCAGTCTTGTCTCGATCTTGACTTGGACTCGACTACTACGAAGTATTGGTCTTGATTTACACTCAATGTCACCTTTTCTCGATTTTGACCTGGATTCATCTCAAGTGGTCATGACTACAACACTAACAATGACATTAATTGTGCATTTTTTGTCTGTTCCAACTTATCAAACCTCAGAAAAATACATATCATGTAATGTTACAATGTCTTTACTTGCTATATTGGTTATACTGGTGTTATATTTTTCCCACATCACCCACCCCTACAGCTGATATTGTTCAAGAGAATGTGTAATTCTGGCCATGGCTGTTTCTGTACAGTGGTGATTCTTTATTCCTTATCTTTCAGGTGGACAGTACCTTGAAAACAGTGATTAAGGAACTTGAACACACACCTTAGTCACTCACAGTTATCTCTTTACAATGCTGAAGATAACAGTAACGTCAACCTGCCATCACGTAAAGCACGTTTATAAACAGTACGCAGAGAAACTGGCACTTTATCAATGATCATGTGAATAATATGTCATTTTTATGACACTTTCATAAATGAATAATAAAAGTTCTCAGACATTATGCAAATAAGGGCTTGTTGATGGGTCGTCATTTACTTTTAGCCCCTGTAACATTTTGGGCAGAAGTGCTCCTTTAGATTCTACTGACTGAGACAAACTATGAACATTAATATCTCATCATTTGACTGACTGACCTCCATACATGCTTGTAGATATGGGGCAGCTGATTCCCAGCACACACTCCTTGGACATGGACACGCAGAAATCCTGGAGCATCTGTAAGGCCAGCCCATTCCTTCTCCAGTGAGTGCGCACAAACACAGTGTCCAGCACGGGAAGAAGGTAACTTTGACCAGTGCAGCCATCGCACAGGCTACCTTAAAGAACCCCAACAAGAGACGCCATCAAAATGAATGATGGTAGAAAACAGGAATGTTAGTACTTACTATACTGGATGAGGGAACTGAGCTGAAATTATTTACTTCAGTAACTGAAAATGATGGCTTCTTTGCCTAATCAAAGACATCACTAAAATCTGTTGAGGCTATTCTATTTGATTCATAAGAACACTAAAGTAAAATATGATCGGAGCAGGAGATGAAACTCGGCTAGGGAGCATTCTTTCAACCACACAGTCTTTAATGAAAGGTCATTTGAGGAACTTTTCCTGGAGTGAGGCTTAAAACAGATTTGAAAAACCACACCTTTCTTTTTAATGGTGTAAAAGCCAACAGCTTCTCCATCTTGCCAGAGGATTTTTCCACATTCCCACGCAGAATGAGTGGAGAAGTACATGTTTTCCCCTAGAGGCCTCTCCAAAACCCCAAATATGATCTGACTGAGCAGGAAGAGTATAACTCTCTCCATCACTGACTCCACCTGTGGTGATAAAGGTAATCATCTATAAAAATTGCTCCAGTATCTTTATTTTCTGAATCATACAGATAAACAGAACATCCTTCTACTTACTTAAAAGGCCCATATTCGTTTTTTCCCCTGAAGCTTTGACATGACATGATGCAATTTATGTATCTTTATGCACCAATTCAAAGCTGAATGAGCAGATGTGTGTTACTGTGTTGGTTTCTGGGACAACACGTAACACAAAACAACACATAACATGCTGTTTTTGCAGTTTAGTTTTCCATACCTTATGTAGTAGAGACTGAACTGTATGCTTCAAAACTTTAACAATGTTTACGTTCTACAATAAACTCTTGTTTTGTAGTTGTGGTTTTCCACAATATGGGCCCTTTAAACAAAATTTCAAATTAGGAATAAACTTGCTTGATCAATTCTACATATGTGTGACAAACTCACAAACAAAAGTCCATTTCTGGATTTGCTGGATGTCTTCAAAACCTCACAGATGGGCCACCATTTGCCATGCAAGTACAACGCAACCACTGAAAGAGTAGGTTACACTGGTTCAAACAGAAACAAACAAATGACACAAAGTAGCAGGAAGGAGACTGAATAGGAGTCTGAAAACTATTAACCTTGGGTTTCATCTGCTGGTGTATGAAGGGCCAGAAGGGAATGGGGTGGACCACCCTCACCAAACAGCATTAGCCGGCCTATGTTATCCTGAGCTACATGTACCTGAAGAAAAACAATAATAACTGTCATTACAGTTTAATCAATAGGAGATTAAATTCTACTTTCAATTCTCAGTAATACAAGAGGTAGTCAGGCTCTGATTCATAATAGATGAACAGGCTAATGTAATGTGCACACCTTTGCTCCACTGGGATGGCTGAAGGTCTTTGTGTCTGAGTGGAGGCTCGCCAGGCCTTTATCAGAGTCAGGATACAGTTCATGGTAATCCTGACAGGGCAGGTCCACAGGGTAGGAACTCCCTGAAGAAATGAACTTTTCAGACTCTCAGTGGAAAAAAGGTTCATACAGCAAGCGTAATGATGATGACAGTAACGTCCCTCTAACCTCTCCTTCAGAAATACCCATTCTAGTCCAGCTCTATGACCCAACGGCTTCTGTCATAGTCAGTATTCACTTATTCTGTTGTCGAGCTGTGGAGCGTTTAGCGCTCGTGTTTAACCTGAACCTTCAGACAGTATCAAAGTTATTCTGTCTACGAACGCTAGTTTATTTGTGTCCTGAGTCTTTTTAGAATAATGATAAATCTTGATTATTTTGTGTGGCAGGTCTGTTTTTAATAATTGGACACGGTCCAAGTCAAAAACATAGCCCTACCTTGATGGCTGACAGGCAAGTTTCCAGTAGTATCCATTTTGAATACGCGATGACCTTTGGATTTTTTACTTATGAAACAGCGCCACCTGTTGCCGGATGGAGGGAAATTCAACACAACACAATTCATCTGTATTTTATAGCCATTTCGTATTTCTATTAGGCAAATGAATATCATTTTATTATATGACTTTGTTTTATAATAGTCCAAAAAACAAGCTTTTTTTTAATAAAGATTGCCTAAAAATCTATCAAGTCTCTTTTCCACTATTGCATCTGGTGGTGTATAAAACTTTTTTTTTTTTTAACCAAAACAGTTTTTACCAAAAATAAAATGTCAAGAACAGGACAGGTATTTGTAAGTTGTAGTGATTTTATTAGTTGACTACTGCTATTATATCACAGAAAAACAAATTTTCCTCCTTTTTTTAATAAAAGTGTTTGATGTGGTATGTGAACGCACCAATCATTCCCCATTCCATACAGTCCATATATGGAAAGTAAGCTGCCTGTTTTGAATTCATTGTTTTTGTGATTTCAAAAAAGCCTACTCATATACATATATCTGTCTATTCATCCTAAAGCAGTTTTGCTCCTTCCATTCATGTTGATGGCATTAGGACTGCATCAGCCTGGAGTACTTATCGAATGAGGTGAAATACCAAGCAGCCAACCAGAACAGAGGTCATTTATATCTATCTTAAAGGCAGAGTAACAAAGACTTGTTTAATTCTAGGAGGTAAAGAGAGGCTGGGAATTGCTCATGTAAAAATGGATGATGACTGTCTTTGATACACTGACCCATATAACCTTCTTAAGTTGACCTTAAAAAATAAAATGCAAGAGAAATGTAAGATATGATCTCTTTAAGAAAAATAATACTCGAGAGCGTACCTCAAACCCTAAAATGTCCATCAGTGCAGCATATTGAGACTACTCTGCTCAGTTCTGGAGCCCTTCCTGCTGAGCATGACCACACTTTCATATGCAGATTTTGTTTCTATAAAGCACCAGGAGGTGCAAACCAGATGTTGTGTCTGCTCTTTCTCCATCTACACTGAAATGGCCTATGAGGTCATGAACACATTGTGTTTTCATCCTTCCCAACACCTGCAGCTCCCTCAAGCAGTGCTCACATGTGGCTGTATATTAAGACTCCAACAGTGGTTCAAATTTGGTTCTTCTTGTCAAACCCTCAATATCCTCATAGAGGACATTAGAAATGGCAAGATCTCAATAATTAAGCTGCAAGGTACCGTCTGGGAGATACACTAAATGTCTAAGTGTTTGTAGACACCTTCTCATCCAATGTTTCTTCTAAAATCAGGGGTATTAACAGGACAAATCCGCCCTTTGCTGTAGTAACAGCCTCGACTTTTCTGGGAAGCTAGGTGTTGGAACAATGCTGTAAGGACTTGATTGCATTCACTCACGAAAGCATTAATGAGGTCAGGCATTGATATTGGTTGATTAGTTCTGGATCACAAATGCCACTTCAACTCATCCCAAAGTTGTTGGATGGAGCTCCATCACTCCAGAGAATGCAGCTCCACTGATCCACAGTCCAACGCTGAAGAGCTTTATACCCTTCTAGTCAATGCTTGGCATTGGGCGTGGTAACCTACGGCTCATGTGCAGCTGCTCAACTGTGTTGTTCTATTGTTAATGCTATTGTATGGACATTATACAAGCTGTGTGTGTGCAACTGAACACCAGCAATGGGTGCAACTTAATGGGGGCACCAGCAATTGGTGTCAGCAATGGGTGCGCATTAAAGTAGCTGATTAGAAGGGGTGTCTGGATACTTTTGGACATAATGTGGACCAACCTTTGTGGTTACATTAGCTAGATGCTATGAAGCGGAAACCTGACTACTAAGGATTGCTGACATCTAAGATTTTTATTTCAGGGATGGGGCAATGTTTTTTTTCTCAGATGGATCTGTAGGCCACCCACTGCAGCGGGTTTACTAGCTAGTGATGGAAAACAGAGCAGTTGTAGTGTTCATACCATCCACTAGATGGCAACAGGAAGCTACTGAGTGTTTACCTGGGGAAGAGGATGAAAACATTATAAAATATATATAAAGCAAAACTGTCTAAACATAAGCCACATGGACTAAACAGTACATTGTGGCCCCAAAGTTAAATTAATTCTGCCAGATTAATTCTATAATATGACATTTTATTTATTAATAGAAAACATGTTTTGGCTTTGAGGAAATCTCATGGGTTGAACCAAGCTAAGAAATTCCAGCAGCTTACCTCCAACAGTTACTGCTGAATTTTTAGTCTGAGAGAGTAAGAAACTCTCTGGTTGTGGGTATCTGCTGTTCTAAAGCTGCTGGTTTATCATGTGACAGTAATTGATGGAGACATGTCCTGGGTTGGGTGGCCCATTATGCTTACTGCCATTGTTCATTTTTTTTCCTTGTTATGCCTAAAAAAAATGGACCACCCAGCCCCAAGCCACCACTGAGAGAAAAACACAGCACCCTGGGAACTGTCATAGTTCTGTTTTTGTTTTCACCACAAGACTGACTGGAATAAAAACATTCACCGTAATAGATGGCTGCACACTGTAGGCCTACAATTAGGTTCCACTACACTGTTATGGCTTTTTTGTTGTTGTTAATATCCAATGGCACCTTATGTAGTGTAAAAAACAGAGCAATAGAAAATCAACACTTACTCTTAACTCGTCCTCCTTTTAGTTTTCCCTGGCTCCAAGTCGTTTCCCCCTTGTGCACAAACCACCAACTTCCCACTGAGGAATTGTCGACATTTCTGGAATTCCTCTCGCAGGGAAAGGCCAGCTTGGCTTGTTGAATTTGTTTTTTGTTGAGCTGTGGGTTTATGATCTTAAGGGATCAACTGTCACCCAGCTGTTTAGCCGCTGAGGCTATTTGGCATCAGAGCTGTTGTTGTGAGAGGCAAGCTCGGCCCCCTTGCACCCACCACTACAAAACACCTGCAGGACGCATAGTCGAGAGGCAGTGCAACAACAAGTATGTCCTCATATGCTTACTTTGACCTTTGAATGAAATCACTCCATTCTGTATGTATTTTTGCAGCTGCTTGCAGACTCTTGGCATGCACCACGCCTCACGCTCAGGATTCTGTGAGTGTCTTCAATCCTATCACATGACCAGACCTATCAAGAGGATTATAAGCTGGGCCCAGGCTACTATGAACTCCAACCTCCTTAATAACTCACTTCACTGATGATAATAATAACAGCACAAATTCTCATATAAACAGTTATAAGAGTCATCTTGCTAAGAGTTCGCATGAGATAGCAAGAACTTTGTGTTTGCAAAGTGGAAGGGCAGTTGCCAAACTGTAAATGCAGAAATTGCATTTATACTGTAAGTCTTTACATCTTACTTGCAAAATCAATTAGTAAACTATACAGTTTGGGCCTTTTAGTGGTCATCTGTAAATGCTATACAGCAGCTGCAGCATCCTGACAGAGTATCTTCACGATAAAGGCATGGGGGGTAATCTCATGCTCAAGAGGTTCAGCTAATACATAATACCCAGTAAGCTTTTTAGAGCCAACACAACAATCCAATTGAAGAATCAAGGTTCAGCAATGCAGGCAAACACTACAAGCACCAGATACCGTAACTGTCTCTTTAAATAGATCAAGTGATTTATATTTAGGTGGTTTCGTCAACATAATCTGTGCTCTATATAGACATTTACTTGCTATTTGAACCATTCTAGCGAACTGGATCAAAGTCAGAGTTCAAAACCATTTCGGACTTGGACTTAAGTCTTTCGCTTGAGAAACCTTAACTTAATTATGACTTATGTTTGTTTATTAAAATAAATGACTGAACATTCTGTTTTGTCACTACCAAAACAATCATAACACTACCAAAACTTTACCAAATGTTTCAGTGATGACTGTATCAGGAGTGACAATTTCATCTAATTCTGAGAATAACTCAAAAACACTAGCCAGTACATGTTTGTACAGTTACACATAAACACATAAAATCATAACATTTTTCATTAAAACACACAAAAAAATGTAATTGTTTAAAAATTTGTGTTTTGGTAGTGACAATTCTTAATATTACACACTGATTTTCAGACTTTACATTTACAGATATTTACTTCAAAACAATGATATCTAACTACTCACCATGTGACCATGACGGATGAGGACGCAGTCTCGCTTCCTGCTCTAAAATGGCTAAAATAAAGCTCCACTTATGGACTAAATCTCTTTGTGTTTCGTAGTCACATGAAAACATGGGACAGTATTTTTGAATAAAATTCTTTTTTTAAAACTCAGGATAAATCCAAATTATAACAGTATAAGGATTTTTTTACAAGTTGAAATTTAGAGGTTAGGGTTAGGGATTGAAGGTATGGCTTTTTTCAGTAGGTACAGGCTTGAAACGATGACCCAATCACAAGCCAGAAAACTGCAGAGGGTAAACAAATGCACGTGCTCTTAACATGATCTTCTTTGTGATTTACGTCAGACGACACAAGACTAATTGTGTGTCATATCTGTAGACCTTTATTGTAACTGGTAAGAATTTTAAGTACGTTGGTCTGCTGAACAGCTCAGCAGTGTCACATGTATGAATGCCCATTGTGTGCAAGCTGTAGTGGTCATGCTGCTGCTTCATTAATGTCATGCAGAGATAGTATATGTGATAAAAAAAGGAGTGGTTCATGGGATGGAGCAATATTAGAATGATTTTGGAGAGATTTCAGAGTGAGAGAGAACACCGATGCTCTGATTTTCTGAAAAGCCACTCGGGAAAACCACCCTGCTCCACTCCCCCAGCTCCGCTCCCACTCGGCACCATTCATATTCGCCAAAAGAGCAATGAGAAACGTTGTTCTTAAACTGTTGGACAAAAGAGCCTTCTATACTCAATCATGATAACATTATCTGTTACCATTTTCACCTGTTTACCTTTTGAAAGTTCCAAACATGTGTTTCTGATCATTCTACAAACCCAACTTTTTTGGAATGTTTTGTATGTATATTTACAGGACAGTTTGCAAATCACTGTTTTCTGTTTTTATTTGCATTTTACCTACTGTCTCAATGTTTTTGTGTTTGTACATTCCATCAATTCAAACAGTAACAGCATAAATAAAGAATTGTTTATTTGTGCACCTTATAGGTCCTGTATATCCTGTATATCCTTGCTGCGAACAATAAGTGTGAAATCTGAATCGAAACACACCCTTCTGGGCTTCCTGTTCCAAGCATGTTTAGATAACAACAGTGGAGCCATGAGGAATGTCTCAGCTATTCTTTAGGGAAGAATAGGAAGGTGATACGATAGTGAATGCTCAAGTACAATGATAAAAAAAAAAGGTTTGGTCCCTTGTCTTTGGAAGACACAAATGAAGCAATGGAGCAGAACAGTGATGGATGTGATCGAATCACGTTGCCACACAGCAAATCAACATACCACCACCACCACCCCCCACCTGGAATCTGTCCATCCTGATCATATGCCTCTTAGCTTGAAGCTGCCTCCATTTTCAGGCTTATGATTTTCAGGAATCTCTTTCTCTTCACCCAAACATAATTATCACCCTCCCCTTCCAGTCAGACACCCCCCACCTACTCCCCCGCTAATTCAGCTAAGTGAAAAACAAACAGGCTCTCGTTAACATGTGCAAGGCGCCCATGGTAAACAGTCCTGTTTCCACTTGAGTGCTGGGGCAAAAGGAACTGAATGGAAGGCACTCAAGGTGGGCAGGCCGTGCCCATGCCCTTCATCAAGAACTGCCATATGAGGACATCCACAAATACAAGTGGACAGAGCCAGCATTTGGTGGCCACCAGGGGAGTGAGCTTTGTTGTTTTTTTTTCCTTTTATAGAAAATACATTCTTCAGATAATTACTAGTGTTCCTACAAGATACTGCACGACTATTATATCACTGCTGTATCTTCATTTTTGTCGTTTTTCAATTTTTTACATAATTTGAAAGTACCCTTTGTCCTATACATTGTGTGTAAATTTCATGATGAATGGACTAAAAGAAATGACCCAAAATTAAAAAAGTCTGGTTCCATTGAGTTACATAAAAAGTACAGTATGTTTTTCCTTCTCTTGTAAAGTTAGCATTTTGCAGATATGAGGTTTTGTTCCAACAATAGCGACATATTACTATAAGCACTATAGAAATATTATACAAAGTTGAAAATGTTATAGATTTACAGAAATATAGTATTACTACGGTTCTTTCATTTTTTTGTACGGCTTAACTTTGTTAAGGTAATGCGGGGTCCTACTCTCATCTATAATCGCTGTTTTGGAGCTGAAATGTCCTTGACGCCATTTAGACAGTCTTGTGACTGTGATGATAATTGAAAGGAATTTTACTGAGTCACAACAAGGCAGACAATCAACAGGGGTGATTTTCACAGTACACCATGTTCCCTCTAAAGGCCACAATCTGTCTGCAACCCAGACAAGCTGTTTTATCAGAAGGAATTGCTCTTGGACTTTACCTTATTTGTCCATCTAGCTTCCTACTGCAGGTGACAGGGCCTGTTGAAATCATTTCATCTGTCTCCTGCATATAATACACTGCTGTGTAGGAGCTGTCCTGTCTAGGGATTTTGTGTTCCCCTAAAAATGATATAGCTTGCTGTGAGTCTATTTTATGTCTTTTTTGAGGACTAATCTGAACATCTGGTTCCCATTGACCTGTCCATATAAGTGAAAAGTGGAAAGCAGTCCTGAATTACATAGTCATTAGCTACACTGTTGAACTCAACGTTTAAATAACATTACATTTGGCCTTCCTAAATAGCATGCCTGTATCAAACATTTACTGAGCATATCTGAAAGATTTATTGAGCATATTTGCTAAAGGAGGCGTATTTAGGAGAATAAGCTCCACGGTAACATCGCATGGCTGTACAGTTTACTACAATCAGGCGATTCCACCATTTGGTCAAAAGGCGGCGCCAAATACAAACTTGCAGTCTAAACTGACACCAGATCCTGGTGAAATCGCACAAAACAAGCAAACGCACACGTTTTAAAGGGGGATGTTTGGATAATTCCGTTGTTGAGATGTAAACAAAGTAATTCAAAGCGGTTTGATGTGAAATATGTGCTCTGTACAGAAAATAACAGGTTCGGATGGTGTTGGTGAAAATCGCGATGTCTACAACACGAATACAGCCATTTTATTTACTGAAATCTAAAATGACCAGGTAAACTACACGTATCATAGTTTTTACACGCCTTGCATGGATTCAAAAACACAAGTTTAAGGCCAAACGCTTATGTAAAAACTACTGTAAAACAGTCTCAGGCACGAGGCACCGTGTTCGTAACTATATCGTGTAAAAGCTTTCTGTAAGGTGTTTTTGTCAGCATTAAAGGGGAACTCCACCGATTTTTCAAAATTTCTGCATAATTAAATGTTTAAGACGTAAACACAGTCGTTCAGAGTGATTTGGCATGAAATGCGCAGTTCTAGAGAAATTTACCAAGTCAGAATTGTTCACAGTGGTGGTGATAGGAACCAGACGTCCACATCTAAAAGCTCAATCACAGTAATTTATTACATGAAATGGTTCTAAAAACTCCGCCTGATGTTTGAGTTTTTACAATAGTTTTCTGATAAAGTTTTAGCCTAAATCGTATTATAATCAGTTTACTTTATTCTACCAATATTTTAGGGATACATAAATGTTCTAAGGCAAACTCTGAATGACTGTTTACATCTTAATAACTATGCACAGATTTTGAAAAATTGGTGAAAATTTGTTTTAAATGATTTATCAAGTGGTTTGAAATGCATGTGCGAATTTATGTGGAATAGTTTTAAAGTATTAAAGTAGCCTTTAATAAATCTAATCAAGTTCTAACGGACTAGACCAGATACTTTCAGGGTTGAAACTGGGAAAATTATAAGCACTGACATCGTATTAGCCTTAGGCTGGCTTATTTAGCTTGAATCAGTGCGATGTGAGCACTAGGCCTAATGAAAAGAAGGCAAAAAAAACGTTAAAGGAACTGGCCCACATTTGGACTGGACCACTGAACACAGAGAACCAGAATATCTTAATTTAATAACACAGTGTACATTTTTAATGTGTAAACAGAATAATATGAATGATCAATCGAACTGTTAGACCAGTGTATGATCAGACAGCTCCTAAACAGAATTGCAGTACATTCAAACAGACAACACCCAAACATGATAACAAAGCGGAAAAATTAGGACAGAAAATAACAATCCTTACACAAATTTAACACATACACACTCAGATACTGCCTACATCAGGCTATCCAATGTTTCTCTGACATGGTCGTGTTGAGATGAATGAATCACGGAGCAGAAGAGAGATGGAAAAAAACCTACGATCTACACAACATAACCTGCTGGAGAAGCTGATGTTCAGCAGATGAAGATCTGCAAAAGCTCGTGAAACCCCGCGATACTCAAACCCCCTCCTGAGTCCTGTCCGAGCGTCTGAATGAAACTCTACATCAGGTTTTACTTTCAGCTCACAGGGCTGTGTGTGTGTGTGTGTGTGTGTGTGTGTGTGTGTGTGTGAGAGAGTCGGTCATGGGCAAAATATGTGCATGTTACACACACCGAAAACGTGGGCTTTAAACCTCAGTTATTTTCAGCCTAAAATAGGCTAGGCTGATACTACGATTATGGTTTATGGTTTATTTGTGTTATTTTGAGCCAGATTAATCTTCAGAGCTGCGTCTGGTGAGGTCTGAAAACCCTTCTCCGCGACATTTGATAAGCCCATGTAGGGTAAACAAATTTCAGATTCCTCCCCCTTTCTTTACGTGAGCGCAGTGATGGGCACACAGGCTGGACTGGCTCAGTGTCATTCCAACAAGCTCCAGATGTTACTGAGTGTGATTTAATTCTCATTCAGATTATTGAGGGGGCGACGACATGGGGCTCTATCTGTCCTAGTAGTGTCTGTATATATGAAATAACCACAATCACTATACAGAGCAGAAAGACAGACAGATAAATAGAGAAATGCAGATATGTGCCTATTTACCTGTTTGCTCTATATAATTATTTTCTATGTATAGACCTACATATAATAATAACACCATCTTCCATGTGTTATATATATATATATATATATATATATATATATATATATATATAGTGTTTTTGCTTTGGTGAATCTGATGCCAGATTCCCATGCAAATTCCACCATGTACTGGACCCAAACCTCCAAACCGCTCGCCTTCACAGACTCTGTGCTCCTGGACAGTGCTGTGAAATGCTGCTGATGGAGGATTCCCACGCTGCTGGATCCTGGTGTACTCCACTCCATTTTTTCCCGCTCTCTTAACGTGAGTGTGAGTGTGTGTGAGAGAGAGAAGCCGAGTGTTGTTTACAGCGGCGGATCTCCTGAGCTGAGCTGAGCTGAGCTGAATCCGTCTGGCCGTTGCAGTGCAGCCCAGCGCCGCTGTGTCCACACTGTGGAACCAAACCTGCTGCTGGTGTTTTTGTCAGAGATAAAAAACAAGAATCATCTATGATTTTCTCTTTTTTGTGGTCGACGTGGGAAAAAAGGGTCCCTTCCAAAAAGCAACCCAAGAGCTGCTCTGCTTTCTCCTTCCTCGCGTCTCGAAAGGAGGAAAAAAACAACAGGAGGATTTATTTGGACTGAAAAACAGCCCGTGAGAGCGGGGTGAAGGCAGGCAGACTGAGAGAGAGAGAGAGAGAGAGAGAGAGAGAGAGAGAGAGAGGCGGGGAGAGAGGGGGCTGCTGCAGCTGGTGTGAAACCATTTTTGTCCTGGCGGATATTTTGGATGGAGCACTGTTGGGAGGCTCGCTGAGCGGCTCGTTCATTCATAGCCTGTCCGGGTCTCTCCATCCTCTCTGGAGCGACCTCGCGGTCTCCTCACTCACGCGCCGCGGGGCTCGTGGGGGTCCTCCTCGGTCGGGCCTACAAACCCCCTCACTCACTCACACGCTGGGGCTCAGCGGGGCATTTTGGCGGACGGAGCGCGAGCGAGGCTAACCGACTTAGCTTCCGAGGGGCTTTCTCTCTCTCTGTGTCTCTCAAGAAATGGAGGCTGAGGACGCGGACTGTCGTTCGTGTGAAATTCGTGGCTCGACTGTTTTCATAAGTCACGCGGCGTCGCGTCGCTGGCAGGAATAACGAGACGTTTTACTGCTCTAATTCACCTGAACGCGCTCTCTGAAGGAAAGAGGGATCTGCTGCTGGTACCAGAAGTTTTACTGGCTGCTTCTTCCCACCTCGCTTCAGCGCACGAAGGAAAACAACAACGCGGATTTGTTTTCCCCTCACACACTCACACATTCACTCTCTCACTCTCTATCCTTACATGTAGAGGAACTGTCGAGTCAGAGCTGCTTTTTATTCGTTTTTTTCCGCGCTCTCGAGCGCGCTGTGCTGTGTTATATTTGTGGGACAAGGCCTTTCTATTTTCGGGAGATTGATTAATGTGACAGGAATGAGATCTGGAACGGCGAGGAGTATTTCGACCTTATTCTGGGGTCTTGTGCTCTGGCTCTCTGCGAGCTGCCCGTGGTCCGCCAGCGGAGAGAGTAAGTTAACCTTCATATCTGATAGCATGCACGATTCAACTGTTATTTTTATCAGCAGGAAAAAAGCAAAACGTGATGCTTGGACGCTTAAATGGCATTTAAGGCACGTGGGTTTTTAGCCAAGGTGCTCACAGATGTCGGGACGAGGCCTGTAGATTGGAGTGTGGACTCAGGTAGAGTAGAATAGGCGGTCCTTTGGTTTGGTTTGGTTTGGTTTGGCTGTGCTGATGGTGCAGCCACATTTAGCCACTGTGCATTTTTTTTTGCAACAACAATTAGTCACTGAATGGCTCGTAAGTACAAAAATATAACAGAAAGTCCCCGTGCTAACCCACAGACTGCACTCATTTGTGGGCTGCTGTAAAAATTCAAGAACTATTTGTCATCCCTGCGTTACGCGGACATTACTATGTCTGTTCATTGTACTGTACAGTACAGTAAGCGTCCGCGAATCGCCCAAGACAAAACTGCATGAGTGCAGCTCGGTTATGTTAACAGTGGTGTTATTTAGAGACCTCTGATCATGTCGGAGGGACAGAGCCTCTCTTCATATAAACGTTTATATATGCGGATGTATAAAAAGACAAGTATAGCTACTGCAAGTCAGTACGATTCAGCAGAGTGTGATGCAGCAGTGAGGGTGAGTGAGTGTGTTTGCTCGCTCCACTTACCCGAGGATGGGAAGCGCGCACACACACACACGGAGCGGACTACAATGACCATGTGGCCATTTTACGTTCAGCAGGCAGGCAGAAATCCGCGGTGTGCCCGAGTGCTGATGTGTGATAGCGTTTCTCTTTCACCGGTTACTGTTTTTTAAAATGTGACACCGAGTGAATGCGTGATTTGAGCAGCCCGTTTGAAGGCTTTGTAATCGGCCCGTGGGAGTCGTCCGTTATAAAAACGCCATGGTCTGTTACAGCTGAGCGTTGTTTTCATTACTGAAAGTGGGCAGTGAATAAGCTGTGGAGGGATGACAGCAGAACAGAGCATCCCGGATTGAGTTTCTGCTGAGGAGACGTTTTGACTTGCAAAGGCGATTTTAAATGGGTTACACTTTCTGTTTTTCATGTTAGGAAGGCAGTAAGTGTAAAAAAACGCTGAAAGGAGTCCTGACAGGGCTAGGCAGTACTGATAAACTACAATCACTGTATTTTCCAGATTCATCACAGTATCTCTTCATCAGATGACTTGGGTTAGTATTAATAAGGTTAATGACACCGTTAATGCAGCTAATAAGGCAGCATTAACAAAGATTCCTGTGTGCTAAAATAATGTCTTAATGTCAAAAATAATGTCAAACCTGACAGTTTTTGTTATTATGATTTGACTGTTATTTGACTTTATTTGACTGTTAGGTTCTATTTTGTTCCCATGAGGGAAACTTATGCAGCATTGCAAACGTTTACCAGACAGAAAGCACATTACCATGAATTAACTTTTTATTCATGTAATTTTTGTGGAGTTTCCTCAGAACAGTCTGAAGCACCCAGCAAATCACATACATTGCAGTTAAATGTCAGGTGTTGCATAAGTAAATGGCACAAAACAGAATTAAAAACCAACAGCAGCAGAGCAGACAACAGTGCTCAAACTGAAAAGCCATAATGTCTGTATCAGGATATACAGGTAGAGATGATACCCAGCACTTCATTCTGTCAGGCTTTTTTAGAGTTCTTTTTTTTGTCATTCTTTCAGTGATGTGAGACTGAGCTAACTTTTGTTATTAACTGTCTATTATTATGTTATTAACTGTCAGGTCTTTCATGGCTGTACTGAACACGTTAATGTTGTTTGCCAGGTTAGACTGCTCCATAACAAGCTGTACACATCATTATTAGAAATAACCAGCAAATAGATGTACTTGTATTTCTATTCTCTCATACTTTAACTCTTTTTATTTCTGCCTAAAATTTGTAAGTTTATGTGTAATTATATGTCTCGCTACTGTAACAGTGCAATTTCCCTTCAGGATCAATAAAGTTCTGTCTGTCTTTGTCACAAAGAGCTGACTTTACAGTTGAATCTGGTGAAACTTGATATTTTGTTTGCCTCTCTGAATGGTGAGGTAATGGTGAAATGTTTCTTGAGATTGCAGAAAACATGTGATTTGGAGAACTTGCTGTTGTCCCAGACTCTCGTCCCACATCTGTGTTTCAAGCGGACAGAAAACAAAGCCAGATGACAGTTCACTTCTTCATTAGATCTTTTTGTTTTTAATTGTATGTGTGTATGAAAGTTGAGAGCTAGGCTGCGTCAACCGGTGAGTTTTAAAGCGCTGAGCTAATGTCCTGCTACCTTTGAGTGTACGGTTTGTAAATGCTCATGAGAGCATTATGAGAGCATTTGCTCCCATAACTTTGAGAGGGCACGGGTAAATTGCATCATGTTGTTGACGACCCATTTTTCCCCCCGTCGTAAACACCAAAGCATCAAAGGTCACAATCTGTTATGATCTATTTACCTCCAAAATGTTATTTTAAGAAAGTTGCACCACTGCATTACGTCATGAGCATGGCATATGACACTTTTGGCATGCCACCCAGTTAACACTCAATTAGTGTTGCTTTGGATTAAGATCCAGTCGGTGTTATTGTTTAGAGATTGACTGTCATTCAGCATTTTGCACTGTTATTGTTTATTGTGTATTCATACATTAATATGTATTTTATTCACGTAGTGAATGTGCAGTGCAGACTGTAGAGAGAGTAACCATTGTTTATCAGAGTGATGTATGTCAATAGATTAGATTATTTCAATAGATTAGATTTTCTTATTACAGCCAACATACATGGACGTACTTTTAAAGGACCTATATCATGCAAAAACAAAATTTCTTCACTTTTTTAAATGAAAGAGCTTGATGCAACAATTTAAACATTTTAAAACATACCATGTAATCTTCAATCCATATATGGAAACTAAGCTGTAAAAAAACAGCCCGTTTTAAATTAATTGTTTTTGTGATGTCACAAAAAAAGCAACACATATCACATATCAGCCTGTTTGGCCTACAGCAGTTTAGTTCCACCCATTCATGCTGTAACTGAGTTATACAGAGTGTTTCAGGACAGGACTGCCAATCAGAACAGAGCTCATTTACAAATATAAGTCTTAAAGGCACAGTGACAAAGACTGCCTCTGTAATTTTAAGTCATAAAGAGAAGATGGAGAGGAGCCATGTAAAAGTGTATTATCATTGTTTTTGATACATGAACTCGAACAAACATCACAAAAAAATGTAACAAAAAGCACAAGAAAAATGTGTTTATAGAGACTGTATGATGAAAAACCAAGTTTTCCAGATTTTGATTAGTATGGAAACAGCCTGCCTTATTCTAAGGGATAAAGAGAGGTAGAAAAATGGTATAAGTCATTAGTATACATTAGATGTGGACGAACAGTTTTCTTTATGTTTTTCCAGTTACTTATTTTCTGTACCACTTTAACAGAACTATATATATTTTAAAAAATATAGTGTTAAGTGACAGTTTTTAAAAGAAGTCGTGCAGTGTTTGTGAGGCTGTGGAGGCCTCAGTATGACTCATAAGGTGTGTGGATCTGTTTAAGAGGTGTTTCCTCGTTTGCAGAAACAACTGACTACAGTTAAGCTGTGTGCGCGTGCGTGTTTGTGTGTGTGTGGGGGGGGGGTGATGTGTATTATCGCGAATAACATCGCAGCTGTGATTTGGTTGCTCAGCTTGTGCTGTAGATCATCACAGCTATGATGTTATTCATGATAACGCACAACCCTGAGAGTTCTGTTGTTTTTGCAAAGTAAAGAAAAAAAGTAGAGCAGCAAAGCCCTGAACATTGTATCAAATATATGTTTTTAATATTGGCCACCACAAAGTACTTCCAGCAGCTAAGAGTAAAATGACCGTTGTTGTTACTTAGCAACCGTGGTTAGCATAAAGATACAGGTATGGAGAAAAATAAACATGCTGTTATCAGATATACACAGGTGGACCATTGTGTAATATTGAATTCAACTAAACTTAACCAATGAAATCATTAGAAGCCTGTAGGTGTCATTAAGTTGATTGGTCAGCGTAACCCTCATGCCACTCCAGATGTCTGAAGCATTTCTTTCTCTGTGCCTTTGCCAGACTATGAGGGTCTCTTTCGCAGCTCTGTTACATTATCTTCAGTGTCTGTCCTGTAAAGCATCGCAGACACTCCACTGACACACTGACCCTAATCAAATCAATCCTTATAAGGCCAGGTTCTCATCTTTCCTCATGTATTTATCAAAGGTGGTGACGGTGTTTTTCAGACTTTGTATGCGAGTTAATGAGCTGTAAAATATATAAGAGGTGATCTGGAACACAGGCAGAGTTAAAGGGCCCTTTTCCTACATTTATGTACATTTATCTACATTTGTACATATATATATATATTTTGTTTCTGCATATCCTTTAAAGATTTTTGTGTTTTTTAAGTACCAAAAACAGTCATAATTTGTTTTAAGATGACGATTTTCAGCCTATCTTTATTCCACGTGTTATTTTGTTACTTAGCCTTTAGTGCTGCATTTACATTGACAATGCACTGAAGTGGGTAGCATTCATTTTTCTCTGGGACGCATCAGTTCCATTGGTGCATGATGGGACCAGCACATTAGATTATGGGGCATGCAGTGTGACGAAAAAGTTGAGCAGTGCTGTACTTTATGCAAATGAATCGGACAAATGCGATGTGCTTATCCAATCAGGAAGCAGGTGATGTTTTCATGATTTGTGTCTGCAGATGAGTATATCGCTGTCAGAAACAAAACCTTTTATCTCCATTTCTGTTGTTTTTCAGTTTTTGACATAATTTGAATGCCTGTTGTCCTTTACATTGTGTGTAAATTTCATGATGAATGAACCAAAAGAAACGACCCAGAATTACTTGGAAAAAGTTCTTGTTCCGCTGACTTCAATTAAAAGTAAAGTGTGTTTTTTTCCTTCCCCTGTAAAGTTACCATTTTGGAGATACGAGGTTTTGTTCCGACAACA